TAGCTAGCGTCGTTTATCGAATTTCCGTTTTAACTCGGCGTTTGACAGGCTCGACAGGACAGGACAGGCTGACGAAGCGAAAGACTACCAGGGGGTTAGTTCGAGTTTTTGGCAGAAAACGGACGAGCGAGGACAGGAACAAGCAAGCCACCGAAAGCGAAGTGAAGCGAGCGACATTCATAACATACGTATCCCTTCAGTAGTATCAGGCAACGAAGTCAACAGTGTGTTGCTTGGTGATGCTATACTGTCGTAGTGGCATCATTTCCCTGGATGGATGAGTGCTGGCTCAGTGCACACTGTAACTAGTGTAGTGTAAATGGAACAGAAACGGCATGGCAATGGATGGCATGGCATGGCATGGCACGTTCATCGATTTGTTGAAGCAAACCGCAGTTGTTGATCGGACGGCGGTGGTTTAAACGACATTTTGAAGGACACTAGTGGGAATGTAACATTACACTTTGTCCTTGATTCCGATCCCCTTCGGCGTTTGAGGTAGGTACCTTAACTTTGCTTCTTTCTTTTTGTTTTTCCTTTAGGACAGGAACTTCTTCTTTGCGTCTGTCTGTCTGTTTCTGCGCAGCTTGGCGAGAGTTCCAAAAGACAGGGCTCTCTCCTCTCCTCTCCTTCCTCTCTTCCAAGGCCCGAGAAGGCACAGTAGCGCGGCGGCGGCCGGCGGTAGCGGACGAGGTACTGTGTAGCGCTCGGCTGGTAGATAGGGCAGGCATTGCAATCCTTCGGCCGCCGGTGGTTCGGATCCCGCCTACGTACCCCCTTTTTTGCTCCCCGCCTTTCACGAAGAAGGCGGAAGCAACAAGTTTAGGGTATTTGGTCCAATCACATACGTCAATTCAAACCTTGATCGGTTGTTCTTCGAGGCTTATCTCTTTCTTCCGCGCAGCAGCGATCATGAATGATCGATCCTTACGCAGTAAGGACGATGATCTTTACAGACTGGAGATGACGAAGCCAAGTTGGGATAGCCCCAGCCTCAAGCTATATGAGCCCGAGTAGGTAGATGAGCCCCCGTCTTAGAAACTCTCAAGTGGAAATAACATACAATCGCCAACCAACAAAGAAACATGTTACCAAAAACCAACAACTGAACAAATTAGCCCACTAACTTCCAACTTTCCCTTCGCTTCTGGCGCTACACGCGGCCGCCCCTCGTCAGGCTTGTCTCCCCCATTGCCCGCTAAACAGCCCGTCCGCGGCGCAGCAACGTTCGAATGGGCTTCCATCACACTCCCCATCACTGGAAAATTGTTGTTGTATGTGAAGACCCTCGCATGTCCTAATCTGTTACCAACGGACCGTCCTATTATACCCACGTGCTTTTCCATCCAAACTTGTTGGTCCGTACGTCCAACCCAGCCCAAAATAGCCGACGGCATTTGTCAGGACAGTGGTAGTACAAGTCTGCCGCCCGCCCAGGAAGTCACAAACGGCTAACACAGACATGGACCGCGCGTCGGCCGGCAAACCCGGGTTGACCGTCGCCTATCGGATGTCTACTCCGGCCGACTACCGTTCCAGGTCCCTTTGACGCCGACTACCTATCTACATGACTATTAGGTACCTATTCCCTATCGTGAGCAAGGAAAGGGGGCTCTTCTGGTCTTGGGAGAAGTGAATGTGAAACAAGTCTTTTTAGTATCCGAGCCGAGCCCTACACATATGTCGTCTAAGGGGGGGCTTTTCTTGGACTCTTGGCAACATTCGGTTCGATCGAGCTGGAAGTATGTCTTCTCGTCTTCGTTTGTGTGTAACTTTAGGATATACGGGTACGGATTAGACGCTCTTTTCGAGTTCCAACGTTCTTCAGGGTCTCCCGTATTCAATCCCCGTATTCCGGTCTCCGGATCTACATTTGTTCAGCCGGTATCTCGTTGCGGACCATTACCCAGAACAAAAGTACTGCTCCTTAACCTTGCTCTGAATAGGCATAGGAATGAGACAACAATCAAAAAGGGAGCTGGGTCAAACTCCGAAGGGCCACGGCAGGCAGGCAATGATGGCCTTATGGTCTCCTAAGTCCGAGAGAAGCTGACCAATAACTGTCGGAGTTGGGCTGGGAAAGGGGCAGACATCACGCTCATTGGGCCCATACCAGACTGATTGACGACACCTGCGACTTGCCTGGTTAAGGTATGTACTGGTTCGCTACTTCACTCCACTACAATCATGAATATTGTGTATTTCATACTAGCACATCGTCCGCCAGCTCTTCAAATCTTCCACTCCCTCTCCCCCAGCCGGATACCAAACCTGTTCAATTCACTCAATCTCGCACTCGAGGTCCAAGCCCAGGGGGGATGTCGGACTCAACTTGCGCGCAAGATGACGACAGCTTCCGTTCCAGGGTTTGAGCGAGTTCTTTGAACTACCTACCGGTACTGATACCCGGCGGCAGTATTAGAAATACTAACCAATCGATAGGGCTACCTACCAGAGGAAAGAAGGAGGATGAATAATAAACATGAAATTCGTCCGAGATATGCAGATCCCCAAGGTGGCATGCATCTATCTTTGACTCATTGAAATTCCAGTCCCAAAAGGGCTGGCCGAGCAAAGTGAACTGAACTGAACGGGTAGACCGACTCAACTGACCTGAGTTTCATTACTGAATGGGTAGGATTGACAAAGACGTCGCAAGGGTCTAGTTTCCTGTGGGTGGTGGGCAGTCAAAAACGGACGATGTTGCCTGAAGACACTCTGCACTCGCAGTTGAGTTGTATTCGGTGGATGCCCGGATGTCGGTGTTTGTACCCTGATCGTGAGTCCGTGACTGGACCTTCCAGTTCATCCGAGTTTCGTCTATGTTACCTATCTCAGTTGGGTTGGATCAGTCAGTTGGCCGATCGTTACTGTCTTTTGCCCTCTTTGCTCGCTTGTCGGATGTTGTGTAACGTCACGCAAGAACCGAGAGAAGCGCAAGACCAAAGAGCAAGAGCGAACTTGAAGGGTGCTCGGCTCAAAGTCCGGAAATGCAGGCGTCACGGTGAATGCAGTTGCTGAGTAAGTGCTATGCGCGGTAGTGTGTGTAACGTTGGTAGGTACTTCATGCAATGGAGGGACGGGCAGCTTGGATGGAATTGGAGGACTGCCCTGAGTTCGATTTGACAACCGCGCAAGACGAAGAAAAGGAAGTAGTACCTTACAGCTTAGGCTCAATCAGTCGATATGTGGTGTCGGAAAGCGAGTCGTGCTTTCCATTGTCTGCTAGCGAGTGTCTGTGACCAAGTAATCTCAGCTCGCTGAGCAGTCATGAGTGAAGTTGAAGTAAGTGCAAGGAAGGAGCGAAGGCATCAAGTCACTACAAAATGTATCTCCGTTAGTGATGTCCATTCTTTACCACGACAATGCTGGCCATTCTACTTTGACCCCTTACCAGATTATGGCTAGAGATACTTGCACGAGCTTCCATGCTTGCCCCCTACAGCAATGCGCTCTCCGTTGTGCATACCTTCCTCTCGCATCGCACCACTGTACTACACTACAGAACTGGCAGTTGCCATGTAATACCAACAGCCGGAGACAAACCGACGGGAATTATCTCTGCTATTCCCGTGGCTCAACCACTCCCTCTCCCGTTCACCAACATAAGGTAGGTATGTACAACTGCGGTTGAAAGTTTCCCTAGGTGGTCAATCAACCTTCTTCGTCTGGAAGTGGAAGGACCAAGGCCGTGTTGTGTGCTTGCGAATCTATAACGCAGTTACCCAACCCAACCGGGACCGTCATAAGGTACTCATCATGATCATGAATGAGCATGTTTCTGATGTGCCACCCGCCCTCTTATCATGCGGTAACCAACAACCTTGATGGTCACTCAATCATCATGATGTCTGATCTGCCTTCCCCGTTGGAAGAACCACGCAGAATGGCGGGCATGCCCAAAGAGGCGGAGAGGGGGTTGTGTGGGTGAAGGGGTGGTTGAATGTTCCATTCGATGCTATATTGGGAATGGGATGGGATGGGACAGGTTACAGCACCCGAACGGGCTGTGGTCTCGGAGTCTCGGAATTCCTTTCGTGTGGTTGCAGGCTGTTTATTCTTGAACTTATGGACGGATTTCGGAGAAAATTATCATGCTCTTCGGGAATTCGGAAGGGTTCGGTGTGATGAACAGACGTAGGTAACTACATACGCAAGAGTGGCTGCCCCCCCCAAATGGTGGTTCTCGTTGTTCCACAGATGGACGGGCGGTCACCGCGCAGGGGAATTATTGAAAATGACATTTTACTTGAAGACACGAAACGAGGATGGCTCAAAAGAGCAAGAAAGAACCGCGAGTCGCAATGGCGAGCGAGACACTCACTTAGGTACTAGTAAGAAGCAGAAAGTAACTATGGGGGGCCATAGACGGGCAATATCGGACCACTTCTCGGAAGAATTGACTACGGAACGAACTTCAAATTGACGCTAGGTCTAGTTGCGGTATATAAGTCGTCGTCGGTATTTGAAGATTGCTTTCCTCAATTGAGTGCCTGAGTGCCTCTGAGTTACTTACTGGAGTAGGGACGTAGGTACTTCCACAGTACAAACCATATCGATGTTAAAAGTTACTTGTTGTAAATACTTGCGTTTTGTTTCTTCAGTTTTGACGATGTACGGTGCCTCGGACCTATCTCCCTCACTCACTTTTCTTATGCACAGCTAAGGAGGCCCGTTGGCTCTAGTCAACAAGGCCTAAAAGCGAACTGGACGAAGAAAAAACCCTAGGTACCTAGTCAGTCGTGTTAGATAAGAAGAAGGCTATGCTCCAGGTTCATCTTGTCCGCGCGTCCTCGTAAGTGCGGCGGCCGCAATGACCCGCTAATAGCGCCAACAAGACTTGTTGTTGGTCGTGTGTGGATAGTAGCGTATATGGCTTCAAATGAAGAAAGTGCTATTTGGAGGCAGCCGTTGAACAAGCTTGTTATCTTGTTTTGCCGTCATGAGATTATCTGCAGTAAACCAGATCCAACAAGCACGATAGCATCTGCTTCAATGTTGTTGGGTTTGATAACCTCTAAGCAATGCTTCTTCTAATGGAGAGACAATGAACACAGCTTGCTTGAACCCCATTCCACTCTTTCCCACCAGCTAAACTTTTGAGTAAGACAACAAAAGTGAATATGCTGTGAAGGAAAGCTCTAAACACCACTTGCATAAAGGCAAGCCAGTGATACTCATGATAATACTGATACAGAAGCAAGTGAAGAAAAATAAAAAAAACTGTGCAACCCATCCATCCATCCATCCATCCATCGCACACGTAAAGCTAAGTAAAGCTCTATGCCATGCCTCCCTATCTTCATCCCTAGCAGCAACAGACCAATAAGGCATAACACAGTCCAAACTCTCTTGAATCATTTTCCTCAATTTCTTTTCACCTTCCACGCTCGCAATGACAGCCCGTTTCGCAGAAGCATGTAACTCAAAGCTCGGAGATGAAGCGTTACCAAAGATCTTATCCCATACATAACCACTCCCATTTCTTTTCGAAACTCTAAGCTTCAACTTCACATAATCCCCATCCTGCCATACCATTCTCAAAATACCCTCCGTTTCCTCCAAGGATATTACCGGATAATCATCACGGCGTCCCCCCACTCGCCTCCTAGGTCTAGTTACTATCTCCTTCTAAGCAGCACCGGCACCGGGACCCGAATTTCCTCCTCCTCCCGCTCCTGCTCCCGCTCCTCCGCCTCCGGCGCCGCCACCACCAACATTGCCCCCACCACGAGCTCTCTTGGGCCCCCCTTGGTTTCCTCCCTCTCCGTCACCTCTAGGCCTCTTGTTTCCAGCGGCTTGTTGACCGGGTTGGAACTCGCCGGCATGGGGGTTCATGCCGCCGCCTCCTTGGCCGGCGTTGGCTCCGCCGCGTCCACCAAAGCCACCGCGACCGCGAGGCCCTTGACCGCCGCGGCCTTGGGCCCCGTATGCGCCACGTCCACCACGAGCGTTATTCGCGCCTCCTCTAGCGGCAACTGGGATGCCGGTACGGTTACCCTGTTGGTTCTGGTTTTGTTGCTGTTGACCACCAGGGAACTGGCCCCCTTGTTGCTGCTGTTGTTGCGGCTGCCCTTGTTGCTGTTGTTGGCCGGGCTGCTGCGGCTGTGGAGCACCGAAGGGGTTTGTGACCGGTTGTTGTTGCTGTTGTTGCGCGTTCTGTTGCTGCTGGGGGGTGGCACCGAAAGGATTGGCAGGTGGCTGCGAAGCCACTGGGGATTGGTTCGCTCCAGGCTGACCGAATGGGTTACCAACGACTTGTCCAGCGACAATAGAGCCTTGCCTGGCTGGAGCGGGCACCGCCTTGGCGGCTGGGGTCGGGGTGATCTGAGGCTTGGTCTCCTCTCCAGGAGCGGATTTCACTACTACAGCAGCGGCGTCTGAGCCATCGTTAGTATACTTGGTCATTGATTTACGGGTACGGTGGAACATACTCAGGGGGGTCGCCGGTTGCTGTCCAGTGGCGGGAGCACCTGCAGCCGGTGTGGCCGCCGGTGGTGTCGGAGCCGGGGCGGGCGCCTTAGCAACCTTAGCAACTTCCCACACTTCAATAACGGGCTTCTGTGGCGTTTCCTTTGCCGCTGTCTCGACGATAGCCGTCTTGGCCTTCTCAGTCTTGAGCTGTCGGTCGAGCATGTTAAGCCGGAGGGCAGACTTCTTCTCAGTAAGAGCAGCCGCTTGCTCCTTGGCAGAGGCAATCTTCTGCTCATACTCCGCCTTGACGACCACCTCAAGTTCTTCGCGAACCTTCTTTGACTCTGCGGCAATATTCTTCTTCACGTTGCTCTTAATGATACCCATGATTACCTGATTGGAGCTGATGAGCTCGCGGGTCTGCTGGTCGGTAAGATTGGCGAGATCCGGGAGACCAGGAGTACCGGCACCTGGCGTCTGTCCATTTTGGGCAGTGGGAGGCTTCGCAGGTGTCGCCGGCACGCCATTCTGAGACACACCGCTCTGTTGCTCGGCCTTCAGGATCGCGAGCTCTTGCTGGAGCTTGAGATCGTATTCAGCCTGCAACTTCTGCCTCTCCTCCTGAGTCTGCTTCTCCATGGCCTCCTTCGACTCGGCCAGCTTCTTGTTCAGCGCAGTCTTCATCTTCTCAGAACGCTGCTTGACAATGGCATCGGCACGCTCTTCCAGGTCCTTAGCCTTGGCCTCAAACTCGGCAGCCTTCGCCTCGGCAGCCGCAATTCTCTCCTCCAACGCCTTCCGTTCCTCATCTGAGAGACCGGTGCCCTCTTGTGCTGGTGCCGGGGCAGAAGCAGGCTGAGCCGGGGCCTCGACATCTTGCATCTCGGTGTCAGTACCGTGCGTAGAAGACTGTAGGCGTGCGACCTCTGCGCGGGCTTCGTCGCGCTCAGCGATCGCAGTCGCCAGTTCCGCCCTAAGGCTTTCGAGTTCGGTCTCAAGCGTGGCCTTCTGTGATTTGACTGATTCCAATTCTTGTCTAAGCGCATCCAGCTGCTGCAGAAGTTGGGGATCTTGTTCTGCAGGAGCGGCGGCAGCGGCAGGAACGGCGGGAACGGTCTGCTCTGCAGGTGCCGCTACAGCCTGCGCGTGCTGTTCCTGAAGCTGCGCGTTTTGCGCCTGCAAGTTGGCCAGATCTTGTCTTGCCGATTCGAGATCCTTCTCGACGGCCGACAACCGTTCATTAGTAGCATCCAGGGTGGACTGGAGCGCTTGCTTCTCAGCAGCAAGCTCGTTGCGCTGCGTCTTGACGTTACCGAAGCGGGTCTTGAAGTCCTCTGCAAGTCGGGCCCGCATATTCTTCCAGTTGGTCCGCTCAGTCTCCAGGTTCGTCTCAGCCTCCTTGAGCTTCTCTTCAAGCGCGGCTTCTGCTTGCTTAAAGGCTTCACGCTCAGCTTGCAAGCTCTCAACCGAGGCCTTGAGCTGCTCGACCTCCTGAGGATCAGCCTGGCCGTATTTGCTGAGGATAGACTCGATTCTCTTCTGTAGCCCATCGCGGGCTTCCTGCAGTTGCTTGATCTCCGCCTCCTTAAAGGTCTTGTCGAGTTCGAGCTCGGAAATGCGGGCTTCCAAAGGCTGGATTCTGTTTTCGAGTTCTTCGATCTTCCGGTTCTTCATCGCAAGTTGTGCCTGGATTCGCAGGTTCTCGTTCCTGAGGGTGACATTGCTCTCACGGATCAGGTTGAGCTCGTTCAGCTTATCCATCAACTCCTTGTGAGTAAGTGAGTTTCTGGCGCTATCAGCTTGAGAGCGACGCTCCTGGTCAAGCTTGAGACGTGCTTCATCGAGCTGTGATTGAGAATACTCGAGTTGCTGCTGAAGCCTCTTCGCTTCTTGTACCTTGAGATCAAACTGTACCTCAAGGATCTCCTTCTCGCGACGCAGGTAGTTGTTGAGTTCCCGAAGACCTTCAACAGCATTGTCATTGGCCGAAATCGGTATGCCTTCGGCGGTAACATCCATTGCGGAACGGCCTTGCTTCAAAGAGGTAATCTGAGAGGTAACGCCATCAAGCTGTTGATGAAGAAGCTTGTTCTGGGCAGTGAGATCGTCCCTCCTGGCCTTGATCTCAGCAATCTCTTGTTCAAGCTGCTGTCTCCGCTCCTCCCAAGACTGCTCACTCTGTGTCAGAGAGAGTTTGGCCGACTCAGCCTCAGCCCTCCACTGAGCCGAATAAGTCTTGAGTTGGTTATGCTCTTCCCGAAGCTGCTGAAGCAACTTGGCCGCCTCTGCATGCCTGACCAGTTCCTGTTCGTAATCTTGTTGGGCCTTGGTGGCAATTTCAGCCTGGGCCCGCAAATCTTGCTGATGGAACTTGAATGCTTCCTTATATCTCTCCTCTTCGTCCTTCAAGCGAGAGATTTCACTGTTGAGCATGCGCTCCTTGTCTTCAAACTTGCGAGCAACATCAGCCTGGGAATCGCGAAGCATGTTAAGCTCGCTATTGGAGTTGCCCAGTTCGACTGTGAGCCCTTCAACACGCTGCTGCAGTTCGTTGATCCTGCTGTCCTTGGCTGCGAGATCCGTATCCATCTGTTGTCGGTATTGCTCTTGAGTCTCGTTCGCGCTCGTAAGTTCTTCCTCCATTTCGCGGCTGAGCTGCTTGAAGTTATCACATTGTTGCTTGGCATTCTCAAGCTGTGCGTTGAGCAAATCGATGTTGTTCTTGAGATCCTGGACCTCATTTTCGAGCTCTTCAATACGAGCCTGAGATTCATCGTCGGTAGATCCCTGCTCGGCAGGCTGTGCCCTGGGTGTTGGCAGGGGACGGAGACGATCGGCACGTTCTTGCGCGTTACGAAGCTCAACCTCAAGTTCACCAACGCGTGCCTGAAGATGATCGCGAGTAGTCTTGGCGGCCACATTCTCCTCCTTGACCTGGCTGATCATCGTAGTGAGCTCGTCAATGCGTTTCTGGTATTGCTGGGAGTCGAACTCTTTCCTGAGCTGAATCTTCTTGCTCTCCTCCATCTCCTCAGAAAGCTTGCGCTTAGTAGTGGAGAGTTCTGCCTCAAGAGCGTCGATCTGGGTTTGTTGTCTGCGCTTTGCCTCAGACTCGCTGAGCTCGCGCTCATTGAGAAGGAATTGTTGGTTGGTCAATAGAGTGTTAAGCCTAGCTTTCTCCTGTGCAAGACTCTCGTTATCCTGGTTCAAGCGTTCCTGGATCGTCTTCCACAGGTTCTTTTCGGCCTTGAGGTTGGCATTCTCGCTTCGGAGACTCTCAGCCAAGCCACGAGCCTCAACCAGGTCCTCGGCAATCTGCTGTACCCGCAGATCTTGCTTAACACCAGACTCGGACAGGGCCTGGTTTCTCTCTTGTAGCTGCTGGTTCTCACTCTGGGCTGCCTTGAAGTTGGATTCCAGCATGCTGTAGCGTTCCGTAGCGAGCGTAAGCTGGCTGGAGACCTTAGCAATCTCAGCCTGAAGCGAGCCCTTCTCCGAGGATAGCTTGTCAATCTGCTCCTTAAGAGACTTCCGTTCAGTCGTTTGGTCGTTTCGGTAAGAGTCGTACTGAGCCTGTAGCTCCCTATAGGCCGCAGCGAGGTCTGCATCTTCGGTGGAGTTTTGCTCGATGCTAGCGAGAACTTCACGTTGGCTTACATCCTCGCCCAGGGCAGCGCGAATTTCGGCAGGGTTGGCTCGCTGTTGGAGCATGCGACGGAACATGTCTCTCTCCGTCATGTAGCTCTTCATGCGTACGGTAATCGACTTGACCTCGTCTTGAAGTGTCGTGACAACGATACGAAGTTGCTGGACCTCCTCATGATCCTGGGCTGCTTGCTGCTTCTCAGCCATCGCCTCCTCGTTCTCCATTTTGTCGGCGAGGTCACGAACCACACGCAGAAGCTCCTGGTTCTTCTCCTGCAGTTCGTAGATGTTTGTGAAAGCGACAAACTTCTCGGTAATGTACTGGTGAGTATCCGACATGTCTTCAAGCGCATTTTCGGTAACTTCGCCCCTCTTGAGCCTCTCGAACTTGGCAGCTTCTTCTTCTGTCAACTTATCGAGACCCTTTTCCTGTGCATGAATGTTGAAGCAGAGTACATGAACTTGAGTGCTCAGATCGCGCAGCTGCCCGCGAAGAATCTTGACCTCAGCCTGGGCCGTAGCCGCAGCTCCCTCGGCCTTCCTCTGGGTCTTGACGGCAAGATCGCGCTCCTCGTAAGACTGCTCGAGGAGTTGTGACATCTGAATTGTCTCGTTCTTGAGACGTTCCGACTCAGCAGTGAGCTCGTCGATTTCAGGCATCTTGGCTTCCAGCATGGCGACCGCATCGTCGAGTTCTTCCTGTAGCTTCTTGCAACGCCGCTTCTCACCAGCAAGCTGGCCCTTCACGTTGTAAAGCTCCTCGAGGGCATCGGTAGCACGCTGGCCGGCTCTCCCGCGAATTGAGAGCGGAGTACCGAAGGGAGATCCCGCACGAGCAGCGGTAAAGGAGCCGTCACCCTTGGGGGTTTGAGGTCCAGTGGCCGGAGATCTACCGCGAGAATCACCGGACGCCTTGATACGGTCAACTTCATTCTGCAGCTCCTGGGCGCGCTGCTCCGTCTGCGCGTGATCCTCCTTTTCTTGTTCCAGTTCACGTCTGATGCGTCTGATCTCGTCGGCGTGATCGTCCTTGATCTGCTCCAGTCTCAACTCGACCTCCTTCAAGCGGTTACGGTGAGTCTCAGACTGTTGATCCTTGAGCTCAACAAGACGCTTGGCGGATTCGAGCTCCTGCTTGAAACCCTCTTCGGTACGGGCAGCGGCTTCCTGGAGTTGCTGGACCTTGGTCAAGGCTTCCTCGGCCTTCTCTTGTGCCTCCTGGAGTCGCTTGCGGAGAACCTGCTCGCTTCTAGTGAGTGATTCGATGGTCGAGTTCGCGTCCTCGTTTAGGCGTTGCAGCTCGGCGATGCGGGCACCCTTCTCCTTGCGGAATTTGATCGCTTCGGCATTCTTGGTCTTGAGCTCGTTGTCCAGCCAGTCGTTGGTGCGTCTCGCATGCTCCAGTTCCTGCTTCAAAGCCTCCTCACGATACTTTGCGGAATTGGCGGTAGTCTGTGCGGTCTGGACAGCCTGATTGAGCGACGTGACCTCCTGGTTCAGCTTGAGGATCTTCTTGTGTTGGGTCTGAAGCTCCTCGGCCAGGGTGGCGTTGGCCTGGGTCTTGGAGTCGACAATGGCAAGGGTTTCGCGATTCGAAGTCTCGAGCGAGGCAATACGCGCACGGAGGGTCTCGATTTCGGAAAGGGAGGTCGATCCCGACGACTTGAGGGTCTGTAGCTCATTCTCTATAGACCGCCGTTTGGTCTCTGTGCGACACAGACGTGTTAGCAGTAAGGCGCGGCGAGGCTTGGGAGGGGAGGGGAGAAGGTCTTGCCTTCATCTTGTAGTTTCTGACGGAGCTCGTCAACTTCCTTGAGGGCCTTGTCGGTGGTGGCCTTGAACTGCTCACAGCGCGACTCTGAGCTTCGGATGGCGCCTTCCAGCTCAATTCCCAGCTGGAACTTGTCCTCTTCGAGGGCACGGATCTTGGCTATGACAGCTTCGAATATGGTCTTGACCAGGTCTGGAGTCGGCGCGGTAAGGGCGGAATTCAGATCGGGCTCAGGTACGCCGACCTGGGTCGAGAGATAGCCCACGTCCACCTCGGCCGCCGCCATCTTGGGAGCAACGGCTTAGCGGTGCATGAATGGGCGAGACCGCAAACACACACGAAACACGCGACAACGGGTCGATTGCGGAATAGTCGTAACAGATCTCAGGTCGACTTGGGGGCGCTGCTGTCGGTGGGAATAAAAAGGAAAGTCGCGAAAGTGGATGACCTCGGGGTGGTCGGGAGCGTGGTGATGCGGAAGTGAGTCCAAGTGTTGTTTTGGAATTTCTTTGACGCTGCCAGTCGATGGAAGTCGCAGCTTGGTCTTGCTTGGTTGGAGTGACGGGGGGACTGCACTGCGACTTCCAACACCTGCGACTGCTTTGGGTTAGCGCGGAACTGTCGCGCTGGCCAGCAGGGTGGCAGAAGGGGCCCACCTGAAAAGCTTCTGTGGGGCCGCTGCCTTTCAGGTACCTGTCCGCCAACGGCAGGTGCTGAGGTACCTGCCGGAGCACTGTAGCACGCACTTCCATGGAGCCCAGTTGGTGTGGTCTGTGCGTCTCGACCTCCAAAAAAGCTCCAACCGCTTTCTCGTTGTTGGACCTAACGACAAACATCACTCATCACCGGCACAGATTCACGCTTCTCTCGCCTCAAGGGAGACTCTCTACTACTACCCGATTTATGAGGTCACCCACTCAATATTTATAAGTCTTGATAATTGGTAAACTACGAAAGCTTCATTACCATTATTCGGTTCAGAAGCGAAAGTCGAGTCCTCGGAAGTGAAACGAGCCTGCTGTCGATACTCATGCCGACCTGGCCGTTCTCGAGACTTCCTGCTATGGTCAAGGTAAGGGATGGTAGAGGTATGGAACTCGAGGTTGTTTGCATGGGGTTGTTATATCAAGGTCACCCATTTGCTCTGCTCTTTGTTCTTTCCCTTACATCCACCCTTTGGTACACGACATTATTCTAGACCCTGATTAACTCCACCCCACAGACTTTCACTTCGGTCATATCATGACATCCCGCCCCCATCTTTCCCCGGCTTCCCTGATCAAGGCTGCCCGGCCCTTCCTCTTCCATGCCCATCCATCTCATGAAATCCCGGTACCAGACCTGACTGCCACGCCGTCGGCTGCAGTTCAGCCGGCCGCTGTTGTCCCATCATCTCGTGTCTGCGGCATGAACTGGAGAGGCGCCCCCTGGCCTTGCAACTCCTGCCGGTTCGGGCCTGGATAAATCGCCCCTTGCCCCTGGAGCTCTGAGGCATTGTTCATTGGAGAAACTGGCGAGGGACCTTGGGTCATCGGTTGCGATGAGTTCTGCGCTACACCATACGGTGCGTGCAATTCGGCAGTGTTAGGCATTGGAGAATACGCAGGCGTCTGCCCGTGAAGCTCGGTGCTATTGAGCGGGTGCGGCGGTCCTTGACCTTGGAGTTCAGCACCATTGAATGGGCGCGGTGCCCTTTGGCCCTGTAGCTCCGTGCTGTTAAGCGGATGCGGAGGTCCCTGGCCTTGAAGCTCGGCCGTCAACGGGGGAGGGGGAAATCCGCCCGCACCAGCCGACACTGGGGACACGCTACTGACTCTGGTTCCGTCCTTGAGCATGCTTGTGGAACGACTTGGCGGCGAGGGCGGGGCGGCGGCGGCAGCAGCAGCGCCGCCAACAACAGGATTGCCAGCAAGTTCGGGTTTACCTCCGTCAGCAACGAAATCATTGATGGGATTCGGGGAATTGGTCTGCTCCGTGGCCTTGCGTTGCTTCGACTTGCGGATGAAGAAGAAGATGAGAGCGGCAATGATGCCCAGTCCAACGAGTACGCCAACGACGGCGCCAGCAATAACCGCGGTGTTGGAAGATTTTCTGCCTGTATTACCGCTACCGCTCCCCCCGTTATTGGCGCCTCCCGTACTGCCATCGCCGGAATTGCTACCAGAGCCGGAGCCAGATCCGGAACCACTACCGCTGCTGGCAGTAGCCTGGGGACCACCGTTGGCCCTACTGCCACTCTGGGCTGTTGGGCTTGGGTCTGCCTGGGATACCGAGGCGGTAACCCCATTTGCGACGAGCTTGTTGTTGGCAGCACTGCAGTACAAGTCCAGGACCTGTTGTCGAGTGTTAGCTATGAGGTATTTGGACATTGGTTGAGAGTGTATACACTTACAGCCATTGCAGATGTTATATCGTCCGTTGCTGTCGAACCACAGCTGTATTTGACGCTCGCGGTGATGGAACTTGTCACCAGACCAAGCATTTGGTCCTTGAGACAGACACAGGAGGCGAGTGCCTGGGACCCATCAGGACACAGCTCACGAGCTTGCTATTTCACCAAAAGTGTCAGCATGGGGGCGTGATCTTGAACGAGAAAACGCATGTTGTTCTTACCCCTTGAACAGCATAAGATACGGCCGAAGCAGCGCATTTAGCCAATGAGCTATACTGTGGCAGGTCCTTGATATAGTACGTCACTTTCGATCAATCACTCGATCAGCAAACCGAACCATGTCAACAAGCTCATATCCATCACTATCAAACTTACTATCGCCGGGAGGGTTACTCGGCTTAGGAAACGCCGACGTGCCATCGTTCAGTTTACACCACGCCGACCACATTTCCTGAGCCGACGAGACATCGGCCGTGTGGCTTTCGCAGTAGTACTTGACCGATGAGTTGATGAGTTGGCTCGCCAGCAGAGAGTTCTGGTTCTTTTGGCAAGCACAGGTAGCGTAGGCTGCTAAGTCCGATGGACAACGTTCGCGTCCCTGTGAGCATATTCATATCAGTATCAGTACCGCCTGATCGAAGAAAAGCCCCAGGGGCTTCCCTAACCATTTCCTTGACAGCATAACCAAGCGCACTAAACGCACAAGGCGCCAACGCAGCCACCTCCGGCACATCAGTAATGTACTGCGTCACCGAAATCGACGGTTGTGGAAATTCGGGCAGCTTGTCCTGGCTGCAATACGCGCTGAGCACCGTCGCCGCCGACGCCTGGTCCTCGGTAGCCGTCGACCCGCAGTAGTAGTTGACGGACTTGGAGACGTCGGACTTGATGGCCGCGAAATTGTTGTTCTTGGTGCAGACGCAGCCTTGGAGTTCCCCGACTGCGGCGGGACAGGCGTCGCGGGTCTGGCCTTGGACGTTGTAGGAGAGGGCGGTTTGGGCGCATGGTGCCTTCGTGTTGGATGGGAAATCATCAGCTCTACTTTCTTTACTGTGTAAGGGCAGAGGGGGTATGCAGTCTGACGGAAGGAAGGATTGAAAGAGGGTGGAGGTAAGGTACCAAGGAGTTGTATATCGCCAGGTCGGTGATGTAGACGACTTGTGCGGCCTTTGCGACTCCTAGCAGGCCTAGGAGCGGCAGTGGGGATGATCGATGTTGTCGACGCATCGTCTTAAGGGAAAAGACCGTGTCAAGAAATCGGGGGTATATAGGTTGAAGGCAACAGGTAGGTAAGATGATATCAAAGTTTGGCAAAGGGACGGCAGCTGGAGTTGAACAATCTGGACCGGATCAAAGCAGAGTGATGATACAGAACGGCCGGCTCAACCGCACAACACCAAAGACTTGCGTGGAATATGTCAAGTTGATACACAAAAGGGGAGACCAAAAGAGAAAGTCAAGTTAGAAAATTTCCGCGAAAACCACTTCATCAGAACCACGACCCCAATCCCGTCTACCAACTACGCGCAAAGCGCATAGACACTAGATCAGCGCTGAACTAGACGAGGCGTCTTCCTCAAAGTCTCCTTCAACCCCTCCCTCATCTCATCCAGGAACCGCTCACGATAATCGTCTATTTTCCCACACATTATGCACAACACCTTTGCACCACACCCTCGCATTGTCGATTCGATGTCGAGATAGGAAAGGATACCCCCTTTTTGGTGTAACAGGACCCCTACCAGCTGAAAAAGGTAAATCAAGACAGCTGGAGATGCAGGCACACGGCAGGAGTGTTTAGCGAGTCTGGGGAGGAAGATCAAGCTTTATGGAGTGTGACCAATGAATGGGAGGAGTGCCCTGGTAAAGGTGGCTTGTGTGTATTTAATCATTCTTCGACGAGATACCTATGTATCTTCCTCACTTGCACATCTACGTTGAGTAGAAGAGGGTACCTATTCATTACTCTTAGTCTTCGAACGGTTGGTTATTCTTCAACAACCAGTTCCAACGTCCCACTCAGCGTCCCACAACCCGTAAGTTTTCGAACAAACGACCTGAATATTGTCACTCTAGTGTTCTTATCACCAGCCAGAATTTCGAACAAAGCGAACGAGACAGGCGCCAATGAAATTTTTTTTATACATCCTCTTCTCTCTCTCCCCCTAGAAACACGCCAAGACCAAGCTTAAACCTCAATCACACCCACCCGACCAGGTCGACCCACGCACGCCATTCAAGCCAAGAGGTAAGACGGAACAATTATACAACCTCAAAAGGGGACAGGATCAACAACTCGTTCGTCCACGATGCACAGTTGCATACGTTCGACAGTAGACGCGCCTGAGGCGCCACACACAGTTATCAGATAACGTGCCCAAATAGGAAAGTTTTGGAGAAAAAGCTTATATTTAGACATGTGAAAGCATGGCGCATGATGGGCGGGATTGATATGATTTAAGGGGTGCCGAGGAACGCCACGGTAGGGTAGTTGGGTGGTTCAGCGCGGTTAAGTACTACACCCAAACAGTATACCTACTGGGCTGAAGAGGAGATAGGGTCTTCAAGACAGCCGGCTTCGGAGAGGGGAGTTACCCTTTGAGCATATAGGCTCGACAGAAGATGAACAGTGCAGTTTGTGTCGTTAATAGGAAGATAAGAAATGCGAGAAAAGATCCTCATCTCAAGCCCAGGTATCATGACCTCATCTTTTCCTTTCATCATGGGATATCACATCCCATCCCCAGCCAGAACCGTCCTTCCCTTCCATCCTCACCCCTCACTATCCATCCCCCTTCCCCTTTTTTAGTGATCCATAACCTCCCAAAACAAATCCGTATTCAACACCACCCTCTCCCCCATCCAAATCGCTCTCTCCGTATGATTCCTCGCCTCCTTCTCCGCCTCACTCATCTCCCCCCCTTCCTCAATCGTCTTCTCCGTCGTATTCGGATGAATCAACACGCTCAACGGACCTCTCCAAACCGCCAACCACCCGACAAAAGCGCCAAACTGCGCCGGCGTAAAGATATTGACCTCGAACATGGCGATCGGGTGCGGACCGACGGGTTTGCTCCAGAAGGTGTAGATCCGTAACTCTGGGAATTCACGGCGGATGCGGGAGTGCAACTCGGCGGCGTACTGGGCTTGGGCGGGGTGGTTGGGGAGGTGGTAGATGTGGACGTCGCTTTGGCGGGGAAGGGTTAGTGAACCGCAGTAGTGGTATTGGGATATTGATATGAGTGAGGGGGAAAAAACGTACAAGGCACCTCGTCGCCCGTTGTCTAAGGGCTCGGGAAACTTTTCGTAGGCGCTGCTGAGGACGCCGGTTTGGATGTTGAGGAGACTCTTGCCGTCTTCGGCCCTTTCGGTGGGGGGGGGAGGGGCATTTTCGTAGCCTTCTAGAGGGGATTTGTAGGTTGGTCTTTGGGAGGGCATTGTGGTGTTTGGCTTGAAAGTGTAGGATCGATCTCGGTTTTGGATGGGTTCAAGGTGAGTAGATGGAGGATGAGGTGAGTGGGATGGTCGGGGTTGGTTTCTGAATCTAGAGAGATTGGGTGAAGGTGGGTGCGAGTGAGTTGGAGTAAGTAAATAAAAACTGGAGGTGAGGTGAAGTCAAATATTATCCGAATAGCTTCATCGACGTGATGTCCTAATGAGTAAGCATTACGAAGTTGACAATACGGATGACAAATGACGGCGGTCGTTTGCGGTCGTTTAAATGGCGTGCCTCGGCATGGCATCATCCTAGCATCCCACCCGTGACCGATTGGCGATCCCGTCCGGGGAAGCCCCGCCCCGCACGGCGGCATCCGACAGCACACGGCACGAGACACGAGACACGGGACCCCACGAGTTCCATGCTCCACTGCTCACTTGTCCGGTGATGACGATTTGTCCGAGAAGCAAAGTCGGTGATAATGTAGTCGCAGATATTCACGCAAATCACGGCGGCCAGGGCATGAGTCCACGCTGACATGTGATTAAAAAGCCTCCTGCTTGTTGTGAGAATAAACTAAAGTACAGTAACAAATGCCTACTACGCCGGTGTAATAGTTATACTCCGAAACAATGCTGACATCTAAACAAGCAGTGAGAGAAAAGGTATGAACCGTGCGCCGCCTAGCCTCCTGGCCATCTTGAACGCCATGCCCAAACCAAACCCATGATACCGGACCCAACCCTAGCCATGACTGAAGCAAATCCTTTTGGTACAAAACAGTTCCTTCCCTATGTAAACTTTTTCCTTCTAAACCAGCAATGTGAAAACACGTCCCGTGGGAACCAGTCCATGCTCGGAAATGCGCAGCAACAAAATCGAATGCTCGACATGACACCGTGTCGATGTCCCCTAAACCGTAACAAAGCCGTAACAAAAGCGAGAAATACTGTAGTAATGCGAGGTGCCGAAAGCTCAAGCAGAAGAAGCAGGCTCAGCCGGAGCTTTGCCCTTGTCGTTCGCATCCGCAGGGCCGGAGACATCGTCGGTGGGGCCGAGGTCGGAAGGGCTGGTGTTGACCTTCTCGCCAGTGGCGACGTCAACCAGCTTGTCGCCATCGACCTCGACCTCTCTGTTTCCGATGCGACGCATCAGATCAAGAAAGGTGGACTTCTGAAATTTCTCTGACTGGTTGTCGGCGACGGAGGTCAAAATGGCGTTGGCAGCCTTGGCAAGCTCCTCGTTGCCCTCGCGACGACGAGCCTCGGCTTCCTGAAGCCTCTTGGCGGCTTCCTGCTCTTGGGCGAGGTTCTCCAGATCAGCATCAATGATGGCCATCTCCTCGTCGGTGGGGGGGCCAACTTTGGTGTTGTTCTCGGCAGTCGGACCATGCTGCGCCATCCATTCGGCCTCGGCGGCCTCAAACTCTTGCTGAGCTTGCTGAGCCTTCTCGGCCTTTTCCTTCTCGGCCCACTCAGCGAGTTCTTGCTCAAAGGAACTCTCGTCGTACTCGCCAAATGCTTTGTTGAAGGCTTCGACGTCCAGAGCCGTCTCGACGTGGTCGTTGAGGCCGAACTGAGGCTGCTGGTGAGTGAAATTGTTCAGGCCTGTGTCATGCATGACAAAAGGATCGTCCATGGACATTCCCATGCCCATACCCACACCCATTCCCATACCGCCGAACTGGTGAGTATTGTAGGCCATATGGTCGTCCTGCAAGCCCATCATGGGGTTGTGGGTTGCAGTAGACATGGCTGCCGACCTGGCTTGCGGTGACATGGTCGAGGCCGCGTGAACTGTGTCCTGATGGAGCTGCATGCTGGAGAACTGGTCGACCCAACCGTGGGCAACGGCACCGGAGGAGTGCATGGGAGTGGCCGTAGCCGGCGCACCTCCGACCGCATGACCAAAGACACCAGGCGCTTGACCAGCATGGAAAGCCGGGGCGCCTGGGTTGTTCAGGACTAGGTTGTTCTGAGCGAAGCCGAGGGAAGGACCCGGGGCGTCGAGCATAGGGGCCTGTTGGAAATTCTCGAAGGCGCCATCAGCAGCGAAGGAGGGACGGTTCCTCAGGGACTGGATGGGATGTTAGCATCGAGTTGCGTTAGGTATTCTACGACGTGACAAAAGAAAGAGATCATATCATACAGCATCGGCGGCCGAGTTGGGCGAATTCACCAGGCGGTCCTGATGAAGAGTACGGTCGCGATCAGCGTGCGCGAGAAGGTTCTTGGCGCCGTTGGACGGGCCGCACATGCTATCAGACATCTTGAGCGAGTTTGGTGGAAGCAAAGGCTCGAGAAGCGTTGGTGACGGCAAGATCAGAGAAAGAGAATACGAAGTAGAAGGTTATATATTAAAAGAGTGAGGAAGAAGATGTGCTTGGAAGAGTATAGTATTGTAGAGCGAGGAAGACTTGAGTGAGTGAGCGAAAGGAGAGTTGCAAGTTGTAGTGGCGCGAAAGTAGAAGCCGAGGTTCGTGGAGAAGCGCGACAGTAACCGAACCCGCCGGTATTTCAAGTCTTCAACGATATTTGGAGAAAGTGGTTGGAGGGGAAAAGAAGAAAACAAGAAAAAAAGTCAACAACGCCCCATTAAATACCACAACAAGGACGCGACTGATTTCTGTGCGCAAGAAAATTCTTTTTAGCAAACAAACAGAATCGTCGCAGATTTGATCAAGTTATTTTGGAAGGAGCGTCAAAATGGTCTGGTTGAGATTCCATCCCAACTTTTTGTAAGTGACGCTGCCACGGCACTTGCGAGATTCGGGGTAAAAAGCCATGCGCTCACGGCGCTATCATATGCATGTTCAGTGGACTTTTACAGCGGGACGGGAGAGGCGAGGGGCCGCGTGGGGTTAACGTGCCCCTGCCCGGGCCTCACCCTTGCCCCACCTTGTCTCGAAAGGGTCCACTTCAAGCCTCCGACCCGAAGGAACAACGTCACACCACGGTGAGCCTACCAAGGACACGACAAAGCCCCACTCACCGAGTTTCACCTTTGCTCACCTTGACTTCTTGCCAGCTGGACCACATCATTCGACAGGGATCACTGCGCAAGCGTCAAGCTCCATCGAGACGGGTTCATCGTGTCGCCTGGCCGTCCACTGTAGCTTGCAGCTTCCATTCCAGTGGTGATCCAACTGAACAGCAATCCCCAACGAGACGGCCTTTTGCCTTTCTGCTACCTCTACTTCATACCTCTCTGATTTCCTTCATAACTTATACAAGCAAATACGACGCCATAATCTTTTCTTCTTTTCCACGTCTTCAATACCCCATAATTAATCAAGATGGTACGTCCCTCTTACACCCCAAAGCTGCCGGCGGCGTCCCCCCTTTCTTGGCTACCTATTCACTAACATGAAGCTATCGCGACGAAACAGACCGCAGGCGCCCAGGTCATTGCCAACTCTGGCCACGATGATATGATTGTACGTTGAACATCATCCCCACGACGCTTCCCAACCATCGATCCTCTGTTTCTAACAGACCCTCGCAGCATGATGCAGTTCTCGACTACTACGGCAGGAGGTTAGCGACATGCTCCTCGGATCGCACCATCAAGATCTTTGAGATCGAGGGCGAGTCACAGCGGCTTATCGAGACACTGAAGGGGTATGTTCGCGATGGGCTACAGTCAACAACCGATATGGGCACTGGGTTAACCTCCCTTCTTACAACAGACACGACGGCGCAGTCTGGTGCGTAGCATGGGCGCATCCCAAGTACGGCAATATCCTCGCCTCGGCAGGTTACGACGGCAAGGTTCTCATTTGGCGCGAGCAAGCCGGCAGCTGGCAGCGCATCTTCGACTTCGCCCTACACAAAGCGAGCGTCAACATCGTCTCCTGGTCCCCTCACGAAGCCGGCTGCCTCTTGGCCTGCGCCTCTTCGGACGGCAACGTCAGCGTTCTCGAATTCAAGGATAACAGCTGGGAGCACAACATCTTCCACGCCCACGGCCTGGGCGTCAACTCGGTCTCGTGGGCGCCCGCCACCACTCCCGGCAGCATCGTCAGCAGCAACCCCGGCCCCGGCTCGACGGGCAACAGACGCTTCGTGACCGGCGGCTCCGACAACCTGCTCAAGATCTGGACCTTCGACCCCGCGACGAACGGATACAAGCTCGAGCGCGAACCCCTGACGGGCCACACGGACTGGGTGCGCGACGTTGCGTGGAGCCCGACTGTGCTTCAGAAGAGCTACATCGCGAGCGCCTCGCAGGATAAGACGGTGCGCATCTGGACGAGTGACGCGGCGAACCCGGGCGAGTGGAAGTGCAAGGTTCTCAACTTTGATGCGGCCGTCTGGCGCGTCAGCTGGTCGCTCAGCGGAAACGTGTTGGCCGCCAGCAGCGACAACAACAAGGTCACACTATGGAAGGAGAACCTTAAGGGCGAGTGGGAGAACGTCAAGACCATTGAGGAGTAAAAGAATGGGATAGGTCTTGTTATGATGGATGATCGGCGAGCGCTAGTATAATATTGGTAGGGTTTCTACTCATCATCTAGAGTGGGCGTTATCGGATAATAAATAAGGAAGGCTAGCGAAAAGGAGCAGGCCTGCCTTCAGTTTACAAGAACACATCCAGACTAGCTTCATACCAACCGCTCGGGACAATGAACATATCAAACCAAGTTCTATCTTACACTATCATATAACCTTACAAGCAAAGTATGACGGAGAGTACCTTTGACCCAGTACATCCCACCTCCCAAGTCATCAACGCGCCTTATCCATCTTCTCCTCCAACCACCCCAACACAATCTCTCGTCCCCTCTCATCCAAGTCCCCGACCCCTTCCAGATCCCCAATCTCCATGTCCTGATCATCCACCACGCCCACGTCCGCCACTTTGACCCTCCTCGCCGCCTCCAGCTCCCAGTGGTGGAGGTCGACCAGGTAATCATCGTCCCACTTCCGCCGCTCTTTGAGTTCCAACGTCTCGATGCTCCGCTGCATCAGCAGCGCCAGCTCGTACGCTTGCGTGCGGAAGCTGTTCTCGCCGGCGGTGATGGCGACGGGGGGTTTGCGGTGTTTGCGGGTTTTGAGGCGGGGGCGGGGTTGGGGGCGGGATGATTTCTTTTCTTTTGTTTTTCCATCTTCTTCTGCTTCTGCTTCATCATCCTCTTCCGCGTCTTTTTCCTCCTTCTCCTCTTTCTTCTGCTGCTGCTTTGTTTTTTGGCTTCGCGTTGGGGGGGTACTTAGAGCGCGTGCGCCACTCCCATCCGACCCGATCTTCGCCAAAGCATCACACTTGAACGGCAACTCCGCCGACGGCGTCTCGTACAATAACAACGTATCCGGCAGCTTGAGCATCGAGTGCCTTGGCGGGAAATGCACGTAACTCTTACGCGGGAACTTGCCAGATAGAATCTCGACCTGGAGAATTTGCTGGAGCATGTCTTCGGCCGCTACTTCGTCCGGCTCGCCTTCGGCGTCGTTGACCATGGACATTTGCATGCGGTACTTCTCGGAGTGCTCGGAGTCGGGGTCGAGGTCGTCGGTGGGGTTTTGGCTGGCTGGGAGGGGAGGCGGGGGTTGTTGAGGAGGGGGGGTAGAGGGGGGAGTATAGGGAGAAGGGGAAAAAGGGTCGTGGGGGTCGCTGGGAACATTGACGGCGACGTCGCTGCTGACGCCCTTGACACCGGCACCGGTAATTAAGGGCCCTGGAGGCGGCGGATGAAGCCATTCAGGAACATATTTCTCGTCGAAAGTCGTCGGGATAAAAAGTCCCGCCGTGTGAAAGAACAGACAAGCGCTCGCGAAGCTATCAAACAATCCCGACGGCGAGCCAAAGAGGTCTTCGAGGCGGCGCTGGTAATGGGCGATGATGGGCGAAGTCGCCGCCGGGCCGCCGTCCTTGTCGAGGTCGCGGTTGAGCTTGTGCAGCTTCTCCTCGATGAGGATGCGGTCGTCGCCCTTGGGCCGGTGGATCGGGTGGTCCGGTAAGAAAGTGGTCCAGTCGTAGATGCCGTTGTAAGCGAGGAGGCCCCGGACAGCCATGCGGGCGTGCGGGTACGACTCGGAGAAGGCCAGGCCGGCGGCCAGACTGGCGCCGAGGTAGGAGCCGCAGATGTAGACGTCTTTGCGCTGGGGGAATCTTGGTTGGAGGTTTTGGGTGATCCAGGAGTAGCCGAAGAGGACGTCGTGGATGGGGGTGGGCCAGTGGAGGGGGGTTATGCTAATGTTTTCTTCCTCTTCTGAGAGTTCCTCTTCTTCTTTTCTGTCAGGTGTCTCGCTGGAGTGATATCCTTCATCGTCAAAATCGGGCTCTTCAGCCTTTGGCTTGGGTTTTGGTTTTGGCTTTGGCCTTTCGTCGTACAAGCCAGACCACCTGTAGTGAATGACAGCAACCGAGAATTTGTGAAGCCATGATGGGAGATGATAGTTTGGGTCGTTCTCATCCCGAGCAGCAAACGGGGGGATCCAAATGATCAAGGGATCGGTTGGCGGCCTGTCCGCGACATTGTATAGACTGAGCCACAGAGATCAGTCTATGAATGACCTTTATCATACACAGTTCACATGGAGAATTTTGAGCATGTCAACCTACCTGACAGTAATCTCACCAGCAGAGGCGCATGGAACAGTATATCGTTCTATCGAAGGCTGAAACGTACTGCTACTGTAGAATCTCTTATGGAACGTCTGGCGCGGGAAGACTGGTGAAGCGGCAGTGATGCGCCGGAGTCTCAGTGCTAGAGTCCATCCCGGCATCTTCTACGTTTTCCAGTTGATGGGAGAAGTTCTGGCGTGGTTTGTCAGACCTAGTGCTATTCTACGAGTTCACAACAGAGTGAGAGAAAGAGGCCTTGGACACTGAAGATGAATTTCTTACTCGTCGGAGCACCAGATTATCCCTTCATCTCCGTGCTTCTCAAGACTCAAAATAATACCCCATGAGAGGTTATGACATCCCAAACTGGATAGATCAAGGTTGATATCCCAATCAGATGTTGTTGTTTTCGGTGTTTGATATTGAGACAACGGAAATTGTTAGCGACGACCAAAAACACATCGAGGTACGTACCTGCGTTAAGGTCACTGCCTGGCATCTGGCAGCCAGCTGTTCACCATTGTGAGTGGGGCCATGGAACTCCACAGAACAAGCTCACGTCAAAACCTTGGCAGAACTTGGCTATAAACTAACCGCTACCGGCCAGGTACGTACCTCCTACACCAGAACATGCTCTTGCCCGGGACGTCATATGATGGGGACGGGATTCAACGTGACAAACAACCCGACATCGTCTTGCAGCTTGGAAAGGGCTGTCATGCCAACAAGAAAGTGTCAAGCCAACTTCCACTTCTCCTATATTTATCGTACCTACCTAGGTAGCCCAAATGAATCATCAGCGATATTTGTTTACTATCCTGCTTCGTCCTTGCCGCCGTGATGCTACGATAATACGACGATGACATTGAACAACAACACGCGTCGATAGGGGAAGACATCCCGATACCCTATGTCACTTGGCGTTACAATTATCACCATTCTTTACAGTATTGTTTTTATAATAGCCCTATTATTCCTTATCTGACAACATGGAGGACGCCGGTGGTGACAATGTGGAGGAACCTCTCCAAGAGGTCGATGAGCAATACAAGGCCTCACTTCCCAAGCGTATGGGAGAGGACCAAGCTCATCGAGACCCTAGGTAAGCCATATTAAAACAAGTACTCAGATAACCCGTCTCGATATAACAGTTGGATACTGACAGTCTGGACTCTTGTCAAGTCGATGGTGGTTTGCCTCGGCTGCCTTTCCCATGGTCGCAGGCACACTGGGGCCCGTTGCAAGCGCCTTCAGTATCTGTGCCCTCGTCCGACCATGGAGACAAAACTACACCAAAGGAGCCGACATCGACACCGCCACCTTCATCAAAGACCCAGCCTGGCTGATCGCCATCAACGCTATCCAGCTCGCCATTGCGCTAACTTCCAACCTGGCCTTGCTCCTCAACATGACCAGGAGACTCCGGTTCTCCATCGCTCAACCTGTCACGATAGTCGGATGGTACCTCTCATCCATATGCCTGATAGCACTCGCGAGTACAACGGCCGGACCGCTGAGACCGGAGAATAACGACTTCATTTGGTCCCAAGCGTACTTCTACGGCATCTACGCGGCAGTCCTGTACTTTGTTGTCGCCTCGCTCATGGTTGTTACCGTCTGGGCCTCGCAAAAGGGGCACTACGAGAAGGATTTCATGCTCACACCCAGTCAGAGGACACTGATGTTACAGACCATCTCGTTCCTCATCTACCTCCTCATCGGTGCCCTTATCTTCTCCAACACCGAAGGGTGGAACTACCTTGACGGCGTGTACTGGGCGGCCGTGACGCTCTTTACCGTGGGATTTGGCGATCAGAACCCTACCTCCACTCTCGGAAGGGGTCTTCTCTTCCCATACTCCCTGGTCGGCATTATCAGTTTGGGTCTCGTCATTGGATCCATCCGCAGTCTGATGCTAGAGCGCGGCAAGAGAAGACTTGATGCACGCATGGTGGAAAAACTGAGACACCGCGTGCTAAGGAAAATGGCCAAGAAGGGCAAGGATGGAATACTTACACCCATAAGGAATGCAAACTCCGATTCCCCTGAACTGTCTTCCAGCTCCGGTCTCACTGAATTTGAACGGCGACAATCGGAGTTTGAGCTGATGAGAAAGATCCAAAAGCAGGCGGCTCATAGGCATCGCTGGATTGCTATGGCTATCTCTACAAGCACATGGTTGGTCTTGTGGCTGGTTGGCGCCAAGATCTTCATGGAGTGTGAGCGCCAGTATCAGCAATGGACCTACTTCGATGCCTTTTACATGTCATATGTCAGTCTGACAACCATCGGATACGGAGATATCACACCAATATCCAACGCCGGAAAGTCCTTTTGGGTCTTCTGGGCACTTCTCGCTCTTCCGACTATGACAGTCTTAATCTCTAATGCAGGAGATACCATTGTGAAGGGCATCAAAGACGCCACGGACAAAGTGGCTACCGTCACCATTCTTCCTAGCGAGCGGGGCTTCAAGGGCGAGTTCAAGGCGGCGTTTAACGCCCTTTCCCATGGAAAGCTGTTTACCGAGGATATCGAGGAGTCGCCACCAGGAATACTTGGAGTCTCACAACGCCATAGGTACAGCAGCGAAGAGGACGATGACGAGGGTGAGCTAGCTCGGGATCAAGCAGATCTTGATGCCGAAGGCGCAAACACGGGTCCGAGAAAACAGAAACAGGCGAAGAATGCAAGAGACGAAGAGAGTCATAAGAGGCGAGTGGAGGGTAACGCAGCCGAAGAGGACAGCGGCGATCGTCCTGATCGAACAGTTCGCTTCGATGACTCCTCTACTACGTCAGGGAAGAAGGGATCGAACGGCCGGTCAAAGAAGATGGGAAACACGGATGACGAGGAGAACCCGTACGATAAGAACTCGAACTCAACTTCTCAGCTCCCCAGAATGACGCGTGCCGTCTCAATACCACGCCAGGACTTGCCCCAAACCCCCACGGACCCGGCCGAGTACCACCTCACGCTGATCGAAGAGATTGGGCGAGTAACGCAACACCTGAAGAGCCATCCTCCGCGGAAGTACACTTTTCAGGAGTGGGCATGGTACCTGCGGCTCATCGGAGAGGACGAGAGCGACGCAGCTAAGCACCGCAAGCCTTACACCCATCTTCGTAGGAGTAAGGATGAACTGGAGGGGAAAGAACGGGGGAGGTGGAGCTGGGTCGGCAGCAGGAGCCCGTTGATGAGCTCTCAGGAGGAAGCTGAGTGGATCCTGGAACGGCTGATCGAGACGCTGGACGATGAGCTCAGGGGTGTCAAGGCCGCGAGAAGGAAAGATGGGATGAAGAATCGGAGGGGTTAACAAATGGAAATCCTCGTTCTGGGTCTTCAGATGGCGTTTCATTATAATTACGGGGGCAGTAATTACTAGTGAGTATTCAATCCGAAGTTCGAGACATGGCATGCCTCACTTGGTTTGTGCACATGATGCTTCCCCTCTTCATCGGTTGTTGTTAACTGGCGATTCGTCAGAAAATGAACCCCAAGATGGCGAATGTCACGGTTGGTACCTTCTCTGGTAGCTGCTGTCTGAAGAGCAGGCCAAGATATTTCTTTCCTTTTCCGGATGACTAACTGCCTCTTGCTCCCGCTCTTGCTACTGGGCTAAGACAGCAACAGCTCAGACGACACAAGAGCACCTCCTTCCCGAGCTGAGTCTGGAACGGGAATGACATCATATACCACAAAATTTCAGACATATCTTCGAATACAAGTATCACCTTTATCCCGGCTTCATTTTCTGCCGAGATTCACAAGGGTATCTTGCCATCAACCACCCCTATGTGACGGAGAATCCAGAGAAAAAACCTCAAGGTACATCCATCTCTTTTCACATTGCCGCACCTGTCCGCTGTCATTCGAGCTCCTCCATTACTGTATACTTATTTCACGCTACCACTTCGTACTTACCCTTTCCGCTGCAAGAGAGAACATCATATGTCCATTATCATGTCAATCGAAGACATCGTGAGATGTTCAAAGTCGGGAAACTACGCTTTTCCTATCCAAAGGTGACTAGACCAGCCGAATCTTGTGTATCTTGGCTTCCCATCGCCCCATTGTGCAACCAACCATCAACACGCCATTTGCATCCAGGCATCAAGATAAAATCCTACATGAGAGGCTGACTGACACTTGGGTTTATGCATAGATACCCTCCCTACCTTGACCAATCTCTACCGACGGCTTGCCCAACTTGGGAAAGCTATATCAGTCACTCACCCATTGGCTTACACAGCTGTATGAGAGCTTAACTGCACACCAGCCGCCCAACATGTTCTCGACAACTTGGAAATCCACGGCACTGATGCTGCCCTCCTTGTTGTTCTGGCTCTCCGGCGATGTCGTTCAAGCACGGAGAGTAGCAGCGTCGACATGCCCAGCACCCGTACCTGCGTCATATCCTGCACCGGTAGTCCGTGACGGTTATGAGGCCCGGCTCGTGGCTACCGGACTCAAGAAGCCGAGAGGCGTCATCGTCGATTCGAAAGGAAGACTACTTGTGGTCGAGGCTGGCAAGGGGATCACGCACATGACTATCAAGGACGATGGATGGCCGTGTTTGTCTGTGGAGAAGACCACGACTCTTGTGTCGATGACTGATGTAAGATAAGCTCTCCGTGCTAACTGGCCGTTACCTTTTACGAACGATATGAAACAAAGACTAATATTACCAGCTCAACCATGGCATCGAACTCTCCGTCGACGGTAAAACCCTCTACGCCTCCACCTCCAACTCGGTCTACAGCTGGGCCTACGACGCAGACGCCGTCCGTGTCAGTGACGAAAAGTCTCCCAAGACGCTCATCAGCAACATGACCAACGTGGGCGGCGGCCACTCCACCCGCACGCTCCTCATCTCACGCAAACAGCCCGGGATCCTGCTCGTCTCACGCGGTAGCGGGAGCAACATCGACAACGGCGCTACCGACCATTCCTCCGGCATCTCGCAAATTCGAGCCTTCGACATCTCCGATCCCAACCTAGGAACACCCGGCGGCGGCAAAGTATACGACTACCCCAGCGAAGGCTGGACCATCGGCTGGGGCCTGCGCAACTCGGTCGGAGTAGCCGAGGAGCCCAACACAGGCGGCATCTACAGCGTCGAGAACAGCGCGGACGGCATCAAGCGGTTTGGGGTGGATATCCATGAAGACAGTCCCGGGGAGGAAATGAACTATCACGGCATTCTGCGCTTTCCCTCTTCCTCGCCCTCTTCCTCTAATGTATCCTCTTCTCCCGACCAAGGACAACAGCAAGGAGGAAACCACGGCTACCCCTACTGTCTAGCCCTCTGCAATTCCTCTCTTCCCTTCCCCTCCCTAAATACTCTCAAAACCGGTTCCCAATTCACCCACGACTCGACGCCCTACTCCATCCCCTATTTGTCTTCTTCCGACTCCTCCGACACCTCCTCTCCACAAGCAAAACCAATCAACATCACCACCTCCGACACCTCCTGCTCCTCTGCAAACTTCATCCCTCCCCGCCTGACCTTCCCCGCGCACACTGCGCCCTTAGACATCAAGTTCAGCCACGGCAATGACAATCAAAGTCTAGCGTACATCTCCTTCCACGGAAGCTGGGACCGATCTACCCCCGCCGGGTACAAACTATGCGCCGTTTTGTTCGATACAAGCAAGGGAGAACCGGTAGAGGCAAGCGATAGCACAAACAGTCTTGTGGATGTCATGTGGAATCGGGATGTGAGCAAGTGTCCGGAGGAATGCTTTAGGCCGGTGGGACTGGCGGTGGATGGGGAGGAGAGGATTTGGATGACGGATGATGATAAGGGGGATGTGTGGGTTTTGAAGCAGGTTGGGGAGGTGAAGGGTGATGGTGATGGTAATGGGAATGATTTTGGGAGTGGAAGTGCCAACGGGGATAGCGATAGTGCCGCTGCCCCGATGCGTGCTAAGAGGAGTGGAAGTGGTGCGGAGTGGTTGGGTGTTGGGACGTCGGTGGTGGGAGCGGTTACTGTGAGTGTGTTGTTTGGTGTGCTGTGAGGGGGTTATGGTGTCTGGGCTTGAAGGAGGCAAACCGTGTGTCTTCATGAGCACAATTCCACAAGGGACGGGCATTGGTTTTTATCCTTTGTTCCTAAGTCCTTTCGGACAGACTTGGGGGAAACGAAAACTTGATGACCTTCATTGCATCTACCTAATCTCCTAATCTCCTGTATCCGCCTGAAGGCGTATTGATGGGCTGAATGCCAGTCCATGGCTCACGTTACTAGATGTTCTGCCTATCTCCCCTAGCTAACTCAAGGTACCCCGTACCATCTCCCAAATACCATCAAAGCATACTACCAGCTGTAGCGTGTATGAACAGATCCCAAGTATATGGTTCCACGCTTCGTAAGTAAAGATATGTATGCTCAAAAATTTCCCCGATCAGTATCAAACCCTTAGAGCGAGGACGCAGTTGTGTTTCCAGGAGCCTTCCAAATCGACGAGTAGAGAGGGGCCTCAAAAGACTGCAAAGCACCAGCAATCTGCTCATACGACGAAACCATGAACCCAGCCACCTCGCCGAGCGCCAAGAGAGCAAGATTACGGACAGCAGAGGGCGGTAGGCCATACGATCCCATGACGAGAGAAGCGGTAGGGCAAACGATGTAGGGCCACCAGCTGCGCGAGGATGCGTCGGTGAAGAAGGATTCGTTGACAGATGATGCTGCTTCGACGGTGTCCTCCAGTATGTCGAGGATCTCGTTGGTGATGTTGGAGGCTTGTTGGAGTCTTTGTGTTTGGTCCTCGTATTTGGTGGCGAGAGTCTCGGTGACGGCAAGGAGGCGGTCCATTCCTTGCTCGAGATTGTCCTGACGGCGGGCTAGTGCGGCGGCTTGTTGGTTGGAGAGTTCCTGTTGAGGGTTAGTCGCGATGTTAAGTAAACGGGGATGTAAGTAAAATGACCCACGATTTGTTGTTGCAACGCGGTGGTTGAAGCTGCGGCTGTAGCGACTACCGCAACCAGGGCTCCAATGCCATCGTTCGCTCGGACGGAGACTTGTTGAAGGGCATATTCGTGCGCATGGGCTACGCGTGAGTGACCCTCGAGAACACCAGTGAGCAGTACGTTGAGCAGTTTCTGCAGGTCTTCGGCTTGTTGTTGGTTGTCGTGTAGGGAGGCAGAGGACCTTCGGAGTGTTGCTCCAACATCGGTCGCCAGATAATCATGAACCATGGCAAGTCCATCTCTCAATTTGTCGATCTGTGGTGTGAGGTTATCGAGATTCTTGATGGACTGTTGTGTTCGCAGGTCCAGTTGATCCATTTGCTTGTGAAGTTGAGCTTCCACGCCTTCTGTAAGGTTCCTCATAACGTTGGTAAGTCGCTGGTATAGGAGAATGTTTTGTGCTGTAAACCACTGTCAGCCATGATTCTCAAGCGGTATATCCAAACCCAGATATCCTACCTTTTTCATTATCCGCTCTGGCCGCCTCACAGAACCTCAAAGCCTTGTGCCGATAACTAATCCATGTGTTCCACGCAGCATCTGACGATTTCAAAGCAGACAGACAGTGGTCGATCTCATAACTGCTAACGTGGAGTTGTGCTTGGTCCCGGATCGCGATCTGACTCAAGGCCGGTTCCCGGAACTTGGCACATTGCGCCGGGATATTGAACCTGCCTCGCTCCAAGTCACATATTGCTAGACTGGCAGCATAGGAGTCAACAAAGTCGCGAACTTGCCGGCCGGTGTCTGTGAGTATGGTGGCGTCGTTCTTTCCGTCTACTAGTTGACAGTTGTTCACTAAGAGTCGGGCGGCGACACGATGGCAAAACGGTTCGGATTCGAGTTCTTGAAGCTCACTTAGGGCGACGGCGTAGATGTTTGGTAGGCGTGAAGACTCTCGAAGCAGATCTGAAGGCTGGAGGTTGCGGTCGATGTTCACTTGATGGTCGGCTGTGTCGTGGTCAAGTTAGCGAAGCCCAGGAGGTTAAGGTATCCATGGAATAACTCACGAACTGCTACTCTTCTTTCGCCTCCCCACGAGAAGGCCCGAGCGGTTGTTGCCGCAACGGCACATAAAGCCGTGAAAAGAAAGGCCCTAACCATGGTTTTTGGGTGAGTGTGATGCGACGAACTGATGATGTGATTTCGATAGAGTCAGAGGCGTTCAATAGAGCTCCGTCGAAGGAAACTCGGCAAAAGAAACGGAAAACTGGCAATATTGATAGTGCAATTTGGCGGTCGAAGTTTGTGGCCATGCAACTGAAAATTGTGTGCTTTTCTGAAGAGAAGGAGCGATCCGGGAAAGGGAAGGTGTATGAGGGTAAGTTGGCGATCGCGACTTCCCGAGGAAAGAGAAGTGGGCTTGAATTTACCTCTAGTGAGGAAGAGAATCACTTGATTCTTAAACCGTGAGAAGGTTCCAGTGAGTGAAATCAGTTGAAGTTCGCATCGAAGATGACTGTAATTGTTTGTCGAGCTCGACTTGGCTGGCTCTTGATCATCTGATATGGAGCTCTCCTCTCCAGCAGAAGCGAGCCTAGACAAAGACTTGGTATGTAGACCACTTATCTTGACATCACTGATGTCTGCATTTTTTCATCCGGTATCGAGAAAGTGCAAACAGCTCGTTCGAGATAGTTGGAAGAATTGGACCGTGACGGGTGTCTGGATGGTGATGATGCCGTGAGGTTGACATCCGTAAAGTCGTCGTCGGAAAGCTTGGCTGTTGTCGAAGGGGAGAATACCGCTCCGTCCGAACATTGTGAAACAAAACTTGCCATGACATGACCTCCACCAGTCCACAATTTTGGCCATTTCTTTGAAGATTTTAGGTAACTCGAGATGAATGATGTCGGATGGAACAACATCTGTTGGTGTTGTCGCCGTTTCCTAGAGGTAGCGCAAGCGAATAGTAGCAAAGAGACTATGCGGATACGACCCTAACCCTGGTTTATTTGCAGCCAATCACTTGCTGCATCGCTCTGCCGCGCCAGGTCCGATACATTTTTTGGAGCTTCCGCGATCCACCCGGTCCATCCCACCACCGGCCGGCTGCCATTGACTCGGTGCTGCCCTTGCGACTGCCAGAACCTCCGAACTGGAGCGCCGCGTCTCTTCGCCAATTCCGGTTCCGCATCGCGACGACGGCCAATCACCCCGACGACGACGCCCACCACGATGTTTGCCCCAAGCCGAAGGAGGGTCCTTGAGGCCACTGCCTCTGCCTCTTCTTCCGTCGTCACACTCCCCGGCTTCCTCGTGCCCGCCTTCCAGCAGACTGCCGGCGCCGCCGCCCGGCGCAACTTCTCCGCGACGACAACCCGCCCGTCCAAGCTCGGCCGCACCCCGCTCAGCATCCCTCCCGGAGTCGAGATCACCATTGGCGAGCCCTTTGTCAAGCGCGACATGACGCAGTGGAAGCAGCAGCCTAAGCGCAAGATTACGGTGCAGGGCCCGTTGGGTTAGTTTGCGTTCCTTTACTCGGACTCGGACGGAAAACGACCGGAGGAATGTACGGCGCAATTTGCGCTGGCGCAGGAGTGGACTGGGGTGGAGGGGCATGGGAGAGAACACGGTCTATGGGTGTTTTTGCGAGAGTGCAAAGGGGCCAGGATGGGAACAGAGCAACTGGCTGACTTATTGCACGTGTGCGCTGTGCTTTTTTCGCAGGACAACTCGAGATGAACATCCCCGACTTCATCAAGATCGACCACGACGCCGAGGCGAGGAGAGCGACCCTCAGCGTAGCGAACCGGGACGAGAAGGAGCAGAGAGAGATGTGGGGTACGGAAAACACTCTATCTTGGAGAATGTGGAAAGTTATGGGCGGCCAGCCAGCTGACGATTTCGAATCTTTCTTCAACATAACAGGAACGACATGGGCGTACCTTAACCGCTTCATTATGGGTGTATCAGAAGGTCACACGGCCGTGTTGCGTCTGGTCGGTATCGGTTACAGGGCTACGATCGACACCCGCCCCGAGAAGGAGGAATACCCCGGCCAGCAGTTCGTCTGCCTCAAGCTCGGTTTCTCCCACCCCGTCGAGATGGGCGTCCCCGAGGGCATCAAGGCCAGCACGCCGCAGCCGACGAGAATCCTGCTCGAGGGCATCAACAGAGAGCAGGTCATGACCTTCGCCGCCGAGATCAGGAGGTGGCGTGTACCGGAACCGTACAAGGGTAAGGGTATCTTTGTCAACGGCGAGACCATCAAGTTGAAGCAGAAGAAGATCAAATAGAGGACGCGCTCTGGGTTTTGGTGGTTGACGTTGTTGTTGATGATGATAAGGGGGTATATTGTACATTTAGTCTATATTTTTTTTGGCACACATGGCCTCACAACGGCCCGATACCTGCCATAACCTGTACACTACGACACGAGGCTTTACTGCTGACCAAGGACTTCTTGAACGACCTTGATAACCTGGTCGTGGACCGTAGCAGGCGCCGCGATGACACCCTTGTTCTTAGCCAACGTGCGGCCGACACTAAAGTCCAGACGGTTTCCATTCACGTCGGTGACCTGTCCGCCAGCCTCGCGCACAATCAGGTCTCCGGCAGCGTGATCCCAGATCTTCTCCTGGTAAGACTTGGAAACAGGCAGACGGAGGTAGATATCACCCGCGCCGCGAGCAATAGAGCCATACTTGGCCTGGGAATCCATCCGCACACTAGGCTTGGTAATCCCGAGCTTCTGCGCAATCTGTCCAGCCACGCCCTGATCCGAGTGACCCGCCTCCACGCTCTCGCAGAAGCTCGCGTTGGACATCTCCGTGATAGGCTTCATCGCAATGGGCTTGCCCTCCGCAAGACCGGCGGTGCCCAGGGGTCTGCTGGTCGCGCCCTGGCCCTGAACGGCCGAGAAGATGACGCCCCGGCCCTCGTCGGTCGCGTTGGTGCCGATATCCGCAGTCAACGGCGCAGCGTCGTCCACAGGCAGGTTCGGGCAGCCGAGAACGCCGACCTTGACATCACCGTCCACCATCAGTGCCAAGCACACGGCATACTGTCCACCACGCAGGAAGCCCTTGGTGCCGTCGATGGGGTCGATAGCCCATATCCTGCCCTTGGCGCCGCCCTGGCTGTTGCCCTGGTCGATGATCTCCAGCATGGCATCGGCATCCTTGATGGCGCCGCCGAGGAGCTGCTCGGCAGCCTCGTCGTCGAGCTTGGTGGACTTGACGAGCTCCCAGATCTGGTCCCGCAGGGGCGTGTCTTCGCGCAGCTGAGCGGCCTCCTCCTCGGCCACGATCTCGTCCGAAGGGAAGTTGGCCTTGAGGGCGCTGATGATGAGCGCCTGAGCGCCAAAGTCGCCAATGGTCACGGGGGACTTGTCGTCCTTGGAAACGGTGCCCTTGGCCTTCTCGTGGAAGACGCGCTTGGTGAGGCGGGCCGCCCGCTGAACGGCGAGCTGAGCTACCTCGAGCTCCTTTGCGTACTGAGAAGAGGCCATCATCTGTGTAGAAATCGTTGCTACTCGAAAGGAGGAGATGATGCGGGAACTGAAGATAGCCAGGATGAGGACGATGAGGGAGAAAAGGAAGAGAATTTTGGAGTAGAATATATGGGAGGATGTCTTTTTCTGTTGGTTGATATTCTTATCCACAGTCATTCAGCCGCTGAATAATCCGTAACCGGAATATTCAGTTCAAGTTGTTGAGTGGTTGGTTGACTTTGAATTGTGGTTGTCAAAAGTTCCCCGCACTGGTTTTGTAGCGGCGAAGCTGTTGACGTATGACTGCCCTTTTGGTCTTTTTTTCCACTTCGATTGGTCTCCGCAATGCCACCAAGCGCTCTTTCCGAAACTGCAGACAACGGAATCTCCAGTTTTTGTTTACTTTCCTCAATATTTCACCTGTTTCTTGATGTTTCCTTCTTCGATCTGGCACTCTTGAGAGAATGCCCGTCAAAACGGCAATGATGACCTGGCTCGGTTCAGGGTCCTTCCATGTTGAATCTGAGCTACCATGGATGAGCCAGGGAGCCCCGAACTCGGAGAGAGCTTCTCCTTCGACTCCATCATCATCATCATCATCATCATCATCATCATCACACTCTATGGGGTTTCTGATTTTGATTCCCCCGACGATATCAATCGATCTGTATGACCTCAAGACGAACTGCCCAGCGACTGCAACTTCTGCTCATCCTTATCGATGAAAACGGGAACCTGGCCGAGGGTCCAACCCTTCCGTTCAACGACCCAACTGAGCTCCGAAAAGCTGCAGCAACCATCCCGCAGCCTGCCAAGCCAAGTGGCTTGCCTGGATCAACTCCCAAACAGCAACTCAAAGCGCTTCTGGGGACACCATCACAATGGTTGTGTTCAATTGTTGCTTCGAGCTTTTCTCAGTTCGCATTGGGCTTTCTCAGATATGCGGCACTGCCACAAAGTTCTCTCAACCGCCGACCGATGCTGAAATGAGAAACGCCAGACAAGGGGGCAGAGTGAAAGAGTACGGTACTAATCCTCGACCATCAGGACGGGCAAGAGGCTTTCCCGACGATGGTGTGTTGCCCTGCGCTTCAGACTATTGCTTCTCCAATGCAATCACGTCGACGCAGCGGTCGAGCTGAAGAGGTCCTGGCATAACCCAACCGCCAGCCTCACGGTGTTGCTGGTCACTTGATAAGTATGGGCAGGCCGTCGTGGCGCCCCAAGGCTGTTTTCACTTCTGTCGAGTTTGCATTTCCTGATAACTCAATCCATCTCTTCCTTTTCCCGTCTTTTGTGTTGTTTCCTAGTTTGGGTTGCTGATATCCAGAGAGCATGCGCTACTCGCAACAATGATTTGTTCTACCTCATCCATCTCCACGATACTCTTGTACCTAGCGGTACAGGCGCGACAAGTACGAGCCGACCCAAATGCGCCGTGTTACTTTCCAGGCGGCGAGTTCGCACCAGGCTACTTTGCTTGCCAGGCCTTCAACGCTCCCGTCTCTTCGTGCTGTCCGGCAGGGTGGACATGTTTCAGCAATGCACTCTGCATCGCGACGACAGAAAGCAACTCATTTCCCAACTTGACTCTAGGCGCGGTGCAACGAGGAGCTTGTACGAATCCTCAATGGAATAACAATATCTGTGGGAGTGCTTGTCTCGGTAGGTGGTCCAAGTCTGTCTGACGGTCAGTGTCAGTGTCAATAACTCGCTAACCATCACCTTTCTTTCTTGCAATAGATAGCGAAAACCGCAAAGGCGGGTTGGCAGCTTGTGGAAACGACCGATTCTGCTGCGCGGGAGACTTCAACGAAGGGAAATGCGACTGTTCCTCGAACAATAAGGATAGCGGTGCATTCACCATCAGCGCCGGCCTGGCGCAAACCATCATCCAAGTGTCTGACACGACCTTCACCGGAAGTCCATCGCTGAACATTGCGTCCACGAGGGCTAGCACCGTAAAGGCGTCAGCCACAGGAACAGGAACTATAACCACCCAGACCGCATCAACCTCCGGCTCTGTGACCTCATCCCCGAAATCAACCAGCGGCCAAACCTCCTCATCAGCGCCGACCACAACGCCAGCAGCTCCACCCGTTGCAAGTTCCAAGGGAGACGACGACAGCGACTCCGGCTCTAGTAGCAGCAGCAACGGTCTCAAGATTGGGTTGGGTGTTGGTATCCCGATCGCTGTCTTAGCTGTTGCGGGAGCGTTGGCTTATTTCCTCTGGTGGAAGCCGAGGCAGATTGAGCGGTCCCGTCGCATTTCGCAGCATGATCATTACTTCCAGTCGACGGACCTGGCGGAGAATGATCCCCATGGGCCTGCTAAGTATGAGCCGTATAGGCAGGCGGCTACGTGATGATGGTTGGGTGAGGGTTGTGTGCTGTGCGGTTTCGAAACCAGGGGAGAATGGACGTCTGCTTTTTGAGGGTAGTGATTATTAGGAGGAGAGTCGTAATGCGAATATACTCTTTATTTTTGCTAGGACTTGATTCGGTCATCGTGCAATGTAGTTCCTGAAGATATGTCAACGCACATTATTTGGTATTTTTGAAAAGGAAGCTGATGATCGATCGGACGTGCTGCATACAATCTAATGCTGGTTTGTTTGTTAGCTTGGTACTCCTGGTATACTGGACGAGATCTATCCCGAATTGTCCTAAACCCTACAAAGAGATAAAATGAATGGTTAGGTACGGGTCGGAAAGGCATCAATAAGATTCAATATGGCATATCAAATTTCCAAAATAGCATATGCAAAGTAAGATCACGCTTTGGTTATAGAACGAAACGGATTAATTAAATATATAAACGCCTAGGAAAGTTGACCAGAGGTCTCGAGCTAACAAACAAACCAGCATTGGACTGTATTGGCCATGGCAAGTGACGGACACACAACTTCCAAACGTCGAACTCTCCCTTCAGTTCACCGGTGCAATACAATAAATAAACACATGGGAAAAAGATAGGTTTAAAGATGGGTGACAACCGATCATAGCTTTCGGGAACTAAATCACCAAAACTGATTGATACCTCATGTTGTGAATTTACAGCCTGTGCTGCTATTGCAATCTATTTTCGATGCATTTACACATTTACCGTGACACAGAACAACCCAACTCAACAACCACCACAACCTGCCCTGCAACCTTCTTAAAACCCCGAAAACAAGCCCAACAGCAGTCTGGTATCAATCAGTAGCGGAACAATTACAAAAAGAAAGAAGGGCTTAAGAAAAAAAAAAGAGGATAGATAGCAGGACCAATCGCAAAAAGCGCAAAAAGAGTGGGATTGCCCGGAATCGAACCGGGGTCCTCTCGGATCGTTGTGTACGAAGAACCACAACGAGAAGTACTGACCACTATACTACAATCCCTGTTGTTGAAATATGGGTCGGATGCGTGTACTCATATGCACCGTTTGAGCTTGTTTACGTACAATTAATTGCCTGGTGCAGCTCGCACAGCGAAAGCAGCCGTAAACTGTTGGGGTGATGATGATTACATTTCCGGGGGAAGAGCGAGAAACAATAAGAGGCAAAAACAATCAAAATCCAAATCAAAAGCTCTATGCCTCGAGTTGGGTTCACGATGTAAGTCTAGAGGGTGGTGGTGTAGGTCTCATGAGCCTGTGTCATCTTTGCAATTCATCTTGATCGGTTTGCTCATCAAGCAACATTGGACCGACCATTTGGTGGTGATAAAAAGAGATGGAAGACATGATGTGTGCTTGTTTCCGAATTGCTTCCCTAAGTTACGGTCTGCACGTTCTTTCTTTTTACTAGTTCATTTTCATTATCATAAGGAGAAGGATGTCACTGACTCATATGTAACGCATCTTTCACTACCTCTTGCGCATCCTTACGGGTGCATCCATCATCATCATACCTTCATCAAAACCAGAGAACAACCCATCTAATCATACCAAATAGCATTCATACCAAACCCAGGCTCCGGAATCCGCACCCTCGCAGCCCTATGCAAGAACTCATCCTTCCACCGATAAATCTCCAACCAGCCCTCCTGATCGTCCGTGATCGCCATCCACTCATCGCTCCACGGGCACGGGCTAACCGCATTGCTATGCCCACCGCTCGTCGGCGTCGGGCTGAGGAACAGCTGCTTCTCGATGCTTCCGCACTCCTGCAGCTTAAAGCCCGCAATGTACCCCTGCAGCTCGAACTTGTTCGCCCGCGAACTGGCAAACATGTACTTGCCGCTGAAGGTCAGCGCGCACACGTCGGCGCGGTAGAGGCCCTTGCCGGTCTCGGGGTCCCGGTCGGTGATGCCCGGGGGGATGAGCGGGAAGCTGTGGTGCGTGTACACGGGCATGTGCGTGGCCGGATCGATCACGTACTCGCAGATGCGGTTGCCGGCCTCCATCAGGGCATACAAATAATTGCCCGAGGGGTGCATGGCGACCCAGCGCGGGTGGTCACCGGCGTCCGGGGCGTCGACGGAGCCGACTAGCTCGACTTCGCCGGAGGCCAGCTTGCGGTGCGTCCAGAGCTTGTTGGCCGTCAGGTCGGCTGAGTAGAGGTAGGTCTCGGTCGGGTCGAACACCATGCCGTGGATGCCCGTGTTCTCTTGGTATTCGTAGTTCTGGATGTTCTTCTCGAGCGCGCCGGTCTCGGAGACAGAGAAGACGTTGCCGTAGCCGGCGAACTTGTAGAAGGGGTTGGCATAGACGGCGTAGGGGGGCTGCTTGGCCGCGAGGAGGAAGATGGCGCGCGTGTTGGTGTCGGCGTCGTTGGCACGGGCTGTACACACAAGTCTTTAGTTAGTCCTGGAACATTGGGTCGTGATATGGGAATTTTGTTGACAACATACGATGGCCACCGATAGGGTGCGATGCCTCGTGGATAATCTCAGTCGGGCTCTTGACGGCAAAGCTGTTCCATTTCTTCATGGCAGCGCCGTAGATGTTCTTCCTCTCATGCTGTTACCATCTCCATTGTGAGCAGGCAAAGTCGCAGTACTCTCGTGGACATTGATGGATGGATCATACGTCAAAGGTCATCCATGATATCGGCTCATCTTGAGGAATCTCTGTTCTCTTGAGAAGCTTGCATGTGAGCTTCTCGTCGTCGAACTGGACAGTGAAGATGGCTCCTGGAGGGGTCCAGGTACCAATCATCAAATGGTGGAGGGGCATCTTGGAATGACGTCGGCTGGGAGTAGGCGAAGCGATTGCGACTGCGATTGCGACTTGGAGGAGAGTTCACGCCGGCGTAGGGGGCGTAGGATCACGAAGCGCGAAACGAAGAGTTGTTGTCGTACGATGTTGGGAATTGGGAATATCTCGAGGACCTTGACAGACGAAGTTGTTCCCAAACTCCGACCGGTTCAACCCATCCCCAACTCGAGATCCGACATTATTGCCCGGCTGTCGCGCTGCGATGTGGTGACTGGGTTGCATCGATCGTTGTGCAATTGAATGGAGCTGTGACCATTGGGGAAATGCTGGGTCGCTGGGGCCCTTCCCCACTTGGTCCCCAGCTTTCGGTATCCAATGGTGGGGAGAATGTTTTGGGACTCGGAAGACGGCAACGGTAGATTTCAGAAACGAGTGCTCCCGATTCTGCACTCGACTGCACTGATTTTCCGTGGGATTTTCTGTAACGACGAACCCTCTGCAAGGCCCAGAACGCCTCGGATTCGATTGGAGAGAGATCAGGCACTCCCTTGCCGGACGAACCGGGGCTCGTGCCAAAAACTGGAATCCCGTTCCCGAGCCCGGGGGCCTGTCATGGGAACCCTGCTGTGTCCGGATCTTGCACAATGACAGGCCGGCGGGAAAAGGCTCACCCATCCCATTCATTGCAGATAAAATTGAACTTACACGGCACCTCGAGTGCTGGTGTTTGTTCTATTTTGAAACACCGCCTGCAAGACGGCTATTACTGCAAGGCAACCAATTGGTTACCGACATGAAAGGCAACCAGATCCAATATATCGAGCATTGGGGTTGTTTAACAGGTACCGGCATCTGAATCTTGTGATGCTGGGTTAGGAGGCTGGAGGTTGGATGTAAACAAAGCTCCTATTTTCTTCTCAATGCCGAGATTTGGAGAGGATTTGCTGGCAAGTGTCAGAGACATGAGCCGCATGAATGATGCCAAGACCGACATAAGATCCACACCAGATCAGCTCTCGAGTCTCGAGTGATTCACCGCAGACAAGCAAAGGTTGACCTCAATTTGGGAACAAATATGTTGGTTGATTCATATTGGAAGCTACCGGGAGTTCCTTGCAAGCCGAGACAACGCAACCATCACGGCACCGACCGGCCAGTTTTGAAGATCCAGGGTTAGGGGTTACCGTGGTAGGCAGGGCTAAATTTCTCCCGCTTTGCCTCTCTTTCTCCATAACCCCACACTCGCATCACACCCACAATGACCGGCTTGGGAACGTCAACCTGCCGCGAGCCCGTCCGAATCCAAAGGTCTCAAGGGCGGCGGGGAAACATGGAGGCACATGGCACCATCTGGGCACCTGGGCATCTGGGGCGTGTGCGATCCTATCATGTTGCGACAATTCACAATGCCATGAAGATCCAGATATCCAGTTGTACGGTGACGGCCTGCTCTGTATTGTCCCTTTGTATATAATATCCTTGGAGGAACCTCTTGCTCCGGCTTCCCTCCTCTTCTTTCTTATTATCATCATCATCAAACCATCTACTTTCAGAGTCTTCATCATCACCACACCAGTCAAGATGGCTTCCCACAGATTCGACCCCAACTTCACCCAGGCTGTCATTGACGGCATGGGCCCCAACACCACTCCTCGTAACCGTCAGGTTCTTGGTGCTCTGACCCGTCACATCCACGACTTCGCTCGCGAGGTTGAGCTCACCATGGACGAGTGGATGGCTGGTGTCAAGTTCATCAACGAGGTCGGCCGCATCTGGAGCGAGTCTGGCCAGACCCGTAACGAGGCCCACCGTATCTGCGATATCTTGGGTCTTGAGTCGTAAGTTTACTTCCTGACCAATATCACAAAGAATTCCACACTAACAACTTCCTCTTCAGCCTTGTCGACGAGATCGCCCACAAGATCGTCGTCGAGGAGGGTCTCGAGCCCACCTCCTCCTCCATTCTCGGTCCCTTCTGGTCCCCCAACGCTCCCTTCCGCGAGAACGGCGGCACCATCATCCAGGACGGCGTCCCCCCCAACGGGCGCGTGACCAAGATGCACGGTGTCATCCGGGACATCACCACGGGCCAGCCCATCCCCAACGCCGTGTTCGACATCTGGCAAGCCTCCGCCAACGGCAAGTACGACTTCCAGGACCCTCAGAACCAGACGCCCAACAACCTGCGCGGCAAGTTCAAGGCCAACGAGAAGGGCGAGTACTGGTTCTACTGCCTCCACCCGACCGCTTATAGTCTGCCCACCGACGGCCCCTCGTTCGCCCTCCTCAACCTCATGGACCGCCACCCCATGCGCCCCGCCCACATCCACATCATGGTTACTCATCCCGAGTACCAGGGCTGCACTACTCAGCTCTTCCCCAGCGACGACCCCTGGATCACCAACGACACCGTCTTCGCTGTCAAGGATGATCTCGTTGTGACCTTCAAGCCTCTTGAGGGTGACGAGAAGGCTGTTCTCGAGCTCGAGTACAACGTCAACCTCGCTCCCAAGGGCTTCAAGGGCAAGGTCTAAGCGATGTCTTTGGCTTGGCTTGGTTGATGGTTGGATGAAGGATCTTTGAGAAGAAGAAGAAAAAAAAAACATTTTCTTGCTTTGTACATTTTATACCCGCACATATTTATCATGGGGAGGGGACGTGTTCACAAAAGGATAGGGAACCGGCTTTTGTATAACCGCGGTTTTTTGTTTGGTTTGGTAGCATTGGATTTTGTATATGGCACTTTTGGCATGCATGGAGGATGTATGATGTGAGAGAGAGAGAGGAACAGCTGTAAGCTAGCTAGCTACCTGTTGAGCGTTGACTTTTTGGATGAGAATGAGAAGGTGACTTGAACAAACCTTGGTTTCGATCTCTTGTGTAAAAGATCGTGAGACATGAGATTCTTATTCGTGCTTCTTCTGGGGTTAAGCCATGGCCGTTATGTTTCTTCACGGGGATGCCATAATCGACAAAACGGCTTCTACGAGACAAGACTGGCAAGTTGAACTTGGTTGAATCCCAGCCTGGCTGGCGTCTTGAAGACCCCCAGGAACTCTCTGCCAGCAGCAATGGAGATTCATTCCCAAGTCACAATCCTTCTAACAGCTACTTTGGCCCATCCATTACGGCAATACCCCAAGTCTAAAAAAAGGTCACACAAACTTTGCTTGTGCTGAACCATAGCATTCCACGATAGGGATAAGGGAATCGAGGACAGTATTACAATGTGAGGGTAAAGTTGTTGTGGGACATTACGGGCAGTCATGCGGACTGCTTCTGTATCACCCATCATCAACCCACTGGTATTGATAGTAGCCAGAAGCAGTTTCGTATGTGGCAGGTAAGTCATTTGACATCCTCTTCGTATCATGAGAAAAGAAATCCCATGACGAAGGTATGTTAGTTTATACCTTATCACTCATTGGGCTTGACGTCTGCCACCTATCGTGGGCCTATGTCTCATTGTTTTGAGCCATGACGCCCACTTTTTTCTCTCATGGAGGGCAAACAGAAATAACGCAACACAAAGCTTGTACGAGTATAGCTCGATCACATACGGCACGCAAATGGAAAGCTCGGGGTAGGTTCGATTAGGACCCTGATCGTTGGACGTCTTATATCCTGTTCATGGATGACTCTGTGACCGTCACATCTTCTCTGCACTCTCTACAAAGAGGTAGACTAGCCAACCACAGACATATCTGAAGTGGACTGGTAACTTGAGGCTTCGAGAAACCCGCGTCCCAAAGCCAGCAAATGGTTAGCAGAGTGTCATCTAACCTTGGAGTCAACTCCCATATACTACCAGCGTGCCGATTCACGCCCAGCCTTCGCGCACACTAACCCGCATAGACAGTTACAGATTGGTGTGTGCGATGGACGTTCTGTACTGCCGTCCCCATCTATTCCAGGTAAAAATAAACGTAGTAGCTCTCGTCCTGTGCTCCGAGCAAACTATCTACAAAGCACAAACCCGCAGAACCAACCAAACTGGATATAGAACGCTTGCCATGCCCAGCAAATATCTACAATCTTCCCCACATCCCTGTCTCACGTTTCAAGTGGTAAACGGGTCGTCTCGTTTACTTCTTCTCCTCCGGCTTCGTCTCCGGCTTCGGCGTTGGGAGCTTGAAGGATTCGGGCTTGCGGTCGATACCAGCTCCGACCTGCTCCCAAGCGCTGGATCCACCCTCAAAGTTGCGGTAGGCCTGTGTCATCTCCAGAGGCTCCGTCACGATGCGCTTCTTCTCCTCGTCCCAGCGAATCTCGGTGTAGCCGGTCATGGGGAAGTCCTTGCGCAGCGGGTGGCCGTCGAAGCCGTAGTCGGTCATGATGCGGCGCAGGTCCGGGTGGCCGGTGAAGAAGACACCGAAGAGATCGTAGACCTCGCGCTCGTACCAGTTGGCGCCGTCGTAGAGGGGCGTGATGCTGGGCACGGGGGACACCTCATCGGCGTACGTCTTGACGCGGATTCTCGAGTTGTGGCGCACGCTCAGCAGATTGTAGACGACCTCGAAGCGCTGGTCCTTGGTGGGGAAATCAACCGCAGTGATGTCACTGACTTGGGTGTATTCGGCCGCCGTATTGTCTGCAAGGATCATGAATCAGTCGCTATCTCCATTTGATAGGGATGCTACCCACCACCACCACACGACAGGACGTCCACCAGACAACTCTTTGCACCGAAACAACTTGGATAAAAACTGGTATATCTTACACTTGAGGAACGAAAAGACAGGAATGACACCGGGGGGGGAAATGTAAATGGTCAACTCGTCCTTCCAAACCGAGAATTGCTGGATGTACTTGGGGAGACAGCCCATGAGCCACGACCCGTACTTGTGGAGATTGTCGGCCTTGGACTGGTACTTGTCGGCCGGGTTGACCAGAGCTGCAGTCAGGGCGCCCGGCTGGGGCTCACGGGGGAAGTGCCGCGGGTTGGGGGCTTCGGGCATGTTGACAAGGTTACGGCTGGTGGTCGAGAGGCATCTGATAGCTGGCGACGGCTTCGCGGAGCGCAGGGCAGAGGCCAGGGCCCTGCTTCTGCAGAGCTTGCTGGCCATCTTGTAGGTTGATGGCGATGGCCTGAACGAGATGGGTGAGGCTGGAAGAGGCGCCAATGGATCACGGAACAACAACAGCCAGCAGCCTCGACGATGGAAGGAGGAGTGGCTCGGAGGGGGAGCTTCAAACTTCGGACTCCAAGCGACGACGGGAACGATATGATTGAACCGCAAACCACCTGCCGTCAACCAGGTCGGAGCTAGGGTAGTATTACCCGCTGTATGCGGCTGTATGTACCTCCTCCCACTACCTGCCGTTTGGGAGCTTGGCCCCCCGGATGGTTACGCAAAAGTCACGTGCACGATCACCTGGAATCTGCTTGAGGTTCTTGATTGAAGACATTGCGGGTTTGTGTTTAGATGTTGCCAGAAGGTTGAACAGGCGTTGGATGTAGCACACTAGTTGCCCATAGCGTGGACATCAAACTCGACGTGATGGTGCCGAAACAATGGCAATCTTCAAAAAGGTCTCCAGAGAGTCATTGAAACTCTTCAGCCCTTCTCCTTGCTCATGCTGCCGAAATCAAAACGTCCGAGTCGTGTACACCACTCCGGCAGCTCTCCGGCAGCTCTCCGGCAGCTGGCGGCTCACTATGTCGGAGTCTGCTCCAACTGTGGCGTGACACGTGCCAGCTGGTCCTTTCCAGAACAGGACTAGCGCTCAGCCGACGACGTTTTGCTGGAAGGCTCTGCGTTCGCTCGCTTGTGCTCAAACTTGCCTGCAGTTCCTTTCCACCCACATCCGGCCAACTTCTCTCTAATAATCCCCATTTGTTGACACGAGCACAAGTCCCAAAAAAAGAGGCACCGACCCTTCTGTTTTCTGTACCTTACACTACCACGGGCGTTTCATCAGGTCATCATTTGCTTTTCTCCCATAGACCAAATATCGCGCCGCTAGTTTACGGCCGTTTAATATCTACCTTACCGACAAGTGGAAAGGATTCCTTCAGTTCCATCCATCCATCCGTATTCGACCCGACACCTCACAGTCGTCTCCGTTTACCTGGGAGCAACCTCCAACTTGCCGTCACTCCCACCGCGAACCATCACCCCACCCTTCAGTCACCACAATGGCGCCTCAAGATAGCTTCGTCGACGATGAAGAAGAGACCTGGTATGCCACCTCGCTCGACCTCTCTCCGGCCGAACCCATGACGACTGCCCCTGCCCCTCCATGGCCTCGTCATGCCTGCTCTCTCCGCCTTCCTCAGCCTCGAGCCGACCCCCTGTCACAACGCCCTCAGCCGTCCACAAGAACACATCAGACTAACTGGTGATACTATAGCCCTCTCTGTATCGAGGAGTTTGATCTCTCTGATCGCAACTTCAGGCCATGCCCCTGCGGATACCAGGTACGTGGCCGAACACCTGCCCCTCCAAGCCCCCCCCTTTTTGGCTCAACCTTTGCGCTAACGCCGCCGCCCCACCCTAGATCTGCCAGTTCTGTTTCAACAATATCCGAAATAATATGAATGGCCTGTGTCCCGCATGCAGAAGACCATACGACGACAAGACTATTCAATGGAAGGTAGTCACTCAGGAAGAGTATGTTGTCGCCACACCCCGCTTGCAATCCGTGACCTTCTGCGTCTGTGCTGACAGTTCATAGGGTTGCCGAGTTCCGAGCGAATATCCAAAAGAACCAAAAGCGACGTGCCGCCGAGCAACGCCAAAAGGAGGCCCAAAAACGCGAAGCCGAAAAGGAGAATCGAAAGAACTTGGTCGGCGTCCGGGTCGTTCAGAAGAACCTGGTCTACGTAACTGGGTTGACGCCTACGGTACGCGAGGACGAGTTACTCAAGACACTCCGGCGTCCCGAGTTTTTTGGACAATACGGCAATATCCAAAAGATATCCATCAGCAATCGGAAGAGCCAAGACGGGCAAAACCAGTCCCTGGGGATTTACGTCACTTTCGAGAAGAAGGAGGATGCTGCCAGGTGCATTCAAGCAGTTAATGGCTCGCAAAACGGCGACAGGGTTCTGAGAGCTCAACTGGGTACCACCAAGTATTGCTCAGCTTGGCTCCGTCACGAGGTGTGCACGAACAGGCAGTGTATGTTCTTGCACGAGCTCGGTGACGAGGAGGACAGCTATTCTCGCCAGGACTTGTCTTCGATCAACAGCATCAGCAGTCAACGACCCCTCCCGGTTGCCGGTGCCTCTAGGTCGGCGTCCCGCCAAACCGGTCACCCATCGCCCGCGCCCTCGAATGCTCAACCGATGATCAGGAGTTCTAGCAAGGAGGAATCCGAAAACGGCGATGGTCCCGCCCTGCCCTCTTCGGCTACCTGGGCTCGAAACCCTCAGGTCCGTAGCCGACGCGGAAGCCATGCCACCAGCGGTGCCGCCCCCAGTCCTGCAATCTCGAACGCTCTTCCAGTCACTTCCGAATCCAACCGAGAAGCCGTCGAAGATTTCCCTCCGATCGAGAGCGCGGTGCATCATCCTCCTCCTCCTCCGAAAACGAAAGCTGAAAAGTCGCCCAAATCTGCGCCAAAGCCTGCGCCAAAGCCCGCTCCTCCTGTTGAGGCAGCTTCACCAGCTCCGGCTCCCGCTCCGGCACCGGCACCGGCCCCCGTCACTGCTCCAGTTGCGGCTCCTGCTCCACCCAAGGTTGAGACATCCGCCAAGTCCACTTTCGAGAAAGCTAAGAGCGCTTCTCAGGACACGCTTACAAAGCTCCTCAAATCACTTAATGGGTGCTCTCTCGCCTGGCCCAAGCTTGGAGATGACTCTACGGAGTCTGCCTACCCACCTTTGTTCGATGTGAGGGGTGGCGAGAAGCGGAGGGCTTTGCGCGACGATGTCACCACCGGCGTGGCGGAGTCGCATGAGGGTTCCGCGGCAGCTACCGAACCAGCTGAGGTCGAGCCTGAGAGCAGTGGTAGCCTTGCTTTGGGAGGTGAGCCTGAGGACCGGGATCCTGGACGTGACTTCAATTTGCGGGGAGGTTCGCAGCCGCCCATTCAACGCGCTAATAACGACGGACTGTTTGGGTCGGCGATCGGGTCTGGCTTCAGCCAGGGTTCTACCAACCTTGCCTCCATTGGCAGTCGTACCATGACACCGCAGCAGCCTGCTTTCATGCGTCCGCAGGCGACGGGTTACGATCACCTTCCTCCCGGAATCACTTCCCAGGCGAACCTTTTCCAGGGTCAGGGACATAACCGCCAGGGCTCTCGATTTAGCTTCGCGAACGAGGGGCAAACAACGTCTGCCACCTCGGTTAAGCTTGCGGCAAACCCCAGGGTCATGGCTCAGCAGGCCTCCATGATGCCTTCGTCCTTCCACAGTCAACCCAACACGCAGTTCTATGCCAGCTCCATGCCCGGCCCTCCGCCCGGGCTCAAGTCCACGAGCACCCCTCCGAGCATGTTTGGGCAACACGGGTTCGGCTCTGCTTTCGGCAACACCACGAAAGATACGAACGAGATTCTTCAGCTCCTCAACCGCGGCCGAGGTGCTGGTAGCCAGGTTCATGATGCGGGAAAGCGTGAGTTCTTGTTTCCTTCCATTCCTCCACTGTACCCACCCTCTACCTCCTCTACCCCAGCTCCTGCTCCGAGCCTGGCATCGCTCTACGGTTCCCAGCCTGGAGCCTTCCAAGACTTGGGTTCAAAGCAGAAGAAGAAGGGGAAGAAGCACAGACACGCTAACACTTCCTCCTCTGGGGGGAGTGGCTTAGTAGATCTTGCGGACCCGAGTATCTTGCAGGCGAGAATGCAGTCTCAGCAGCATATGCAGCAACAGAGCAATGCCGGTCTCGGACAGGTGTTTGGTGGTCAGTCGCAAGGTGGGTACACTAATCCCGCCATGATGTATTCTGCTGGATATCGGGGATGGTAGAGAGCTGCTCTTCTAGACCACTTCTTCACTTCGCACGATGGAGTTAATCTTTTTACTTGTCCTGTTTTCTGGGGAGACACTTTTGTTGCTTTGTTTGGCACATTATATATCACGACGGCGTCCACGGCACGAGCGGGATGGGTTTCTATGAGGCAGTCAAGGAATGGCACACGTTTTGATTTTCGAGCACCACAACATTCGGTCTCTCAGAAGGGGAGCCCCTTTTACACTGGCGTCTTTTGCATTTTGAGAAAGGAAGAGAGATTTTCGAGGAGACCAACGGCATTCCAACTTCGCTTCTATTCACTCCCGCACAGGCTTTAGGGTTCTGCATCACTGGGGTATATCGGTCACGTCAGGCAAGCTCTCATCGTCTTCCTTCGAGATTTCTCTTCCACATGTACGTTAACGTCGGTCCCAGTTTTCGTACGGTCTGGGTTCAGTTGGCGCAAAGGTCAAAAATAAAGCATTTTTACCGCTGCTGTAAGCGGGTCTCCGTTTCCCAACCTCGTGGAAGACGATGATGGTAGTCTTGACGTGACCAAACAAAAAGCCCTCCTGTATATAACTTGTGCCGCGATTCTTGTTGTTGTCGTTGTCGTCGTTGTCGTTGTCGTTGTTGTCTTGGTGCTCCCTTCCTACCAAGTGGTCCCCGGTCCAAAGCCTGCACTACATCAGATGAAAACTTTCTCTTCCATCCGAGAGGCTAATAGCTTTGTAGATGACGATCTTCCCTCGTTCGAGGAAGTCACGACAAGCGTAGACGCTCTGGTTTCTGACGAACCCATTACGACGATACGTCAACCGCCCGGAGCCTTCGATAACTTCGGCCGCACGGGGACTCCTATGGTTGCCCCTCCTCCGGGACTGGGTATGCCAATCAACCATCCTTCCCCTGCGATTTCTCACGCATCTTTGAGAGCCGGAACCCAGACACCGCCGGTCGCCGTACCTGTTGTACCTACCAAGGTAACCACAGCAGCGGCGTCTACGGCAGCGTCTACGGCACCACTTACGAGTACACCCGCAACGGCAACGGCATCTAGTGCGGCAGTTTCCACCGCAGCGTCAACTACGTCAACGCCTACAACAGCTCCCAGCCCACTTGTCAGCAAGAACCGGAAGAACCGCGTGGAAAAAGGCATGCAATTCTGTCCCTTTTGCGCCATGGATTTGCCTGTTACTAAGGACGGCAAGACCATCAACGTTTCGGAAGCGGAGAGACACATGGATTCGTGCGAAAACGACAAGAAGCTTCGTGCCGCAGCCCCCGCGCCTGAGGCCAAGAAGAACTCTAAGGAAAATATTCAAGCTCTTGCAGCGGAGAGTGGGCTATCGAAGGATATTGCAACGGTTAAGGCAAAGGCACCGAAGGTTTTGGCAGACGAGGACTTCCCTGCTCTCAACAGTCCCAATGTCCAGGCGGCTGCCACGACACCTGCCGTTTCGACTAAGACTACGGCAATCAAATCTAAGGCAGCCAAGAAGGCTGAAAAGGCTGCGGAAAAGGCTGCGGAAAAGGAAAAGGCTGCGGAAAAGGAAAAGGCTGCGGAAAAGGAGAAGCCTGCTCCTGTGCTGGTTATACCAGCGGTAGCGCCCACCCCACCTGAGCCAGAGCCCCGCCCTGCAGACAAAAAGCCTGCCCCAGTTCTCAACATCGCCGCAGCTACCAAGGTTGCCCAGGTCAAGACTGCTGAGAGTTCATCAGCAACGACGGAGAAATCTGCCCATGATCGGGACTCGGCTTTCCCTGCCCTGCCTACGCCAACGACTGCTTCAGTGGCCTCGCCGCTCGCTCGGACAGCAAAGACACTTAGACTTGTCTCAACTCCTAGGACCGAGACGCCGTCTACGCCCGCCAATGCTGGTGTTATGAGCGTCGCGGGCTCCGCGGCCCGTTCTGTGGCTTCTATTTCTGTGAGACCCGAGACTCCTGCTAGCGAGATGATTTCGGATAGTGCGTCCATCGTCTCAGCCTCAGTCTCGGCATCTCGCACCAGCTCACCGCCGCCTTCAAAGATCGGCTCTGCCCCTGTCAGAATAACCACCAAGAGTCAGCAAAGGAAGGCAAGAAAGGAGCAGCTCAAGAAGGATACGGCAGCTGTAGCAGCTCAGCCCGTCAAGTCTGATCCGAACGAGGAGATCGGGCCCATCATTGGCCGCAAGAAGAAGCAGAAGAAGGAGAAGGAAAAGCCAAACACCACCAACACGAACGTAACACCCACTGTCAGTAGACCGGAAACACCTGCACAAAAGGAAAAGGAGACGCCTCCCCCGCCACCCCCAAAGGAGGTGAAGGAGGTCAAGGAGGATTCTTCAACCTACCGATCGACGGCTAATGAAACGACGACGTTGACGGATGACGCCTCTCCTATTAAGACCAGGGGAGCGAAGGAGACCCCAAAGTCAGATGCTGTCTCAACTCCTCGAACTTTGCCGACACCTGCCACGATTTTCCAAGATTTGCAAGAATCGGGGCTTGTTCCTGAGAAGATCGATGACCTGCCTCTTTTCAAGCCAACAAGTACTGGGTTTGAGAAGTCGAGGAATGATCACAACAACGCTGCTGCCAGGGAAAATGCTGCTCGGAACGCCATGACGCCTACGAAGTCGATCGTGACTGACGAAGATCAGGCAGCTCTGCTCGCGGGCCACCCCGTCCGTAAAATGATTGACGGCGTCCGCATTCTCCTGACTCCCAACGGCGACTGCATTCGCAACCTGACCGAAGAGGAGGAGGATCGGTTCTTGGAGCTTCAGGCTCGCATCGCTGAGACCGCCTCCAGCCCTGCCGCGTTTGTTTCCTCTCGCCACGAAGCCGGTGGTGGATTCAGTCTGATCAAGGGGCGTGCTGTGCCCAATGGGCCACCGGGCTACTTCCCGCAGGCTCCTGGGCAATACCCAACGGATCCTGTGAACAAGATCCAGCGGGAGGAGGCGATCTACTACATCAATCAGTATGTCCTCCCGCGATTGAACCTCAATGCTAGAGACATGAGCTTCCCCAAGGCCATGTCCAACTGGCACCCGGATCAACGTGGCGGTAACCCAGCCGCCGCAGGCCTCAGCTCACTCGCTCCCTGGATGTACGGTGCCGGCTCTCCTGCTTCGCCGCACGATAACGACGCTGTGGCACCAGAGATCAGCTATCCCGCCCCCGTCAGCGCGTTTGCGGATGCCCATGGTTCCTACTTGGACATGCCCCCTTCACCGTCGCCATCTGCTCTAGACGATCCCATGGGTCACAAGGGCGGTGCGGGCCTCAACATCGGTGGTGCCCCCGGTCCGTTCGGCAACGTGCCGCTGATGAGTCTTGAAGACGCCGAGTCGGCTCTGTCGGCTGCCCGTAAGGAGGGAGACAAGATCGAGAAGCACTTCAACCAGACCATCAGGAAGAACAAGAGACTCCTGATGGCCGTGGGTAATCCTGTCTCCGTAGGTGGTGGCGGCGCTAATGGTGCTGGCGGTGGTGGTGGTGGAGGAGGCGGCGGCGCGCATTGACTAGGCTTCGATAGAGTCTTTTTTGCTTCGTCATCATCGTCGTCGTCGTCGACGTCGTCTTTTTTCTCTTCTTCACACAACAACCAACGCCATCACCGAAGGGTCAACTCTTCTTCTGTGACCTCGGCAACGACTACCTCCGCCACAGCCGCCATTGCCGCCGCTGCCAGTGAGCTGGAAGCGCATGCCGCCATGATGCTGGCTGAGTTCCACGGCGATGTGGCGGCCAGGGGATATCATCCGTTCATGAGGGTGCTGCGGATCGCGGGGCGGTTGAGCGGTGTGGCCTTTGCGGCTGTGTGGCTGGCGGTGGTTATGATTGAAGGGTTCGTGGAACTCCTGGCGAGAGGAGGGATGCTGGCTGTTGAGATGGTTTGTGCGGTGTTGGATTGGGTTGGGGCTGATTATTGATGGTTGGTGGAATGAGGATCGTGGAGTCGCGATATTCAGTGAAAAGGAGTTGACTTTGTGTGTTTGGGTTGGTTAAGCGGAAGATGATCGGGGTGAGGGTTGAGTTGGGACAAAGAAGAAAGGGATTTATATCTGCTGAAAGATTAACAATGGTTATGGATGGGAAAGACCCTCAAACAGCGTTTGGGATTTACAAGGATATCGGATATGCGTATTGGATATTATCAATGATTTGCATGGTTTATGAAGAGATAGGGTCAACGATTGAAATGTACTTGGTAGTGTGACATATAGTCTGCCGAGGGGTGAGATGTCAAAGAATGGTGTTACGTTACGATTTGGCCTGGCTTCATTGCCTGTGGTATGATTTTCGCCTGTGAAAGTTGCTCTCAGTCTCGTCAATAAGGTCAACGAGAAAGGCAAACCCATGACGCACTTTCTCCATGCAAGTCTCGCTCAAGTGTTCGGAGTTCGTTGACCGAAAAGCTCGGCGGTATCTGCAGCTTGGTAAGGACCAAGGTTTTGAAGATGCGTTGATGCACAAACACAACCATTCTTGGATACCACGTGACCATTACTAAGATTGCTGAGCCATCGCGGCTTGGAGTATAAACAAAAGAAACAAGCTCCCACGCTCAAATACACTTCGCTCTAGAATCAAGTTGGGTCGAGGAACAGGCGAATATCACAGGCAGCGAGCGTTACACAAGGTCACTTCGCGTCCAGTCCAGTCACGCATATAAACCATTCATCTCTCATCGATCTCTTCGCCCTTACCTTTTCATAGCCATTTCAGAATTCAAATTTCCTCGCTGACCTCCGAATCGCTGCCTCTCATCAACTTTCTCTTCCATACGCGACTTGTCGCCCATTCACACTTCTCAACACCAGCTAGCTTACCACAACTCAAGCCTACAAACACCCACAACAATCATCATTACCAACACCAAACCAAGCCAAGCCAGAACCAACACAACCAAAAAATAAAATAAAAAAAAAGAAATATAACAAAATTGAATGATTAAAATGAAAAATTTACCTTGACCATCAAATCAGTCATACTCACCAAATCACTCAAAAAAAAGGGAATAAAAATGCCAAAAAAGAGGGGCTCAGCCGGGGATTGAACCCGGGACCTCTCGCACCCAAAGCGAGAATCATACCACTAGACCACTAAGCCGCATTGATTATTGCTAGGAATAATCGTTTGTTGGAATGAGTACATTTTTGGAGGCCTTATAAAGTGCCAGGGCGACTGACTGCGTACGGAAGTACAGCGACAGGACGAGGTGAGGAGGTAACGACGGAGGGGTAGGTAGAGGTAGGGTTACGCAAAGTGGGAAGACAGGCTGAGTGAGGTTTGGTTCTTTGGTGTGCGACTTGATGGTTTTCGGTGAGATGAAGGTGAGTAGGAAACCGCGCTCGATGGTGGATCAGTAAGGTGATTATTGGCGGGTTGGTTTGTCGGTTTGTCGGTTGGTGGGTTGCTCTGGTCGATTTGGCGAAGGTGAGCAGCGCAAAATGAGATTGGCCGAACGTGTCCATGTTCAATCAATCTGACAATTCGCAACTCGTCGATTTAGAAAGCGGCTGTCTCGCATCGCATCGCGAAACATTGCATGCTCTCTTCTCTCTGTTACCACGGTTTTTTTTTTCTGTTGTTGTTCCAACAAAACACAAACACAAAAAGCCCGCGACAAATTGTTCCGTCCTGCCCGGAAAAAAAAATCTACGAAAACTGAACTAAAAACATGCAAACAGGGGTCTTGATAAGGCATTTCTTTTCGCCACGTGCTTTTCCCCGTTGCCGACCAGCGATCACTGACACGCCGGATATGGCGGCCTTGGTTTTTTCGCCGTTTCGGCAGCCGGCCGGCCTGCCGGTTTTGAAACTCGAAAAAGGTGAGGGTTCACCGTGGCTTGCGTGGGACGGTGTACTTAACCCTGGAGGTGATCCGTGCTCACAACTTGAATAATGGTGGTTTGGTAGGTACATCACGCCGAGGGTGTAAGGTTGAGTAATTGCGGACTTCCTAGACTACTACAATCAAGAAATCTTTAGGAATGAACTGTTGAGTCTTTAGGAGAGGTTGACAATGAAATCGTTAACGCTAAAATCCAAGGCTATTGATACACCTGTAGTATACAATTTCGGACGATAACACTGCTCCCCAAACTCCATGCGTGTCAACGCCCGCCAGCCAACCTGAAAGATGATGATGCTGATGAATAACCACTTCCCTTCCCTCACTCAGCGAGAGCATTCGCACTACCTCCTGTAGTCCCAGTCGTCCCCGTAGTCCCGGTAGTCCTCGTAGAATGCGACGTCCCCGGCCGAGGACTATTCGGCACACTAACCGCCCCCGCCCCCGCTGGCCCCGGAGACGGCGATGGAGACGCCCCCAACTTCTTCAACTTGCTCCCCTTGGTATTGAACAAGCTCTTAACCCTCCTCAACCTGCTCATCATAGCCTGATCCTTCTTCTTCCTCGCCTCCTCCGACTCATCATCATCTTCGTCTCCCTCTTCTTCGTCCCCTCCTTCTTCTTGGTCACCAACATGAAGACCACCCGGCGCACTATTCGGCTGTTGCCCTGACAATCCCCTGGCATCAGGCGTCATCGGCACTCCCAACAAACCACTCGCGCTCCCCGTCGCCCTATGCGGCGTCCCTTTCTTCCCTCCCAACCCAAACCCAAACCCAGAACCAGAGGACTTACTCCTCCCATGCATCAAATCCCTTCCCTTCTCTCTCAACCGGCTCTCGTTCCTCAACCCCTCCACCAGAACCTCCCAGGCGGCTCTGTCCGTCTCGCCCCTGGCTAAGGGCTTGGCGCCCGGGTTCCGTTGCGCTTGCGGGTTCTTCCAGGGACAGAAGAAGCGGTGCTCGCGCAGAGGGTCGAGGTGGTCCATGGGTGCGGGGACCAGGATCGTGTTGGTCTCTGGGTCGACTTGTTTGGATTTGAACATCCATAGGCCGAGGCGGCGGAGGCAGGTGTGGCAGGAGGCGGAGTTGGGGACGGCGGTGCCGAGACGAGGGTTAGAGAGGCCTTGCCAGCCGAGCAGGGCGAGGGCTAAGGCGGTGCGGTTGATCGCTGGTGGTTGTTGTGAAGTGGATGGGTTGGGACTGGCGGGTTGTGAGGTTGTAGAGGGAGCGGCGGCGCTGGATGGTGGAGGCTCGGTAAAGAAGTTGGGTGGGAGGTACGAGAGGATGATGTCGATGTCGAGACCTTCTGGAAGGCGGAGGTTGAACTCGTAAGGGAGGAAATCCTTGCGCTGGCAGAGCTCGTCGTATCGCTGGCGAAGGGTTTCGAGGGCTAGTTTGGGGTTGGGTAGAGGTAATCGTAGAAGGGAATCTGTCAAAGGAACCGTTAGCGCAATGTCAGAACCCTCCTGCGTGCAGATGCTCACCATCACACCCCTTCTTCCTCCACAAGCAATCCTCCCGGTGCGATGTGATAATCAGCTCAGCATACTGGTCCACCACCGACTCAGCAATGTCTGCGGCGATCAGCACCGGAATCTCCTTCCCATCCACCTCCTTGCGATTCAGCTTGACAGCCAGTTCGTTGTTGCAGAGCGTGCACTTAATGCGCTCCTTGCCCTGACAAACCCAGCCGCGCTTCGCCCACTCGATCTCGTTGACCCTATCGGGTTTTGGTGTCCAGTCCGTCAGTTCTTGGAAAGTTGCCAATCGTCGCACGAGCTGGTCGCGGTCGCCGGGGCAGTATTTCGGTGGTTGCAATTTCGTAACTGGACTATGCTCCTTCGCGCTGCCGCCGCCGCTGGCCCCGGGCGCGGGGCTGCTCCCGGCGCCATGGGAGTTCCATTTTCGGAGATTGATGTTGGAGATGGTGGTTTGCCCTTTCGTCGGGGTCGTTAACGTGATTGCGCTCGGTGTGGAGGGCAGCCCGCCGACACGGCGCTTCTTACTGAGATAGTCGAGGCTATCGTTGGCCATGTTTGTAAACCTCGAGCTTGAGGAAGAGGCAGGCGTCGAGCTCAGCGAGTCATTGTCGCGCGTCGAGGAGGGAGAGTCTGGGTTGGTCGGCCGGCTCCCGATGCCCTGGAGCAGGGAGTTGAACTTGCGCTTAACGGTAGCGTTCATGGTGTTTGATTCTCTCGATCGTGAGGGTCTCGGTAGACGGTCGACGTTCCGGTGGGTTTATGAATCAAAGGCGCCGTCAGCGACCGCGTCGCTTTGCCGTGCTTTCGAAATGATGATGACCGTAGCAAGTTGAGTGGCCGAGCTCGCGTAAATCGTCGTTTAGAAGGATTCAATCAACGCTCGGACAATTCCAGTTCGTCTGTTGTTGCCGGCTTCCGATCGTTGTGAAGGAGGGTAAGCACCGGCAGTTGTTTGGAGCTACACAACCAATGGGTGTTGAAGCAAGCTTTCGTTGTGGTGGGCTGAAGTCGAGAACCAAAAAGAGAGAAGATGCTCAAGTTGAAGTTCGGTTCCTGGGCTCAACGGACATGGACAGGGGAAACACGGGCGGCTCCAGTGGGTCTGTAGCTACTTTAATAGTGGGGCTTCCAGCGGCTGCTTAGCGCCCCACAGGCCATCTCCAAATGTCTCCAACCACCAAGGGACGTCATGCAAAAAACTGAAACAAACAAACAAACAACAAACAAATGCTCGTCAGATAAATACTGTCTATATTATTCCTTAGTAACACATGTTCACCCTTTTCACCTCTATACTCCAATCTTCCTCGCCCGGAATCCAATTCCAAACACTCTGCTCCGTAACGCCAATGAGCTCAACACCACGCTAATGCTGCTCAACGCCATGGCCAAACTAGCCCACACCGGATCCAACTTGACATGGTTCCCATCGCTCACAATCGGATAGAACGCGCCCGCTGCCACAGGGAGCGCGATGCAGTTGTACACCACCGCCCACCCAAAGTTGAACTTGATCCTCCGGAAGACCGTGGCAGAGAGATCCAGGAGCGTCACCACCCCGCGCAGGTCGCTGTTGATGAGCACAAAGTCCGCGCTGCTGATGGCAATGTCTGCCCCGGATCCGATGGCTATACCGATATCTGCCGTTGCCAACGCTGGACTGTCATTGATGCCATCGCCGACCATGGCCACCATCGCGCGACGTGTACTCGACTCACTGTCCTTACCGACGCGCGCCTTCTCTGTCCCTTGCAAATACCTGATCTTATCAGCCTTTCCCGTTGGGAGCACCCCGGCGATGACCTGGTCGGCGGGAATGCCGAGTTGGTGTGCGACAGCAGCTGCCGTGACGGGGTTATCACCGGAGAGCATCCACACGCGAGTGCCTCGAGACTGAAGAGCCTTAACAATGAGCGGTGCTTCGGGGCGGATGGGATCGGAAATTGCTAGGGCAACAGCAAGAAGCCATCCACTGGCATCACTTCCCTGGTGTCGCCGTATCGCAACCAGAGCAACGGACTTGGCTTCACTTTTCCACTTCTGCAGCGTCTGGACAGTCTGATCTGAGACGGTAACGGCAAAGTCCTCCATGAGGGCTTCGTTGCCGACCATGAGATCAAAGTCATCTTGAGAGTCCACTCCCAAGCACCTGGCCTTCATTCCCTTGCCAGCAATCTCTTGCAAGTCCTCGACTTGGGTTTTGGCCGACGTCTTTGCTGCACAAAAGGCGACGATGGCTTTTGCTATCGGATGACTGCTGTTCTCTTCGACCGCCTTCAGTGCCGCCAAAACCATGCCATTCTCCTCATCTGCCGCGGCACCGAAAACCTCCGAGTCTGTGATCTTGGGCTCTCCTCCCGTCGTCAAGGTGCCAGTCTTGTCGAAAACGACACAATCGACCCTGCTAGCCTTCTCAAACGCTTCACCTCCTCCCTTGGCCAAGATACCATGTTTCGCCGCAATTCCACCGCCGACAAAGATGGCCGTTGGAGCAGCCAGTGCCAGGCCGCACGGGCAAGCCACAACACAGACAGAAATCGCGAACTGCAACGCAAAGACAACCCATCCGCCCTTGGTGTCTCCAAGGAAGTCGTCTGACACATGACCACTATATCCAACAGCGAGCCAGATGATCCAAGTGGCAACCGCAATGGCAATGACGACGGGAACGAAATATGCCGTCAGAATATCCGCCACTTGCTCAATGGGAGCTCGTCTGGTCTGCCCTTCGCGAACCGCCTTGACGACTTCATCCAACATCGACTTGCCCGCCACACCAGTGACCCGGACCAAGAGCGGCGCGTCCTTGTTGACGGTGCCCGTATACACCTCATCACCGACGGCCTTCTTGACCGGCTTGGACTCGCCCGTCAGACTCGACTCGTCCAAGCTACCTTGGCCCCGAACAACAATCCCGTCCGCCGGCGGGGAAGCGCCATGGGGAATGCGCACCACGTCGCCGTAGTCGAGCGAGTCAGCTTGCACCACTTCGTCCCTCTCTTTCTCAGTACCATAGCCTTCCACAAGAATCGCCGTCGTCGGACGCAGCTTCCCCAGCATCTCCACCGCGTCTCCCGTCCGCGACTTGCTGTACGACTCAATCAGGCGTCCCACGAGCAAGAAAAACGTGAGAAAAACAACCGAGTCAAAGTAAAAGTTGGAGTCATCCACCATATGCACCTTCTGCGCTCCCGCCGCGATCATCTGGCAAACGGACGAGACGTAGGCAATGGTGGTGCCCAGCGACATGAGCGTGTTCATGCTGCCAAACCGGTAGAAGCGCTGCAGCAGGGGGACGCGACTGGCTCGCCGCCACAGCGTCCTGATCTCCTTGTAGGCGCGCCTATGAAAAATATCGGCGGCAAACAAGTAGACGGGCGTGGCCAGGATGAAAAGCGCGATTTGCGCGCGCGAGATGCCTGATGTCCATGGTTTCATCAGGAACTCGCGAGACGTGTTGCCGGAGGAGGAGGGCACCAGGGTCATGTAGACGATGCCGATGATGAAGGTGGGGATGGCGACGACAAAAGAAAAAATGACGCGCCAGAGGATTTGTAATTGGTGGTGCCGCTGGATGGCCTTGGACTGTTCCTCGAGGGAAGGGGGGTGGTAGATGGATGCTTTAAAAGCCGGGTCGCTCGCTTCGATCGCCCTCAAGATGTGCCGGATCGTGAACTCGGGAGCGTCGGGGACGTAGACTACCTTGACGATCGGTCTCTTATGACTCGGTTGGCTGATCACGTCCAGCTGCCGTCGGAAGCCTGCCACCAGACTGGCGGAGACGCGCGAGGGACAGTGTTCGCAGTACATGCCCTGGATGCGGATCTCGACTTCTCTCCTTTGCTGCTCTTCCTCCGGGTTCGAACGCTCCTCCTCCTCCTGGATGGCGACGTTGACCAAGGTACCTTCGTTGAGCGTCGCTTCGAACCCGAGATCGTCGATCTCCCCCACCAGCTTGTTGGCGTTTTCTTTACCGCCAGCGAACTCGACAGTCGCGCTGTTGGTCAGGAGGTTGACCGTGATGTCTTGCACCCAGTCCCGTTTTCTCATCTCGTTGGTGATGGAGTTGGCACAAGACGCGCACGTCATCCCGCCAATGGACAAGGTGGCTCGCCATGTGTCTGATGAGCTTTCGCGGCGGGCTTTTGCTTTTGGTGGTGGCTTTGGCTGCGGGTCGACGAGGGCAACGACCTTGTCGAGCTTCGCGTCATAGCCAAGGTCCTCGATGGCTTCAACCAGCTCCGTCGCCCTGCTTTCGTCGTGAATATCAATAGCGGCGCTGTTGTTGATCAGGTTGACGGAGACGTTGGCTATCCAGTCCTTTTTGTTCAGTTCGTTGGTGATGGCGTTGACGCAGGCTGCGCAGGTCATGCCGCCGATGGCTACCGTTGCTCTGTAAAGAGGGGGCGGTGATTGAGACGATGGTACTTTTCCGAGATCCACCACGGTGTCTGTCGAGATCAAGGACTTTGTTGTTGATGTTGATGCCATATTTCTTTGCCGAGCTGCTGCGAAGTCTGGAGCGTTACCTCTTCTAACCTCTGAGACCGAAGACTTTGGGCCGCCGACAGATTCCTTTTCCTTTTCACTTGTCTTCTTTTCTTCTACTTGGTGACCTGTCGTCGTCGCTTTTGATGTGCGACACTGCTCGCAGTTCTGGAGATGTGCTTCAGCCAGCTTCTGAGACTGGGCGGCCCCAGGGAGGCTGCCAAGGTTAAGTCGTGAAGCCGTGGTGACCCATCGTGAGAAAGCAGAAGAGGATGATGGTAATGATGCTTGTGGACGGCTGCTGCCGGGGATATTAGCGTCATGGCCGCCATCGTTTTCAGCTACGATGCCGAGATCCCGCCGAACCAGGAAGCCGTTGTCGTCGTTGTTGTTATTGTCATTGTCACTAATACCAACAGTACTAGTAGCAGTCGTCGTTACACCGCTGACCTCGAAGCCGCTGTCTTCCAAGGCGCGGTGCATGTCTCTGATCAAGGACGATACGGATGCGGCTGAGTTGCTACCTGAGTCGTAGTGTTCCACGGTGACGACCGAAGTGACCACGTTGGGCGAGACCCATCGGATATGAGACCCGGACGATGGCTCCGAGTGAAGGAGAACGTCTTTAATAGTCGAGACACACGAGGGACAGTGAAGATTGGAAATGAGAAACGACGTCGTAATAGTGGCTTTGGAGGCGGTTATATCGGATGTCTCAGTTCCAGTCGTCGCGCTGCTAGACTGCTGCTGCTGCTGCTGCCGCCGCCGCGTTGGTATGCCGTTGGTGGGTTTCATTGCTTGCTGATGTTTGGATGTTCTGTATATTGGAATTAAAAGTTGATGGGTCGGGTTTTTTTTTTCTGTCCGTACAATTCCCGTAAATTGTTGTGCCGTCAAAGGTTAAGTAAGTGGTTGACGACGAGTCGGAGCGTTGGATGAGACTGTTGATGCGAGGATGTGATGTTCTTTCCCTGTTGCAAGGTCGTGTATATGGTGTATATTAGTCCGTGTCCCGATTAGGAAATTCGGGGGTTGTTGATGGGGTTGTACCTTCCAAATAGCCTGAGTTCCTGAAGTAAGATGATGGAATGCCGAAGCAGAGAAAAGATTTGGAAGGTGACCCTGATTGATGTTCGACAATCTTTTTTTTTTTTTTTTTTTTTTTTTTTTTTTCAAACTTGGCTGTTCGTAGCTTGCTGTGGTGTTTATGATGGAAGGTTGATATCAAACGAAGATTGTTGTTGTTGACTTTGATGATGTGGGGAACAGGACGTAGATGTATATCCCAGGGCAGGTGGCGGAAGTGACTTGTGTTGTCAAGAAGAAGTCGAATAAAGACGGGACTCAGGAACGTATTAATGGAAACTATTGCCAAAAAGCCAGATAATTCCCAAGGAATGTTGTGCATTCAATTTGTTTCTGCAAGAATAATCCTCTGACATTCTTCTTCTGTTCTCTCGATGAAGCACCACTCACTTATACCTACCTACCTCAAGTATCGCCTTCCAGATGTCATTTCATTACTCAGCTGGTGTTTTCACGCACAATTCGCGCAAAGGCCAAGATCACACTCGTTCGCTAAACAATGCGACATGGGATGAAAGATAACCTATGACGAATTGACGGGGATTGGAGACCTCTGAAAGAACAAGATTGAATGTCGAACGCTTATGCAGGAACAGGGCATTGATTCTGCATTCCGCACAAACAGCTCAAGAACATTTGGAATTTGAGGAGAGGATCTGTCCAGTTGAAGATGACCTTGAAGTCATGGATGCTGTTGGAAGGCAGGAAGGCTACCTAGAACAAAGGGAGGAGAGTTGGTGCTCTTGGCATATCATGGTCATAGAAAGTGACGGACGGACTCTTCCGAAAACATGATATCAGTTTTGAATCTTGATGTTCGCTTCCGAACGTGACCTCGTGATAATGCCCAACGAAAATGGCAAACAACTGTAGCGATCATAGCGGGGCATCCTGAATGCCTGCTTGGAGAAGCATAACCGCCAAACATGTTTTAGGACCCTGCGATCTGGACAAGAGCATCGCAAAGTCAAAAATAAGAGACATTTAATCCGATGTGTATTAGCAGTCAAAACGGTTACACCTCTGATGGTTGTCAACGATGCGATGGAAGGACTTCCCGTTGTTTCACGACCGCTGATGGTGTGTTACGGATCGCCAAGTCGGTAGGTCCGCATGCAACCGGATGATAGTGGAACCATTAGCTTCCGGATCGCGACCGTCTTGTCGTCGGACACGGCAGTGGATTTTCGGTGTCCGGGTCTTCATCGTACGGAAGACCACGGGCAAAGAGGCCGATGCCGAAAACGGAGACGGCGAAAAAGTGCATGAAGAAATCGCAGGTGCATTGCCACCCCAAAAAAGCGACTTTGAGACATTGCACGTGATCTGACCGACAGCCGGCCGGCCCAGGTTCGCCTGGAACTCGGCGTGTGCGGGAACTAACCATAACCGGTTAGGCCAAATCACGCAATCGACATCAATCGCACGCAGTTCGGACAGCGGCAACTTCAGACTGTTAACGAACTTTTTTGTTAGTCGCGGGATCAACACCGACACCCTCTCAGGGAGTTGACACCACCACAACGAGCCGGCATTGGATCTTTTTGTCGCCTTGGTCCGTGGGGGATACAACTAGGGATAATGGGATGGGATGTCCCGGCGCTGCGGAAACGGAGGCAGTGTGCCTGATACTGTTGGTCGGTTAACTTGGGTTGTTCTAGTGTCTGTGTAGTTCGCTTTGTAATAAAGCTGCTATTTTCTCGTCTCGAGTCACCTCCACCACTTTTTTTCTTTGAAGATCGTTTCTCTCTTTTCTCCCTCTGTGTCAACATCATATCTGCGCTGAGGAAGCAGTTATTTTGTTTCTTTTGCTTCTTGCGTTGATACGTCGTTGCGCGGGGCAACCTAATTCCTCTTGAAGTTTTATTTTTCTTCAAGGGCGTCATCTCTCTTTTTTTAACTGATATCTTTATCGATACGTCAACATGCCGTCCCTCTCCTCCATCTCCGGGCCGACCTATGTCACCAGCCAGCTGCTTGTCCAGCAGACTGCCTACAAGCTCTCCGACAAGATCTTCTCCTACTCCCCCGAGACCTTCGACCTCGATGTCGCCGTGAAGGAATGGGCTGAGGCCAACGAGAAGAACGTCCATGGCGAGACCACCACCGTTGTCCCTCTCCAGACCAGGGCCGGTGCCGGCGCTTTTGCCCTTGGCTACATCTTCTCCAAGGACTTCGACTTGGCCAAGCGCCATGTCCCCCAGACTCTCCTGGCCCCTTCGTTGAGCCTTCGTCACCTTCGCTCTTCCCTCGACCAGCTCGCCCTTCTCTACGGCGTCTCCAGCCCCTTCGTCGCCCATGTTGCCGCTGCCGACTACAACGCTGAGAATGGCCTCGGTGCTGACTACGCCACCGCTCTCCAGATCGCTGAGGACCTTGGTCTCGCTCTCGTCTCCAGCTCCTCTGCCTATGAGGTCCAGCACATGTCTCTGCTCGCCACTCTCCTGGCCTCCGTCCTCCCCACCCTCCACATCTATGACGGTATCCGCACCGCTAGGGAGTCCCTGAGGGTTGTCGATGCCCTCGGCGAGGCTCACATCGCCGACATCTACGCCAAGATCTCCAAGGAGGCTGCTGCCCTGAACAAGAGGCTGGATACTGCCGGCAAGGTTGTTGAACTTCTCAAGGCCTTCAACAACGAGCTCGGAACCTCCTATGCTCCTTTCGAGTACCACGGCCACGATGCCCCCGAGACCGTTCTTGTCGTCTTCGGCAGCGCCGAGGCCCAGCTCGCCAAGCAGGTCGCTACCGCTTTGGCCGCCAAGGGCAAGAAGGTCGGCACCATTGTCGTCCGTGTCTACCGCCCCTTCGTCGAGGAGGCCTTCCTCGAGGTTCTCCCCGCCTCTGTTCGCCAGATTGCCGTTCTCGGCCAGGTCGCCGATGCTGCCTCCGTCGAGGATGCCAACGTGCAGTCTGCCCTCTACTCCGATGTCCTCACTGCTGTCTCCTTCACCGAGAAGCTCTCGCAGGCTCCCGAGGTCGTCGATATCCGCTATGTGGTTACCGATGCCCACACCCCCAGCTCCATCGCCTCCATCTTCAACAAGCTCACCAGCAAGGGTGAGGCCGAGCCCGTCGCTTTCAGCCTGACCGCTGTCGAGGAGGCCCAGCAGTACGTTTTCTGGGATGTCGACAACTCCTCTGCCGTTGCTTCTCCTGCGGCCGTTGGCAAGCTCCTCGAGACCGAGCAGTCCAGCAATGTCTATGTTCACCAGACCTATGACAACCTTGTCCAGGGTGGTGTTGTCCGCACCGACATCAGGGTTTCTCAGAAGTCCATCGAGGCTCCCTACCCTGTCGAGAACGCCGACGTCGTCTTCGTTGGCGAGGAGAAGCTTCTCAAGGAGATTGCTATTGTCAAGGGTGTCAAGGCCGGCGGCAAGCTCATCGTTCGTCTTCCCAACTTCAAGGAGGACGAGCTTGAGAAGCGCATCCCCGCTGCTGCCCAAAAGGAGATTCAGGAGAAGAATGTCGAGCTCTACGTGCTCGACTCTTCCTCGTCTTCTGCTCTTGAGAAGGAGGCCCATCTCCTTGTCAACGTTGCCTTCCTCCGCGTTGCTCGTGCTGATATCACCAAGTTCGACTCTCTCTCCGCTGACAAGACCGCTCTGACCGAGGCCGTCAACGCCCTTGATCAGTCTGTTCGCAAGGTTGAGGTGCCCGTTAAGTGGGCCGAGGTCGAGGGTGCTGTTGCTCCCCTTGTTGACAGCGTCAAGCCCAACAGCTTCGTCGCTTTCCAGAAGGAGGAGGAAGAGGAGACCTCCAGCCTCGAGAACTGGCAGTCTGCCGCCAAGGGCTTCGCTTTCAAGGAGGCCTACGGCACCCAGAACCAACTCCGTCCTGACCTCGCCGTCAAGACCTACACCATCAAGGTCAAGGAGAACCGTCGTCTCACCCCCACCGACTATGATCGCAACATCTTCCACATTGAGTTTGATCTCGGTGACTCCGGTCTCACCTACAACATTGGCGAGGCTCTTGGTATCCACGCCGAGAACGACCCTGAGCAGGTCCTCCAGTTCATCCAGGCTTATGGCCTCAACGCGGATGACCTTGTCCAGGTTCCTTCCCGCGAGGATCCCGCCGTTCTCGAGACCAGGACTGTCTACCAGTCCCTCGTCCAGAACTTCGATATTCTCGGCAAGCCTCCCAAGCGCTTCTTCGAGTCGCTCGCCCAGTTCGCTACCGACGAGGAGGAGAAGAAGAGGCTCGAGCGTCTCGGCAGCAAGGAGGGCGCCGACGAGTTCAAGCGTCTTACCGAGGAGGATACTGTCACTTATGTCGATGTTCTCGACATGTTCAAGTCGGCCCACCCCGACTTCAACGACCTCATCCGCATCGTCGACCCCAGCAAGCGCAGAGAGTACTCGATCGCCTCTGCCCAGGCTGTCAGCCCCAACTCGGTCGCTCTCATGATCGTCGTCGTCAACTGGGTCGACACCAAGGGCCGCACCCGCCTCGGCCACGCCACTCGCTACCTCTCTGGCCTTGCTCCCGGCAGCACCATCACCGCCTCCGTCAAGCCCTCGGTCATGAAGCTCCCCGTCAAGGACACCGCCCCTCTCATCATGGCCGGTCTCGGTACCGGTCTCGCTCCCTTCCGCGCGTTCGTCCAGTACCGCGCCATGCAGAAGGCCCAGGGCAAGGAGATTGGCTCCATCCTTCTCTACCTCGGTTCCCGTCACCAGCGCGAGGAGTACCTCTACGGCGAGGAGTGGGAGGCTTACCTCGACGCCGGCGTCATCACCATGGTTGGTGCCGCCTTCTCGCGCGACCAGCCCGAGAAGATCTACATCCAGGACCGCATGCGCCAGACCGTGACCGACATCGTCCAGGCCTACATCAAGGAGGAGGGCTCCTTCTACCTCTGTGGTCCTACCTGGCCCGTTCCTGATGTCACTGCCGTGCTCGAGGAGGCCATTGCCGCTGAGGCTCAGGAGAGCGGCCGCAAGGTTGACCCCCGCAAGGAGATTGAGAGGCTCAAGGAGGATGGTCGCTATGTCCTCGAGGTGTACTAAGCGTGTCTATGTTTAGGGTATCTGTGATGGCTATATGGAAACATGTGTGTTATGTGTTCTGAGCGTGCTTGTATGTATGGGATTGGTTCAACAAAATCTTGGTTGGGCGGTATTTTGGCATTGATATTTTGATAGAAGCAATTCATTCAATTGGCTCCAACTTCATTACCTACATCTATGTGGTGAAACTATGTGCATCTCCTGTCCTCTTGGTGAATGGTGAATGTCACTGCTGGAGAAATGGGGTTGTTCGTTTGGGGGCAAGGGGTGCCCCAACAAAACAAGGACGGGAATGGCCGTGTCTACCCCGCATTTTGCACGCACCCCGGACTTGTCGATAGCGTAGCTCCGTAGATCCGGGGAACAATTGTTAACGACAGCTGCACTTCTCCTCATCATCACTAACTCCCGGAAACCACTACCCGCGGGTGTGAGTTGGCATTTGTCCACGAACACCCACGGGTAACCGACGTAGCCGTTGGTCTGCGGAGATGCGGAGGAATATTGGGGTAAAGGAGGGGAACCGAGGCGATGAACCATGACGCCCAAGATGGTTCACCTCTTCTGAGTGTCGTTCACGACTTCTTCTCTCAATTCATTGTTCCTTGCAGTTGACAGGAGGTAATCTCGGCTATTCTTGCCCTTTACAGTTTCTCCCAAATCGTTACAGAAAATAATCACGTTTAGAATACAAACATGAGCGCAGCTATCCGTGTTGTGCCCAGTGTAAGTCACCTCATGATATGTCTGCAGGCGGTGACAGGAACATACTGGAGTGACGTAGCTCTTAACTGACAGTTCACAGAGGGCAGCCAGAGCAGTCAACCTGCTCAAGACAGTTCAATACACTCATCCTCCCTCATGTCCATGCCACTCCAACCCAGGCTATCACCAGAACCAGACCCGGTCAACTGTGTCCCGATACAATGACCGGACCTCCCGGCGCAACTATGCCACTCCCCAAGACACCTCCCAACTGAAGGAGTACGCCTTTGAAATGGCCGCCTCCTCCATCCGCTTCGGCCCCGGCGTCACGCAAGAAGTCGGCATGGACATCGCCAACCTCAAACCCTCCGGCACCGTGGCCGTCGTCACCGACGAGACCGTCGAGAAGCTCGAAGCCATGCGCCAAGTCCGCGAGTCTCTCGACCGGGAAGGCATCAAGTACAAGATCTTCAACAAAGTCAAAGTCGAACCAAAGGACTACTCCGTCAAGGAAGCCATCGACTGGGCCCGCACCACAGGCGACTACTCGGTCTACCTGGCCGTCGGCGGCGGCTCTGTCATCGACACCGCCAAGCTGATGAACCTGTACTCGGTCTACAAGGACGCCGACTTCATGGACTTTGTCAATGCGCCCCTGGGCAAAGGCCGGCCCGTGGACCGGAAACTGAACCCGCTCATCGCCGTCCCGACCACGGCAGGCACAGGCAGCGAGACCACCGGCACGGCCATTTTTGACTTGGTAGCCAAGAAGTCCAAGACGGGTATTGCCCACCGTAACCTCAAGCCCACCCTGGGTATCTGCGACCCGCTGAACACGCGGACGATGCCGAGCGCTGTTAAGGCGAGTTCGGGACTGGATGTACTCTGCCATGCGCTGGAGTCGTACACGGCTATTCCGTTTAATGAGAGGACTCCCAGGCCGACGAACCCCATCTTGAGACCGGCGTATCAGGGGGCTAATCCTATTAGTGATATCTTTTCGCTGAATGCGCTGAGGCAGACGGTCAAGTATTTGCCTAGGAGCGTGAAGGATCCGGAGGATACCGAGGCGCAGACCGAGATGTTGCTGGCGGCGACGTTGGCGGGTGTGGGGTTTGGTAATGCTGGTGTGCATTTGTGTCACGGTGCGTCACTGTCTCTCTTTTTTCTTTTCCTTGTCTCCTTTCCTCCGAGTGATCCATACGTCTTGTGTCCCAATACCTTGACTCCTGTACTAACATGGTATCCCCAAAAAGGCATGTCCTACCCCATCTCCTCCCAAAACATCGCCTCCTACAAACACGCCGGCTACGACGTCCCTCACCCCATCATTCCGCACGGCGTCTCCGTGGCCGTCACCGCGCCCGCCGTCTTCCGGTTTACCGCCGCCTCCAACCCGGACCGCCACCTCGCCGCCGCCGAGGCATTTGGGGTCGACATCTCCAATGTCAAGCGCGAGAGCGCCGGCGAGGTTTTGGCGGAGGCTATCGCCAAGTTCCTGGCTGACTTGGGCGATCAACCCGCTGGTCTGAAGGCCCTAGGTTTCGGAAGGGAACATGTCGAGCAGCTGGTCGAGGGCACGATCCCGCAGGCTAGAGTGTTGATGCTGGCGCCGGGACTGGCGAAGGAGTTGCAGGCGGAGAGGGAGCAGTTGGGACGGTTGTTTGAGAATGCGTTGGAGCATTAGGTTTGGGTGTCTGGTGACTGGTGAGAAGGTGCCGTGGGTAATGGGGGATGGACTTGGTTTGTGTTGATATGTCGGGGTTAAGGTGTTAAGTAGAGGTATGCCGGTGACTGGGGACTGCATGAAGCGATACCGACATCTGCAGAGGGGATGAGTTGGGGGAGGGGGGAGGGGGGCGTTGCTGCTTATTTGAGCCAACCTACTTATCTGTTCTTTTTCTCATCTTCCTCCTCTTCTTCTTCTCTTCTTCATCGCATCATCCCCTTGGGAGCACTGCCCGTGATCAACTTCAAATCATGGAGAACAACTAAGCGATACAAATGATGATTTAGACAACACCCATTCCAAGTTTCTTTCCTCCCTCCTAAACTCTCTGCTGTCTCTTCAGCCTGCACTCCTCCCCTCTTGATGATCTAACCCCATTATCTAAATCCGAGACCACCGAGCCACTTCCCAGCTCTCCCAACTCTTCAGCTCTCCGAGCTCTTCCGACTTCACGATGCCGTCCCCTTCAGACATACCCCCCGGCAATAATGCCTTCAACAACACCAACAACATGGTCAACATCAGCAGGGCCAACGATGCACCCACTCCCACTCGCATCCCCACTCCCGCTCCCTGGTTCTTCCTCTCCCGCCGCCGTCACCTTCCATCCCCTTCCCTCTCTAACCAAGAGCAAGACGAAGTGTTCAACCGCATCTCCTCGTCCATGTCCCATTCCTCTACCCTCGCAGCCAGACAAGAGCCCAATGTCGCGGCCGGTCTACCCACCTCACCCGGCCTACATATCCTCCGCCGTGCGAGAATCGTGGAGTATATCAAGTCCTATACGTCTGCCCGAGAGCGACATGATGGACAGCAACGGGAAGCGACGACGGAGTGGGGAGTTGTTGGAGTTCCCGTTCTAGAGACACATCCACATTCACCTTCGTTTTTTATTACAGCTCTCTATCATGATGGTCATGATGGGGAAATAACCCCTCCTCCGGCTTCCCCTCATGGAGCTTTTTTATCGGATATCATCAGGACGAGCAGCCCAGACAGTCCCGATAACAAGTCCGACACCAGCGCTGGTGGACGCCGCCGCAGCCAGAGCGCCAGCAGGGATGTTGTTGAACACTTTGTGTCTGGCAGCGATGCCGGCGAAGACGAAGACGAAGACGAGGACGAGCTCCTCTTCCTTCAAACACCCCCCAACCCCAACCCCAACTACAGCTCTAGCTCGCGGGTTGGTACTACTACTATCACAGGAAGCATCACCGATATGTTACTAGGTACCATGACGGCCGAGGAGCAGGCGGTGGTGAGCCGGACGTGGAAGAAGGTTTTGAAGTCTAAGGGCAGGGGTGTTACTACTACTACCCAACATGGAGATATGGATGCGGTAGCGGAAGAAGGGGAGGGGAACAATAGCGAGGGGGGAGCGGTGCTTTGGAACAAGGTTGCGATGCAGGAGGAGGAGGAAGACAGTGACAGTGACGGAGGAGGTGCTCCCCTTTCCGGGTCATCATCTGAAAATGGTAGTAGTAGACTCGGCAACGACCGCCGCCGCGAAAAAGGTGGTTCGGACGGAAGAAGACTAGACGGCGGTTCGAATCGTCGGATTGATTTGGCACAGTTCGCTGCCAGACACCACCACCAACAGTTCTGGCACGGCCCCGGCCTCCGGGCCAATTCGGACAGACAAAAAGCAGATGCTGCTGCCCAACTTGAACGCCATCGTCGACCCAGCGATACGCCTATTCTTCCCGCATTTCGTTCCGGGATCGAAACAGGGGCTTGCCGGTCCGATGCTGGTGCTGACATCACTCTCGAATTGTTTTCCACCCTCTTTCGACTCCAACGCGCTGAGGCCCGGGCCCGGCAACGGGTGCTTAACCGTTTCTCTTCTTTGGATCATCCGGGGCGCATCAATAGCTTGCAAGATGGCGGACAGCAGGCGAGACAACCTGGACGTTCGCAACAACGGAATCCTGATGATGCCTCTACTTCAAATGCGGACCACTTCACCTCTGAGCGCCACCGCTTTCATCACTTCACCGAACCGCCACTTACATCAAACACAACCAGATCTCTCCATCTACCTCCGCCCACCCCCAGTCGTCCCAGCAAAGGCTCATCTTCCCGGTCGGTTCTTGCCCAGTCATCAACACCACCACCACGCGCTCCCCTGCCGCACGAACCTCAAGGGAGTCGTACTACAAACCAAGTTCCCAAACCGCCTAGCCCAACCACCACCACCACCGGAGACTTCACCCCAACCACCGGAAATTCCACAACCACACCACTCTCCTCGTCCTCCTCCTCCAAACTAGGACCCTTCCCCCTCTCCCCCTCTACCGTCGCCCTCCTCGCCTCTTCACAAGCTTCCTTCGAACGTCTTACCACTCCCAAATTCCATCCCGCCGGTGTCAGCCGTTCCCGTCAGAATCAGGAAGCCCAGATTCAGGCTCACACAGCGGCATGGACGAACATTGACATTGGAAAAGGTAAAGAGGAGGAGGAGGGAGAGAAGGAGGGAGAGGAAGGGTGGGAGATGGTGGATAATCCTTGTGATGAGTATCGTGTGATATATAATCCGGGGAAAGGAAATGGGTATGCGAGGAATGGAGGGTTTGGGAGGAGGGAGGTGGAGGTGGAGGGGGAGGTGGATGAATTGCCGGGGGGGTTGGAGGAGACATGCACGGATTATGGGTTCGTGCTGGATCGGAAGGGGGATGGGGAGGGTTCAACTTCTGCTGGTGGAGGACCCCAACAACAGCAACACCAACACCACCAAATTCCCATTGTCGTACCGCCCTTACACCGAGATATCACGAGACATGGAACCCCATCAACAACATCAACTACGAGTCAAACCCAAACCCAACCCCATCTCGCAACCTCGCGGCTTCGCCAACTTCAACAAACCGAGCGGGAATCAACCGTCTCAACATCTCTATCCGTTTCTTCATACGCACCACTATCGCGGCCCTCCATGTCATCATCCTCCCCCTACCCCTCCCCGTTCTCAGGAGAAGTGGGAGTGAGAGTGGGAGCGGGAGGGAGGGGGCAAAACGAGGAGCAGAAGGGGAAGGGGAAGGCGAAGGGGAAGGAGAAGTGGAAGGGAACGGCAAATGAACAGGAGCGTCATGGAAATGGGAGGAGGGAAGTAGAGACCCGGACTACTCGTGTACAGCAGAATTCCCTTCACCTTGGAAGGAACAACGGTCAACGTGATTATCGGGGTCAGGGTCAGGGCCAGGGGTCGAATTTTCCCTCCTCTACGAACCGGAACGAAGAGAGGGAGAGCGAGAGAAGGCGAGGAGATACTCGTGTTAACATTCGGATGGGTCGTATCGTTCAACCATCGGGAAGTCGTGCTCACACGGGGGGTAGTGTCGCTCAACCTTCTGGGCGGCCGGGGTTGGATGATGACAGTGTTGATATTGACGAGGGTTTTGCTGATGTGCTTCCTGGTCGTGTGGGGAAGAAGCAGTGAACATCAACAACAAATGTTGAAGGAAACTTGGGATATTTCATGACGTTATTTGGATAAGGTACCGGAGGGAAACACAATAGTAATCTAGCGGTTTAGCTAGCAATTGGAAATCATCCATTTGAGCATGTCTCACATGCCGATAGGTAGAAGTACACTAGGGAGGGGGAGATAGAATTTATGGGAAGAGGTTGAATGCCTACAGTACCTCTCCGTTGAAACATCTCCAAGTTGCTACCTCGTCGTGCACATAACCTTAGGTACCTGTAGGTACCTACTTACATAACCAAGTCCAGTACAATTTCAACCCCCCTTATAACTCCTAGCAGCCTAAGTAATCCAACAATAACACCCAATAACCTAGCTTATACCAAACTCCCTCCAAATCCTTCTTCCCCCTCTCCCTCTCACTTCCTACCTACGCTACGCCATATCCCATGCCCTCAAAAACTTCCTCCTCAACTCCATCCTCTTCCGTCCATGCTTCTCCAACAACCTCCCCTCCACCTCTCTCACATTTCTCCCAATCTCATCCATGTCCTGCCCCCTCTCACGAGCCCTATCAACCCCCTTCAACCCCTCATCATCAATCGCCGTCCAAATCCCCGGCACATTATTCGGCAGTCCATTACCCTTAGCCAGCGCATCGATCGCTCTGCCCGCCACGTTCGGATCGTGCGTCGTGGCGTGCACCCCCCGGATGCAGTGCCGCTTCTTGTAGCCGAGGGCGAGGTAGCGGTTGATGATGGCTAAGGGATCTTCGGAGGCTATGCCGTTGCCTAGATCGCGGCCTGCGTGGGGTGGTACAGCTTCTGGTGCGGCTGTGGATTGTCGATGTTGCTTTGGGTGGCGTTGATGGATGGGGGCTGGGAGGGAAGATCGTGCTGCAGAGGACCGGGGAGGATGAGGGTGAGAGGATGGTCGTGGCTGTGATGGTGGTTGGCGTGGTCGGGCAAGGTGATGGTTGCCGCCTTCGTCGTCTGAGGCGAAGGGGTCGGGGGGAATACGGAAGCGAGGTGGTGGGCTGCGAGAGGCAGGTGCGGTATCTCTTGGGGGAAGTTGTCTGCGAGCTGCCGGGGCTGTTGCGGAAGGGCGAGGGATAGGGTCAGGGATGGGAGAGCGTCTTCGCTCGGGAGGAGGCCGAGGAGGGTTGATGGGTGTGGCGAAGGCGTCGCTACTTGAATCCGAGTCCGAATCTGAGGAGATGTACTGTGCTTGGTTCTTTGAGCTCGGTTGAGTAGTAGACTTCTTCTGCGCTGATGTAACCTTTTGCGATTTCGAGGCCGAAGAGGGGCGAAGTGAAAGAGCCCTTTCCACCGTGGTTTGTCGGGGTTGTTGTAGCGGGGTGGTGAAAACGTCTTCATTATCATCCCTGTGGTCTTCCACACCATAGTCGTCTCCGTCATCTCCAAAGATGGGCATATCGTCAGCAGCGTCGTCGTGGTCTTCCTCGTCGTCGACTGGGGCGACATCGGCAGTCTCTTCTGGCCTGGAGGTTACTTCCGGAATCGGTGTGAGCGGAAATTGCCATCTCTTAGGCGGCGATTCTGGGACCTCGTCCTCCACATCGTATCGTAGTCGCTTCCTTGTCATGTTAGCTAACGGGGAGGATATTATCTGATCGAGGTTCCTCTTCAACCCCCCCGAAGACTTGAGGGCTCCTATGATGGGTGGAGAGGACCTGAACTCGGTGGTATTGGGGTCTTGAGGTAGTGTAGTGTTTTCTGCTCCATCAGCATCAACCTCCTCTTCTCCTTCCACGATCTCATCATTTTCTGCCTCTTCAGTCTCTTCCCCTTCCTCGCTGTCCTCGTCTGTCCCTTGATTAAGCTCATGAAGTTCAGCTTCCTGATACTCTTTGTAGAAGTTTTCGAATTCGGCAAGATGTTCCTGGAATGCTGCCTGTAGCTGGTTGGGAACATCTGGCTCAGCAATCCAGTCAAAGTCCAACAGCTCAGCAATCTCTTGCCAGTCTCGTGCATGAGCAGGCACGTCCTGTTCCGTAACCGCCCTCCGTAGATCCCACATGTCCACAGCTTTACCTCCAATTGTTACCCAAGGGACTGGATTGGTTCCAAGGGCCTCGTTATATCGGCTGAAATATTCGTAGAACTGCTCTCTCGGAGTTCGTGTAGGCTCAGAAGAAATGCCCTCTTCAAGCGATTGTCCAAGGTCAACGGACTCTCCATCGTCACCATAGACTTCGGCCTCCTCATACAATTGCTCAGACTGGGACTCTTCAAGGGCAGGTGCACAAGCCCATCGTACCAAAGACCCTTGTGCAAGAGCCTGGAATAATATCAGACTTTGCCGCCAGGGAATCTGTTTTCGGGCCTGGTAGGATCGCCACGCTCGTTGGATGATAGAAGCACTCTTAATCTTCTTCTTTTCTTCATGAACCAAGCGAGCTCGTTTGTTGATCTCTTCGAGCCGTGAAGGGGTCGAGCGAGGCGATGACTTTTTGTGTGCAGAGCTTGTAACTGTAGCTTTTACAGGGCCCATGGGTGAACTCTTCGTAGGGACATCCTGACGCGCTCTATTCAGGGCTGCTGAAAGTCGCCTCTTAGCCGCGGCTTGATCAGCGCTCTGAGGCGTCGCCTTGACTTGGGGGCGTGTGATGACTCTTGGAGTTGGCTCAGGAAGGCTGGGCTCAGTAGGCTTCGGGGCGGCAGGGGTGGCAGGGGCGGCAGGATCATCTTCTTCCAGGTTCGTTGTAGCCTGTAGGGTTTCAACCCATCTGTTTCGCCAAGACTGCCAACTGTGATGTGGGTATTGCTTCGCGAACTCCTTGTAGATGATGTTCCCCTGTAAACTTTCTCCTTGCCGGTTCATCTGCTTAAGATATCTGATCAAAATCTGGTCATCTTCTTCGGTAAAGGCGACTCTGCCAGAGGCAGATGCGGGAACAGACGAAGATTGTTGAGCTTGTGAACGGCCTGGGACTGGCGTGTGTACGGTGCTTGTTTTTACGGAAGGCGTGCCGACTTTGACATTCTCTTTTTTGCAGACCGGTGCTGGGGTATGAGAAGGTGGTGGTGCTGGTGGTGGTGGCTGATAGTCTTGAGGAAGCAGTTTGACCAGAGTATCCCTGTGTTGATGATCGTATCGCTTGCTGAAGCGATCTCTCCATGACTGCCATGTGTGTCGGGGGTACTTTTCTGCAAGCTCCATATAGATCTTGTTGCCGCGAGTATAAGCGCCCGACCTCTCCTTCTGCACGACCCAGTGAATAAGGATATTGTCGTCCTGTGGTGTATAGGGGGTCCGAGTGCTCTTGGTGGGCATGGTCGACCCAACAGGACGCGCTCCCTGGGCAGTGGCATGTTCGATCCTGTAAAGGTCTATGTCGGCCAGCTGGCCCTCACTGATGGAATCTGTAATGTACTTCCAAGATACAGAGCCGACAGGGGCATTTTTGAGTACATGGTCTGCAATGAGAATATCTGCATGCTTTTCAAGAAGTACGGTCTTCCCTCCGTTGGCCTATGTAGGATGTCAGTGACTTGGTCTAGCTCGATTAAACCGTCTACACATACCTTGACTGACTCCTCCAAGGACTTGCGATCTGGCACTCTCTGGGAGATCCAAAACTTGAGTCCGTTGAAGAGAGTGCCCTCGTAGGGGTTTTGGTTGTTGTTGCCATCCGGAGTCCGATTGGCCAGGACTCCTTCGTAGACTATTCCGGCTGACGGCATCTTGAAGTGTGACTGAATAGACTATTGCCCTAACCCTGGATCTGGGCTCTTCTACTCCGTCACTTGAGCTCGAGGGCAAGAAGAACCGAGACCTCAGAGGGAAGCTGCACACTTCATTTCATGGTTTGGAATGATGAAAATCTCGAAAGCAGAAAGGTTGGGTGAAAGTCGTGATGATTGGTTGTCGGTTTTATGTTGGGGGTAAATTCGGTGATGGCCTCACTTTGTGTATTTTGGCGTTGGGCGCAGTGCATGTGGAGTGCTCGTTCGTTGGCGGAGTGAAAATCCACCACAAGGAAATCACGGCAGACTGTCAAGCCTGAAGACGGGACGGGAGTTACAGCCCGAAGAGTGAGGGGCAAATGAATGAAAGGGTGATCACAGCTTCCACTTGCGATCTTAAAAGTCCAACCGCCCGTGCCTTCCCTCTCTTTGTTGCGCGACGAGGGACACGCGCTCTCACGGGACAGGAATGAACAGCTCGGCGGTTGCAGCGACCAAACGGTGCATCAACCCTAACCCCAACCCCACCCCTAGGCACCCAACACTCAAGTCTTGGCATTGACGACGACTGGTCCGAGCTGACAGAGCTGACCTTCGCTCAGTCAATCTTTGGCTTCACAAATGTTGCCTTTTTCCCTCTCAACTTTTCGTTTGTCAGTTGTCCCAATGATACCCCTAATATCCTCCTCTTCTGATTTCTGATTCTTGATGTCTTTGTTCTGTCCATCAAGTCCTTTTCCTGCCCATTCGGAGACGCCCAGTTCATCCCTCTCTGTTTGCCCCTGAGAACAACTGTGTGTTGACAGGGGTGGTGTTCGCTGGCCGAGACACCCGCGGGGACCTCACAAAGAAAAGGAAAACTTCCATGTCAACAACCAACTGAACATATTCCTCCACAGACGTTTTTGATCAAGTTCGTCGAGACACTTCTTGGACCACCAGTCCGTATTATGATTCTCACTTTCCGGACGACAAGTGAAGGAAAAAACGAGGATTCGGTAGCACCATGGGCACCATCGCAATCGCCGCCGCCGTCATCCTTGGCATCTCATTCATGACCTTTGTGGCCTTCTTTGGCAGACTACCTGCACTACGGTATGTACATCCCTCACCCTTCACACACACATCTCACATAAACCCTCTCACTTCATCATTGCTAACCATTTCTCTCAAAAAAAAAAAAAGAAACACCCCCATCTCCTTCCTCCACCGGCTCATCTGGATCCATCTCCCCAATGCCGTCCTCGCGGTCGACCGCACCTTGACCAACGGGCGCCTCACCACCTCCCTCGCCCGCCTCGCCCGCCACCTCTGGTACGACCAACACCCGACCATCCTCATCTTCTTCTTTTTGTTGTTATCAGTAGGCGAGTACTTGTATCTCCCCGTCGCCTGGCCGCATCTCTCCTCGGTCCACAAAATCCTCGGCACCCTCGCCATCTTCTGTCCTTACCTCTTCCTCTACCTCTCGGCCTTCACCGACCCCGGCACGGTGAACCCCGAGACTCACGTCCGCGAAATGGCCCGCTACCCCTACGATTTCACTTTGTTTCATCCCGGCACGAGCTGCGAGACTTGTAGGTTTTTGAAACCCGCGAGGTCGAAACACTGCAGTATCTGCAAGAAGTGTGTGGGCAGGATGGACCACCACTGTATTTTCATCAACAACTGCGTGGGGGCCAACAACCAGCGGTGGTTCATCCTGCTGCTTTTGAGCACGGCAATCCTCACCCTCTATGGCGGGGTTTTGGGGCTGGGGATTATTAGACAAAAGATCCAGGCGCGGTTCCCCTACTGGACGTTGTTACCGTGGTGGACTTCCACTCAAGCATGGGAGGATGGGAGTCTGGATTTCCATCGGTGGTTAGTCCTCTGGAGCTGGGGACTGCAGTCTGGCGTTGCCATGGGGAGCGTTACGCTGTTGGCGCTGCTGACGACGCCGTTGGTTTGGGGGCTGTTGGGGTATCATCTTTGGTTGGTGTATTGTGGGACGACGACGAACGAGAGTATGAAGTGGCAGGATTGGCAGGCGGAGATGGATGAGGGCGGGGTGTATAAGCGGAGGATCGAGAGTGGCAGGGTGAAAGACCTAAAGGTCGAGCCGGCGTGGACGAGGTGGCCGGTTGAGGCGGAGCAGGTCATGGTTAGGACGGATGATGGGAAGCCGCCGAGGTCGAGTCATCGGTTGCCTGGGGAGGGAGAGTGGGAGGCGGTTTGGAGGTTGAAGGATGTGGAGAATCTTTATGATATTGGGTTGTGGGATAACTTGGTTGATGTCTTCTTGCCGTATTTCATGTTCAAGGAGTCAAAGGGTAGGAGTCCTGTTGATGAGCGGGAGTTTGGGAGGGAGAGAGGTAGGAACAGGAGGCGGAGTTCTTGAATGATGGTTTGAGATTTGGGATACCCATAGATGTCTTGAGAGTAGTTAGATGTTGGAACGTATAGAATCAGTCTTCCTCCAAGTGACGGAGCTCTGCGATGGGTTTCTCCAGGTTTCCACGTTCCAAGGGGTATCAAGTCTATTGGCATTGCTTCAAATGGTACATAAATAATACAGTGACTTTCCAACTGACATCCAATCGTTCATACCTAGAACGACGCTTTCTCCCGGCCTCCCTTAGACCCCGCTGTCCCCTGATGCGGCGTTGCCCACACAATTTGATCAAACGGTATGATCTTGCTCACCGTCGGCGCCGGCTTGTTCACCACACTTCCCAGCTCCGGCGCCTCCTCATCCTCCAGCGCCCGCTCGTCCCTAACCAAACCGGCCATCTTCGCAATCGCCAGTCGTGCGCCTGCAATACCCAACCCGGCATTCCTCGGGTCACCCGCGCCTGTAACCCACAGCTCCCTCTCCCACCCCTTACCCTCCACCCACGTCAAACTCTCCTCCTCAATCTTCCTCAGCTCCTCCCACACCTTAACACACATATCCCCAATCGACCCCTTTTCCCTCTCCTTCCCTTGGCCCTGGCGATACTCCTCCATCGACTCAATCTTATCCGCCTTGGTCAAGACAACCGTCGTCCTAACCCCCGCATCCCTCAACATACCCAACACCGCCCTATCATCCTTCTTGACCCCCGCCACCGAATCAATCAGCACCACCGCCCCCTTCAACATCCTCCTCTTCTCCAGATACTTGGTAATCTCCTTGCCCCACTCCGCCTGCGAATTAAACCCGTAACCGGGCATATCCACCAGAATCAACTGATTCGTCGGCTTCCTCTCCTTACTAAACTTGTTCTTCTCCTCCCTCTTCTCCGACCTGCTTTTAATCTTGCCGCCCTCATCCCCAGCCTCCGGCTCCGCCTCCTTCTTGGGCGGCGCCACCTTCGGCGGCGGGCCGAACCCGTACGCGTTCATCGTCTTGGTGCTTCCCGCGTGCGCCGACGTGATGGCCCGGCCGGCCCGGCGCGCTTCGAGACCGTGCGCGCGACCGGCGGCGGCGCCGGCGGCGCCTGAAAGGGCGTTGATTAAAGTCGACTTGCCCACGTTGGAGCGGCCTAGGATGCACACTTCCGGGACGTGCGTGTTGACGGGGAAGTTGAGGAAGCGAGGGGCGGCGTACATGAAGTACGGCTTTTGGCAGGTGAAGATGTGGGTGGCGGCAAAGAGGGAGTTGGCGGTCGGGGCGGGAGCGGGGAGGGCGCGCTGGTTGGGGTCGTTGGAGGGGGGTGGGAGGAAGGAGAAGGAGGAGGGCGCTTTCTCGACTGGGCCTGTCTTTTTGACTTTCTTGGGGGTTTCTTTGGGTTTCTCGGCTTGTGTATCTTTGGGCTTCTCTGGCTGTTTCTCCTTGGGTTTCTCCTGTTGTTTCGGCTTGGGATTTTCTGGTTGCCTCACTCTTGGCTTCTCGGGTTGCTTCGCTTTCGGCTTCTCCGATCGTCTTTCTTTGGGCTTCTCCTGTTGTTTCGGCTTGGGCTTTTCAGGTTGTCTCTCTTTGGGCTTCTCCGATTGTTTTTCCTTGGGCTTATTTGTCTGTGTTGTCTGAGGTCGTGATGTAGATCGTATCGACAAGCGTTGTCGTGCTGGGCTCGCTGTCGTGGAGCTGAAGGGACGGATGGAGGAGATCGGAGCAGCAACTGCGACGGGTCGAGAGGCTGCGAGTTGTCGGAGGACTAGACATCTTAGGTTGGGTGGCATGGCCAAAATACTGGCCACTGCCCTTTGGTTCGTCATATCGGAGTATTCTGCCGACGATTGGGGTTGTCGGGATCTTGTCTGGCGCAACAAGACAGCAGTGATGGGAGAGAGTCGCAGATTTCATCCGACTTTCTGTAATTGATATGCCATACTAAACTCCCGATAACACCAGTTTTGCCTGCCGCGAGGACTTCTTATCTTATCGATAAGCATCTGGTCTTCAGGGTTGGGGTTGTAGGAGAGCTAGAAGGAGCTGAGCACAAGTCCAAACTGACCTCATCTTCGATCCGCAATCGTTAACATTAAACCAGTCCACATCCGCACCGTGCCGTCGCAAACTCTCCGATCTCCCACCACCCACCACATCGTCACCCAACCAAACCAAAGCGCCAAAATGTCTGCCGCAAAGACCAACATCCTCCATCTCTACCGCGCCTTCCTCCGCGAGCTCCCTCCCCGGCCCTTCCTCACCACCCCGCGCGCCCCTCTCCACCAGCGCCTCCGCGACTTTGTCTCTTCCGCCGCCGCTCCCGCTTCCGCCGCCGTTGCCACGCCCCTTCACAAGCCCTCCATCGCCGAAGCCGAGCAGCTCCTTGCCTACCTCCAGGCACAGCGGGAATACGTCACTCTGTTGGAGCGCTACAACCCCGGCATGGGCATGGACGAGGAGACGAGGGTTAGGTTGACGGCTAAGAGGGTGGGCATGGACTTGCCTAAGGAGTTTAAGGATGGTGAGGAGGAGAAGTAAACTTTGGATGGTCAACAACCGCCATGACCGCACCGTATGCGGGTGTACAAGAAAGACAGACTGTATTATTGTTGGGCTTGCTTGGGTGGAAGAAAGGCGTTATGGGAGTTCTGTCTGTTTAGACATGGGATTGGGAAGTCTAGGAAGACGGGATTTGGAACCGCGACAATGATTTGGTTGAGCAACAGGAGGAAAGTTGAGGGCGGATAGGATCGGCTCGACTAATACGATCGACGGCGATGGCATCAACGAAGACGCACTAGAAGGTGCAAGCAAATTCAGTTGGCCGAAAGAGAGGACGATCCGAAACTAGCGAAAGCACAGTCTGGGATGGAAGGAAGGGTTTCGAAAGAAAGGCCAAAAAGTCAAAAAGCTCGGCCGCCCAAGCCTGGAGTTGAACTCGAGACCAGCTGCAACCTACGAAAACTGTACAACCTATACCGCGCATCTGAAGTGTTTTCTGGCTCCCGCACACCATACCGCTTGGCGAGCTTGGGGCTCATATGGGCGAAGGTCCTGCCGTCTGGACATTCGCCCGCTTGCCGAGCCGGTGCCGTGCCGGTGCCAGAAGACGGTGTGCGGCAGTTTCTGCTTCTCCTGTTGGAGCTTCTTACCACCGACCAACTCTCTGCGTTCCATGTCTCTTAACCTTCATATAGGCCGTCTGTCGGCTCTCTTTCTGCATCTGATCATCTCCAGGCGCAAAGGACGGCGGATACTTTCAGCTTACCTACAATCATCAACGACATCCGAAAGATGCGAATTATAATCATCATCCAATTTCTGATTGTGTCGAGAAATCTGTGTTATCAGTGCAATGGACGTTGGAATCAGAAAAACTTCGAGATTCGAAATGTGTTGAACGGAAGAGTGCTTGCTCATGGTTGGGAATCCGCCTCCATTACGTCCCCGCCAAGTGCCAGCAAAGCCGAGTCAACGACAACATCACTCGCAGCGTCAGGAGGATATTACCTGTGACATTCACCGTCTCCCAGCCTGTGTTTGCCTTCGCCATAGTAAACAAGTCCTCCGCTTTCGCCCCGGCAACGACCCATCTCGCCGAACCGTTTTCATCTGAATCCAATATACAATCTTCCTCTAATCCCGCGACCCTTGGCCAAGTGATACTTCCTGTTGGCATCATTTACTCGCACCGGAGTCACTCACGCAAACGGTCCAAATATGGGACTGAACTTATCCTGCCTAAACAGGACCCTGTTCTTGGGGTAAAAGTCCAAGAAACCTCAGTTCGAGGAAGACCCAGCTTGAGAGGGCCCTGTCCAAGATATCTCGGTTGAACATGCTACTTACATCTACAGACCATGTTTCCGCCGGTTTAACGCTATCGCTATCTTCTCGCAGTCTCTCCTCCACCAAGTCGGTCCAGTGGTTCCAGTAATGCCACATTTCAGTCCAACAGACTACCTGCTTGTTTCCCACGAGAACCACCGGAAATAACCCCCAATCTTCAGTCCTTCCTCGCCTCTACTCATCCACTTGATGCCCATGTGTTCCCTTTTCATCCTTTTCGATACCAACAGACTCATCCGATAACCCACTTCGGCTTCCATCAAACTAAATCTTCCATATCTACCTCCGTGACGGGAGCCAGTAGCCTCCTCCCTCTGCTCATCGTCAACACTCGTACGCCTCTCGCAGCTCAGGGTTCTGCCACTACAAGAAGGCTTCTACTTCTCTCCTTCCGGCTTACAATATTCTTCTCCTTGCCCTAGGTTTTGACAAACGTGAACGATATCTCCAACAAGCCTCAGGTAGGCTGGTTGGATCACGGCCTCATTCTCTGCTGTTATCTTCTCTCATATCCTTTCCTATATCATCTCCTTCGCCGGACATCCAAACTTGTCTCAGCATATCATATCTCTTTCAACTCACTTTTCACACGCCATCCGGCCTCACTCAATCACAGCGGGCACACACGGTCACTCACTCATGCATCACTGGTTAGCCGAGTATCGTCTTGCTCAGCGCCGGTTGACACTCAACTGATCGAATTCCTTCTCCCTCATTGAGACATCTGCAGAGACAGGAGATAGCAGAACATGGACAACCTCACGCCACCGCCCACTCTCAATGGAGATGTGCCAGATCAAGAAGGCCACTGTACGAACTCGCAGTGTACCCGCGATCGTGGCATTCTGGAAGGCCTGAACAACACTCTCCGAGCAGAAAAGGCTGCCCTCGAAACAGAGAATACCGAGTTACGGGCAGAAATTGCACGGTTGCGGGCAAGGTCTTCAAAGCACACCCAAAGAGTATGTATCATCAAAGACAACTTACCCACTGAGAAAAGGGACTGACATCAGCTAGACCTGGCCACGAATGTTACGCCAATACCTGCTAACCGGAGACCCGTCATGGGATGAGGTATGCAGACAATGTAACAAGGAGGAGAATATGAGCGTCAATGTCAAATGGCACCATCCAGACATCAAATTCGTCACGCCAGAGGAAGGAGATGCGGCGGTTCCGGACCTACTTGGACCCGTCGACAACAGACAGTTCAACTTCAACGCCCTCCCGGTTGAAGTCCAAGCCAGAATCTTTAGACTCTGGTTATACAAAGAGGGAAACCTCATCCACGCCATTTCCCGACTAGACCCCTTCGTCCCAAACGAGGATTTCCCCGAGGAAGCGGCCCTCAGAAAACGAAGTGGCCTCAAACACACCTTTTTCTATGGAGAGCGAAACTGCAGTATCACTCACAGCGGCCAACCCCCCAACTCCCTCCTCCGCATCCTCCTCGTCTGCCGTCGCTTCTACTTCATCGGCATTCACTGCTTCTACGGCCTCAACACCTTCGCCTTCTCCAGCCTCGGCGAGTTCCTCCGCTTCTGTCAAGGGATTGGTCCGGCCCGCGTCGACCGCCTCCAGCACCTCGAAATTACCTTAACCGGTAATCAATACCTGACCGTTCCTTTGGACGAAAAGGGCCGTATCCCTTACTCCCGGCGGACCTTCCCCCTCAGCTTTCTGCCGGACTGTCATCGTCTTAGGACCCTGGTGATCCACGTCGACGAAAGCAGCAGCCATTACAGCCGTCGCCGATATGAAACCCGGGCTATCAAGGAGTTCATGGACGGCAAAACGGCTGGCCAGCCTAACCAGCGCAAACTTCGCGCTCTCCGCTGCATTCAGGGCATAGACTTCATCTATGCCCTCCGCGGCCTGGAATGGATTCGGTTTTACGACCTTCACAAGGCTATCATATCTGGGACTGCTACCCGTGAGCCCGTGGCGGACTGGTCATTCGTGGAGGACGTTACGAATACTGCTACTATGCAGAAAGTGGCCAGCCGTCGGGAAAGCTCAAAGCTAGAGAATCTGCAGCCTCTTTTCAGTAACAATGACCACCAGCAAGAGGCTTGGAACCCCGGCCGGGCAGATTGGGAGCTGGTCAAAAGCTTTTATATCGACAATGGTGGCATACGGTCGTATGACCAGTTAAGACAGGATGGGTTCCCTCATGATGCTGACATCTTGTCGCGTATGAGTGCTAGTAGTGGTCCAAGACAGGGGCATTCTTCGAATTCGGGAAGCTCGAGTTCTTCGAGCTCAAGTTCTTCTGGTGGACCGCATCATGGTCGTGGAGGTCCGGCAATTCGGGGACGAGGGGACCGGGGAAAAGCTGCTGCCGCCCGACGTGGTCAGGTTGCCAGGGGAAACGCGAGCAGAGGCCGTGGAGGTCAAGGTGCCTCCGGCAGAGGTCGTGGAGGTTGTTTCGCCAACGTCAACGTCAACGCAGCGCGCAGCAACCCTACACCGTCCCCGAGTATACCCGTCGACCATGACACCTCAATGTCATCCGGTTCCTCCGACTCGGATTCGGATTCGGATGATTCCCAAGGCATGGCCATGAGTGCCGCGGGAGGATCCATTGCCGATGCCATCGATCTCAGTGATTCCGATTCTGACACAGAGACCGACTCACCACATACCGGAAGCGCGGCCGGTAGTATCTTAATCGAACTCTTATCTGATTCAGAGTCCGACTCAGAGGAGGATAGCCTCTTTGTCAGCCAACACAATCACAACCATCACCATCACCACCGCGACCCCAGCCGCAGCCGCCACGGCAGCAGCAGCACAGGCGACGCAGCAACCCCGATGCTCATCGACGACGACGCCGACGACGGCGACCACCACCACAACCACCATCATCACCAGGCCCCAAGCACCACCGCCTCCGTCCCCGTCCGCCTCCACTCCCTAACCCCCATGGGTTTCATGACTCCCAGTCTCATGGACAGAGGCATCTCCGTCCCAGCGAACCTTCCATTCTTAGGTCCCCCAAGCTTCGCTTCGTTGCTTAACATCCAACCAGCGTCGGCGGCGGGGGCTAGGTACCTGCCTCCTAACAACGCAGCTGCTTTGGAGTCTGCGGCTGCAGGTGTGGCTGCTTCGAGGAGGGGTTCTATGTCGATGTCTATGTCAATGTCTAGGTCGGTTTCCAGGTCGGTTTCCAGGGCTGGGTCGTTCGCAAGTGCGAATGGGGGTGGGAGTGGAAGTGGGAGTCGAGCGGGGACGGCTTCTAGTTGTGGACGATCATTGGCACGGTTGTCGGTAAGGTCAGGGAGTTCGGGATCATCGGGGTCTTCAGGGTTGTTTGTCAGCCAGAGGCAGAGACAGAGGCAGTCGGGAGGTACAAGTGAGAGGGATAGTGTTGATTTGACGAATGCTGATGAGGATGACGAACACGCTGAAGATGATGAGCATGGGACAAGTGGTGGAAGTGGAAGTGGACATGGAGATGGGGAGTTGATGACGATCGAGGAGGAGAAGGGTGACGAGAATGGGAATGACAGAGAGGGTCAGGATAGTGGCTATGAAGGAGCGGATGATAGCGATGTCGAGATGGTTGATTCGGTTTGAGGTCGGTGAGACGCTGGAGGACGGGGCTGAACCAGTTCAAGTGAACTTGCGATGTCTTTACCCTGGAGCGATATGCATGTTTGGTGTTGGGGTAGGCGTTGGTGGTCGATATCCTTTTTCATGTTTTAACAAGGTCTCTAACTACCTCTACCGGCTGAAGGAGGAGGGGGTAACGGGCTTGCGATTTTTCTTTCCTTTTTACACTGGCCTTTCTACCGGTCAGTAATGCCTTCATCTGCTTCTCAGATGCCCTGGCTGATTTCACAGATGCATTTCTGGAAGGGTGATAGCCCTTGGGGCTTTTCACAGATGCCTACCTACCTTAGTTTTCCTGCTGAAGGCCACAATACAATCGATGATTTTCCAATCCTCCCCGCACGAATTGCTGGCTTGCTGGATACCTAACCTGCTAACAGTCATTCCCCGTTGGGGTAACAGTGTGAAATGATATCCTACCCTATTATATCCCAAGATCTCCTCCCAAATCCCTATACCCGCATCTTCTATCTTTCTACCTTGCCTACCTTTAAGTGAACCCCTGGTTCAACAAGATACGTAGTAGATTATATCACCCCACAAAGCCTCAAACCCACCCACCCCCATTCCCCAAAACCTCCTCATCCGCCTTTCTGTCTTCACAAAACCCCCCCATCCTCCCCTCCCCATCCCACCTCCTCCTAACCTCTTTCAGCTTTCTCGCACACTCATCACTCCAAAACCGCGCCCTCCTCACCCTAAAGTCCGCATCACACGGCGTACTTTTCCACCCCGCTAAAAATATCCCTAACCCACCTCGTACACCGCTCGTCATCTCGAGCGTCCGACCAGATGGTGTAAACGGCAAAGTAGTGATCCGACTGCATCGAGGGGGCCATTGGTTCTCCCTGGGGATCGAGGAGCGGGCAGCGGGAGCGGGAGCGGGGGGTCATGGAGAACCAGAGGGCGGAGGATTTGACTGTTGGTAAGGTTGTGAAAGCTTGTTCGAGGACGTCGGGGACTGATATAGATTCCGTACTAGCCTCGTGTGCAAAGCCGGATGAGGAGGATCCGGCCCCAGAAGGCTGCTCAGAAGGGGAGGAAGGGGAGGAAGAAGGGGTGAAAGACGACAAATCATCATTAGAAATATAAGCGTTATCAGAGCAATACCTTTGCCCTAACGGGTTGGTCAACAACTGCTGGGTGTACTCCTGCGTGAGGGAAGTAGGTTGGCAGAAGATCAGGTGTTTGGTGCCGGGCGGGTGGAGGTCGTGGATGGGTTGCAGGGCGGCGAGGGCGGAGGAGCGGGAGGTGGTGAAGAGGGTGAAGGAGGCGAGGATGGTGGGTTCGGGGTCGTAGTCTGAGTCTTTGAGGTTGCATGGGTTGGAGGAGGTGCGCAGGTGGGAAGAGACGCAGACTATTTCCATGCCTGGGTCGCAGGTTGGTGCGATCTGGACGGGGTATGTGAGTAGATGAAACAACTGGTAGAGAGGTGACGTGAGGAAGGGGAAGGGGGGGATAACATACGTTGATTTCCCATTGCAGGACTTTCTTGAAGAGTGAGACAGGGTAGAAGTACAGGCTTTGGTACATCTCCAGAAGTGGCCGAGTGAGGAGGTAGAACCGCGTGACGATGGCTGGGAACCCGGGACCTGCTCCGCGTGCTGCCCAAAAGAGGTCCGGGTAGGAGTCTTTGTTGATGAGCAAGTGTTGACCATCTGCTGTCACGACTTCCATACTGATGACGGATTCACATGCCCAGCCCCAGTTCTGTGTTCTCCTCACCAACTTCACGTCAGTAACATATACCCACCACACAGTCTCCCCCCTATTCTACTTCATAGATGCTTCATCAACAACATACCCACATCCCAATTCAAAGAACAAACTCACCTTACAATTCCACCCCATCCCCCCCTGCAACAAAAACCCTCCCAGCCCAACATCAGGACAATCTCCCCCTGCAAACATCCTCCCTGAGCTTCCGCCCTTCCTCGCCAAAAAATCATTGAGTTCCCGTCCCGTCATCGCCGGCGGACACGCCACCACTTCTGACTCTTCATCATACCAAACACATCCATCCGCCGGTCCCCTTTCCGCCCCATCCCTCAACAACTCCTCCGTCTCCCCGTAATATCCCCCACCATGATGATGTTCATAATCACCCGTCGTTGCTTTTGGTGGTAGTCCCTCCGGCAATCCCAACTCACATAAATCAACCAACACCGCATCCCCGCTCCCCCTCACGCTCCACGCCGCCCAACTATGTCCCCCGCCGCTCCGCACACTCACCCGCTTGCCTGTGGCCTTGGCGTACTCTACGGCGGCGATGACTTCGACTGTAGAGCGCGGACGGACAACGACGGCGTGCACATGGGGGGTGAGGGAGTAGTCACGGCGGCGGTTGAAGACGCGGTTGCCCCAAACGGCTTCGGTGAATTCAGTGGGGGAAGCTGAGGAGTGATTGTGGAGGACTGTGTTTTTGGGGAGGGCTGCTGGGTCGAGGTCGAGGTCGAGGTCCATTTGGTCATCGTCATCTTGGTTTGTATGTTTGTTATTGGCTGCGGCTGCTGCTGCTCTGGCTCTGGAGGCGAAGCATGAGGGGATCCACGCGGGGATGGAGGAGGAGGAAGAGGAGGAGAATGATGAGGAGGGGGGGTGGGAGGTGATGGTTAGATGGTCCAGGTTCTGGGCGAGGGACTCCATTGTTGTGGGCTTACGAAAGATACGGGAAAGTTGAAAGATGAATCCCGGCTGTTCTTGTGGGTAGTATAAAGAGGATTTGTTGGTGTTGTTCACCCCAAGTTCTCAACGTTGAGGCCATTCAGCTGAATCAAGCCGGAGGTGAGGAAGAGTGAGTGCCATCATTGCAACCATCTCACTGTTAATGGCCTGCAGGCCAAACCCCACCGTTACGCTCTAAACCGCTAGCGGACAACTGTTTGATCCTGTAAGTGGCTGTAGCTGATCATCCAGCTGGGTCTTGACCGGGCCTTTAAGTCGGTTCGTTGGTGTTGATTAACATTGGTTGGATGTTGGTGCAGACAATCATGAATTTCGTGGCTTGTGTTCACAGCGGGAGAGTTTGAGAGAAGAGCCTGAAGGCACTGTAAGTGCAGCGCTGTACAAATAAGAGCGGGGGCAGTCATGGCGCCTAATGGGGTCCAGAAAGGGGTTGTAAATATTCTCAAGCACGCGGGTTAGGGTTGGTTGAATGAAAATGCCGGGACTTCAACGACGACACTATGATCTATCGTAATGTAAAACATTCCATCTGTTCATATTTTGTGATTTGGAGGAGACTCCGGATTATCCAAAATGCTTATCATGAATTTTGTGCAGAAGAGACGAAGTCGGAGAAGCTTGTCAACCGGGCTGAAACCTGGCGGTCTTGCTTGCCTCAACAACTTCTTCCTAGGAATTTGCTGCCCACGATACAACGGTTGATGCTTTTCTATAAGTGGCAATGTGTATTCGCCGACTACGGTAGTTCTTCTACCTTCAAACTCATCCATTTCATGGTTTAGGCGGCGACTCAGTGGTCGATTGGTGTTGGTGCTTTGGTTGCCCGACCGATGACCAAGGCGTTCGTGGGCACCAGATGGGCTCGCCTTGGTACTAGACGAGTGTGCATCTTCGTAGTCTAAAGTGATAGCTTAGAGGTAATCTTAAGCAACATAGTTTTTGTTAACACATTTTAACAAGAAATCAAATCAGCAGTTAGTAAAGCAAAAAAAGCAAGGTAAAAGAACAAAGAAAAGAAACCCAAAAATGGTTTCCCGGTTCACTCCCTCTGCATCAAGAGAGAGTGCTCCGGGTTTTGTCCGATAGGAGAGTTGAACTCCTGGCCTTTGTAGGTACATCTCGTATACCTACAACGCTCTCCCAGCTGAGCTAATCGAACATTTGTTATTACGATGGCCATAACCTTTGCCTTATGTACCTACCTGCAGGTATTGGGGGTTACTTGAGCGGGCAGGAGAGGGTTCAGAGGGTTGAGAGGGTTGAGAGTTGGCGGGGGTGCATGTGCATGGCAGGAGTCCTGCACGCCTGCAGCATCACATAATTGGAGAAGGCTTTGGAAGATTCAGAAAACAGAGATGATGGTAGCTTAAGGCACTGCATTGGTATAACTGAGAAGCTAAATACCTGTGTTAAGTACAGTGACTACCATGAAATGAAAGAGGCTTGACCAGCAAATCCTCGAGTCTGTCCCTAAATCAGTCATCCGACTGCCATATGTCTGTTAGATGACGGGTATGTCTGAATGCAACATCGACTGTGTCTCGGGTGAGGAGAGCCAAGCCAAAAGGTAATACATGCGATGAGATAGAAAAGCCAGGAATAGCAAACCCCAATATGCTCCAAGATCCATCTCATCTAACACCATGTCCGAGATACCCCAGTCGAACAAATTGCCTGCATCGCCCAACTCCTGCGACCCATGCCCACAGATGATGCAATATGACTGATCCAGACTCCCAAGAAGTTGAAAGTGCCTAACCTTACACAGAAGGCTTCTTGGCCGAAAGGGGACGGCCCACCTCGTGCAACTCGCAGATCCACTTATACTGGCGTTGTTCGTCTCCCTCAAAAGGCCACTCGATTCCCTCGGGGTACGGCCCCTTGTCGCTTCCGCGGCGGAAAGGAATCTCATAACTCAACAAGAAGGGCAGAGTGCCGTTGACGAGAGGACTGCCTGTCTCGCTATCGCGCTTGAGGATCAGGTTTCCTTTATCGTCGTATTGGTAGACGAACCCGGCAGTCAGAGCGCCCATCTTAACAGCAAGGTCGATGATGTGAGCTTTCTCCTGAAATTCTTTCTGGCGGTGCTCGGGGCTTCCATCCATGACTCCAGCCCAAAAAGCTCTCTCAGACTCCTCAAAATTGTTGGGGATTTGCCAGTTCGAGTTGAAGTCCTCGCCGGCGACCATCTGGATACGGTGCAGGCCGATGCCGAAGGGCAGAGGGAACGAATCCTCCCAGTCAACGATGCCCATGACCTCGTGGGTATCGGGGTTGACAATGAGATTACCGGCCCAGAGGTCGGAATGGGCCATGAACAGGGGAAGTTCGCTGATCTTGTCTTGGTGACGCAGGATCTCCATGGCCAGGGATCTGTAGGGCTTCATCTCAGGCTCCAGGGTGAACAAGAAAGGGATCAGAAAGGGAAGGACCCGTGTGACAACTGCTTCGTGGCTCTTGTCCTTGATGTAGCCCTTGGCAAGGGCGCGACCGAGTGAGTTGCATAGCTTAGGGAGAATATGGACACCCTGTTCCTGGACAACCTGCGTCCAGGTTTTGCCAACAATGCGGTTGGATGCGTAAATCCAGGATTTCTTGTTGAAGTCCCTTGGGTCGGTAATGACGGCTACCAGCCGGATGTTGGGGACGTATTGGTCGAATCCGGGGCAGCTTCTGGCGCGCTCAAAAGGGGTGGTGTCGAGAGAGCGGAGGCGGAACTGGATGACGATGTCTGTTCCTTCGTTCATGGACACGAAGACAGTCTTGCTGTCAACTCCCTGGTGCTTGCAGAAGGTGGCACCTGTGGCTTTGGCGCCCTGCTCGCTGAAGACGTTGGCCATAGCCTTGGCCAGCTCAAGCTGCTTCGTCTTGGAGTTGAGGCACTCGGGCAGATGCTCAGGAGTAACCCGACTGTACGGGTTATCCTCGACGTTGAAAACCTCTTCTTTGACCATGGTTGTATGCCGGAAGCGAACAAGTGATGGAGTTGTGAGTCCAAGCTAGGATCCAGTCGCAAAGAAGGTGGAAGGGTAGACGTGGGTTGTGTCGCGGAGGAGAACTTTAAGACGTCGGAGAAATCAAGCTTACGTCGCCTGTTGATTGTGGTCGGAGCAATGGGGCTCGCGCTTGATGTCCACGAGAGTTTGTAACTCGGTTGCTGACACGTTGTGCTGGCAGGTCGTTGGCAGGTCAGAGCTGTGACACTGTTGCTGGCAGATGTGTGGTTTGATGCGCGCAAACAAGAGGAAGAAGATAGTAGCCCAACAATGAGAGATACGACCTGTCCTTTATACGACTGTTTGACCTTTCCTTCAGTAAAGGCCCGCCTTTGATTGCAGAGTGTAATGCGATAGCGGTGATGGAAGTTGGATATTGCAAGGGGCTTCTGCGTTGGTTTTCCGTGGGGTTTGGACATACCTTTTACCTCCAACGTGTTTCAGGAGACAGCGTTAAGTAGAATAATGGAGTTTTCGTCCCTCGATGAGTACGTTTCTACTCCGCAAAAGAGACGTTGACTCGACTTGCGCCGGATTTGCGACGAGATAGGGTGGGGGGAGTCGTTTGGACGAAAGCCAGGCAGTCAGTTTTGACGAGCACCTGACTTGGTCGTGTCCTGGTTTGGTGATTGTCTGCCTCTCGGAAAGGAATCTCTTGGGGTCGCTTGTGGTGCAAAGGGGAAAGACGAAGGAGGGAGGAGCCTCAAGGGGGGAGTGACAAAGTTGTGGAAGGAAGTGGTTGAGGCTCGTGACTTCCCCCTCCTTCCATTCACCGACCCGTCCAACCGTTCCCTTGATGCAGTCGTAACTTCCTAATCTCCCAAGCACGTGCTTGTCCTTAGCATCTCCCATTCCACCAAGGCGAGCCTTCCAATTATTCGACGTTTCAAGCGGGTTGAGTGCAGTGTCTGTGATGTTGGCCTTCCAAGTGCCATTGTGGCCATACTGCACAGCAGCGCACCTTTACACACGACGTGCTCGAGTATCACATGTGATCCCAGCGAATGACGGGACTTCGATGAGGCTGCATTGATGAGGCTGAGATGTGGGAGTATAAAAATGGGATGAAGGAACTCAAATGACGTAGGGCAATAACATTGCAAACGCAGTCTTTCAAGGAGACGGGATACATACCCACTTCTGGGAGTCGAGTGTGGAAGTCGGGCACTGCGACTGGAAGACATTGCGGCGACTCACTCGAGACGTCGAAGCATCAAGGCAGCCTACTCGAACTCCTACTCCTCCTTCTTCACCTCCCCCTCCCCATCCCTCCAAAGCGTATACTCATAATGCCACCCCTTCCCACCCATATCCATCCGAACCTTATACATCTCCTCGCACTCCCTCAACACATCAAAGTCCACATCCACAATCTGCATCTCCTCCGTCTCGGCTCCCATGATTCCCTTCCTTCCATCCCCCTCTTCCCCGGCCGGCGGCAACACCCCCTTAAGCGGCAACGCCACCTGGCTCATCCCGCCCGCATTACAGTACACAATCGCCGCCGTGTTCTCGCACGCCCTCGTCACGCACACGCTCTCCAAAAAGATCTTCTCGTCATCGCGGCTGATCTTCCTCCCCGTATTCTCATCCACCTTCGTCACCCACCAGTACGACGGGACGACAATGATATCGGCGCCGTCGGCGATCAGGGCGCGGAACCCCTCGGGGAAGGCGAGGTCCCAGCAGATGAGCAGGCCTGCTCGGATCGGGACTTGGGTCTTCCCGTCGGGGCCGCCGGGCTTCAAAAGGGGTGTGTCGAAGGCACGGTGGGGCTTGTGCCGCTTGATGTCCCCCGCCGTCAGGTGCGGTCGCTCGGGATGCCAGAGGTTCATCTTCTGGTAGGAACCGGCCAGGTCGCCGGTGGAGGCGGAGATCCAGTAGGCCATGTTGCGGATTTCGATGGACTGACCCTTCCAGGTGGCGGGTTCTTGCTTGCCGTTACCGCCATCGTCACTTGGCTTTTCCCCCTCACTTTTTGAGGAGGCGGAAGAAACGGGGTGGACTTCGCAAATGGTTCCGGGCACGATGTTGATGTTGAGCTCACGCGCTAGGGACTGGTACCGAGACAGGTAGCTGTTGTCGGCTGAGGATTCGGCGCATGCCGCGACGAAAGATGGGTGCTCGGGACACCAGGATGTTAGGTGGTACTCCGGGAGCACGGCGAGGTGGGCACCTCCCGAGGCGGCCTTACGGATGTAGGAGGCTGCCTTTTGGAAGTTTTCCTCGACGGCGACGTCCTATTTTTATTTTCAACGAGTTAGCGCCATGTTGTGTAAGTTGTAGTTGTACAGTTGTGAAGTGGTAGAGGTAGTGTTATGTGGTTTGCGGTGGTGATATGGTCATGCTGATGTACTGTGAAAGGGTTGGGGTTGACTGAGCAGGTCGGGAAGTGGAGTGGTGATATCATTTGATGTTCTCGCTCGAGATTTTGCTCGTGAAAGAGATTCCTACATCACTACATACCTTTGGCTGGAACTGAATGAGAGCAATCTTGTAGTTGGGCGCCATCTTTGCGTTGTTTGTGTCAGTAGACAGTCAGTGTATCGGCTTAAGTTGGTGAGTCAGGCAGAGAGTCGTTCCAAGCTTTCTTTTGATAGCTACTTGGATGTTGACATCAACCAATGAAAACAAAGCCGCTTTCACTGTACGGAAGCTAGAACACTGCCTGAAGCAATGAATATAGTAACCCCATGCTAGAATGTGTAGACTTCAAAACGATCCATTATTCCAATAGCCACGGATATATCCGCTTCCTCTTCGACGGAACGTCCTTATGACCGGTGGATGTTTGCAGACTAACAGAAAGGGTGGAGCATGTGCGGTAATATTGGGTAAGCACTTATCGCGACTGGAACTGTTGGAACAGCTGATCTCTGTGAATTGTCTTCCTGGCTTAATAATTCTACGATATTTACTGTGCAAGTCCACCATCCAGGGCAAACTTTCGAGGTTATGAGACTTCACATACCTCAAAACGCCGGAACCCATCCTACAATCTAATGCTGGTTTGTTTGTTAGCTCGGTACTCCTGGTATACTGGACGAGATCTATCCCGAATTGTCCCAAACCCTATAAAGAGATAAGATAAATGGCTAGGTACGGGTCGGAAAGGCATCAACAAGATTCAATATGGCATATCAAATTTCCAAAATAGCATATGCAAGGTAAGATCACGCTTTGGTTATGGAACGAAACGGATCAATTAGATGTATAAACGCCTAGGAAAGTTGACCAGAGGTCTCGAGCTAACAAACAAACCAGTATTGGACTGTATTCATAACAAACGAAGCGGCATTGCCAAAGAAATGTAACCTCCACTGATTCCCACCTATCTTTGAGATCGGAACGATCTCTCAACGTGGGTGCCCAGCAATGGGTCAAAAAGAATATCAATCTATGCCAGAGCTTGCATCCATATCAATGGGGAAAATGATGATGAATGTCAATCTGACACGTCGAAGCGCATCAGCTGGCAACCTTGTGGTTATGCTCTTCACACAAAATGTTCACCACCGTCTCCTTGAACAAGGAAAACGGTTCAACTCGCAAATGCAAGTTCAATTGTCGCTACTTATCTCGTTATATCGTGACGATATGTTGTCATTGTTGTTATCGCCGAACGCTGAGCCACTCGCCTGTTCAAATCGGCTTCGTTCGTAGTCGTTGCTGGCGATATGCCCATCGAGGAATGCTGAATAATCTTTCCGTTTGTTCACAAAAGTTGCTCTAGAATGCCATTGATGCCAATCCCAACCAACCGTTCGATCAACCTGCCCACTAACCACTCGCTTCGCCACAAACGCCGTGTCATTCATTTGATCCCATTCGTTCGAAATGTGTGTTGTTGTTGTATCGTGTACTCCCGGTTTAGAGAATAGTTCCGAAGCTGTGCGACGTTCCGTGTTAGTGCGTCCTACGATGTACGAGGATTAGTAAGGAAGGCCTAAACTTACCCAAAAGTCCTCTTAATGCTGCGGACGTAGTACTCAAGCCAGTTGTTCTTGGTAATCTCCTCCTGGCCGACGGGGACGCCAGTCCACTCGACGCGCATAACAGTAACCTTGTCAACGTCGTTCTGGTCGAACTCGATCTTCAGGGTCGAGTAGTGACCCTTGGGCCACTGCTCAAGACGCCACTTCTGGACAATCTTGGTGGGCTCCTGGAGCTCAACATACTCGCCGGTAACATTTCCGCCAAAGAGCTCGAACTTGCCGCCCGGCTTGGCACCCTCAAAGACCTTGAGAGGGGCGCGAGTGAAAGCGGCCAAACGGCCGGGGTCGGTGAAGGTCTGGTAGAGCTCCTCGGCGGTAGTACGAAACTCCTCTTGATCGGTCACAGTAGTACTATTAACAATACCGCCGCTGCTGGTCTGGGCGGAGGAGACGGCGGGCGCGCTCGAGGAGGAAGGCTGAGGAACGAACTTGGGGGTGGAGAAGCCGCTCGAGGGGTTGGAGCCGGGAGCATGCTGGATATCCTTGCCGTGCTCAGCGACGAGCGCCGGGGAGAGCTTCAGAAACTCCTTGCGGAGCTGGGGAACAAGCTTGTTGCGCACAAGGTCCTTGACGGGCCTCTTCTCGTTGGAATCCGAGTAGATATCAATATCGAAAACGAACTCGTCCTCGTCCAACTCATGGGACACCTCGGGAACGGTGATGGTGCCCGAGACATTGTCGTCGGTGGCAGTGGAGCCTACATGCGAAACGGAGTTTTAGCCCGCGATCCTCATTTTTTCACGTCGAGCAGTGGGTGCAGTGGCAAGTCTATATAGGCAAAAAAGGAGGATTCAAGTGCAATGATGGCTCTATTCTATTACGGAACAACGTACCTGTGTACTCCAGGGTTAACTTGACATCAAAAATGGTGATCACCTTGCCCTTGCGCTGCGCAACATCGACATCTCCATCCATGCTAATAATCTTGCTAATCTTGGCAGTCACATCCCCCTCCTTGGCCTCAAGCTTGGTGAGGTTATCCTCAAACCACTGCTTGGCCCATGAGGTGGCATCCTTGTTGACCCAGTGCCAGTTGTTGGGGTTGTGCAGAACCATTTTGACGGTTGTGGTAGGGGGGACAAAGAACTAGGAATTAGAAAAAAAGAATCTGTGAACCACTGGTTAGCGCAATGCTTTGGCAAACAACGTATTATAATGTGCGCAAAAGTGGTTTGTGAAAGGCTAGATCAGAGGTGGTCCTGGTAGACCGCAGCGTTCGTCATCAAGGGAGGGAGTACAAGTCACCCTATGACTGGTGCCAGCTGAACAATCATCATAGAAGCCGTGGTGTCGCGGTGTCGGCGGCAATTGCGTGTGTGTGCAATGCAATGCGTGGGATTTGAAGGAGAGCGGAGGGGAGACGGAAAAGAGAGGAATTGCGGTCTTACCTTATTAAACACAAACAAATAACGGTTGGGGTATCGATGGTCGTTGCTGTCGTCAATCGGGGAGAACAAGAAGTGTCAAGATGAAATGGGCGAGGTTCGCCGGAGAAGAAAAACAAAATAAGGAAGAGCCGCAGGTCGGGGAGTTTTTGTTTGGAAAGCTCTAGAAAACTGACTCGGCTCCATTTGGGCGGACAGCAGGGGCAGTAAGGCTGGTGCTGCGAAGCTGTGACCACCATGCCGGCGGGGTAATGGTCGGGCCTGACTGAGGGGCACCGAGGTCGTTTTGTCAGGTGTCTCATTGGAGCTGTGCAGCACTGCACCTCAGCTTGAGCTGTCTGGCCAATCAGTCAATTCAATCAAAGGGGCACTGGCCAGCCTGCACTTTGTCTTCTCTCGGTTTCTGCCCTGGACATGTTCGATGCGTCTTTCTAGACATGTGAACGACGTCACTCTTCAAAGATATAAACCCCCGATGGATTGCGCTGAAACCGTAATCTTCAATCTCTTCCATCCACTGTTCACGTTTCGAAGATGAGCCAATTCCAGGGAAGACGAACACGAGCCTCCCACGTCTCGGGATCTCGCATCTTCTTTCCAAACGCCATGTCTTGAAGAGATATGGCCGGTGATGAACATGAATCATTCAGATTCGTCAACAACACACAAGCGGTAGGTAATGTCTGAGGCATCGAGGTGCTTAGTGTTTATTTTATATCTCCCAATTAAGGTACTCGTCCATTCAACTTCTCGATGAATGGGAACGATCAAATTCGGGAGATAGAGAACTGGCATGCTCACCTCGTGGTCTGGCGCCGAATAAATTCGCTAGTATTACTATGTCAGCATGCCTACATACAGGCATTCTTCCCCTTAATATATCATCTTTCTGCTGTATACTTCTGCCCTTACCCAGCATCCAATCGACCCTGTGTTTGTAAACCCGGTCAGCTCGAAATGCTAGAAATGTTATATAATTACAGTCTTACTTCACTGATAGGAACATTGTGGCGATTAGTACTATCGAAATACAGATAGCACTGCTATTTAGAGGCATCTTGCTGTTCCTGGGTTTGCCGAATTTGTGAGAGACACCAACATGGCAAAGATTCCAAAGCCCAAAGGCTGCTTTTCACACAGAGAACATGAGCCTTGAGAGAACGAGTTCTTCAGGATATTGCGGACTGTCGGCGGAATGTCTTGCTTTGTGCAAGCATGCTCGACATCAATGATCAACACGCACATCTTGCGGCTCGGCACTTCAACGCCTCAATGTCTGATGAACAGTCGGCAGGCCCGTGGTCCTGGAATCGATATCACAGAGACATGGACTGGGGATGTCTCACAGACGGGGCCGGAAGAGCTAGCTGGGGTTGTAAGGTATTGTGTCCACTGTGTTGCCGTTGAAGCTGTGAATGGCAACAAGTCTCTACAGAGACCAATCTGCCAATGATAACTCATCGCCCCGGCTCTTGGACTCTTTTCTTCATGGATCGGTTACATCTTTTCACGTGGATGATCGAGAGCAACATCGATCTTGGGACTATTCCGACATTTTTCACTCTAACAAAATCTACCTGGCCGTCGTCGTCAACGGGGGACTTCAGTGGGTCCATCGTATCTTTCGAGCTTCTCTTGAAAGAGCTGTCGAATCACACTTCCCAAAAACAACAGGGGGTTAAGCGCCGGCAACCATATCACGGATCCAACGAATCACGGACATGGTACGGAGTTTGAGTTTCGCCCTTGATCCAAGAATAGATTGCTCGGACACGCCATTTTCATTTCACCAATCGCCTCGGAGCTGCCTTCTGGGCTTTCAACTTTGAGGGGTGGCCCCCGGATGTGATGCCAAAAAGTCCATATCTCGGCCGAAGAAGGGGAAAAAAAAACAGTTTGGCGATGAATTTCCAGACCCGGCCGTGGGCAACGATATCCGGTGGAGTTTTCAGTCGATGATTTGCATGGGATACCGTACCACGCGGAGGTACTGTGGGATGAACTCCTCTTCCCTAGAAGCTTTTGCTTGCTCTCTCGACCACACCCACCCAACCTCTTTGACATCGAAACACTTCCTGTGATGTTGTACCAGCTGCCTATCAGCTTGTCACCGTTCATCGCGGGGTAGACTGTAGCACGACTCAGTGCCTAGCCAACGGTAACACGGGCACACCATCTTCTCCTCCAAGTCAGGGGCCACTTCCGGATCTGTCTCCTTTATGCCTGGGCTTTCTGGTGCCTATCGTGAGTTGGGCTGCTCATAGATATAACTATTGCCCATCTGGACACCATGTGGACGGGGAAACGCACAGAGGCAGCCTTGACGGTGTCAAACTGTCAGGAAATAGAGGATAGCTGTGGCCACCTTATTAATTAACAGCAGGAGAGACCAGGGCGAGAGTTGCAACCGTTTTCGTGCACATGTTCCCGTCCGTCTGCAACCTCACTGTATCCGCAATCAAGCATGTGGTAGGTACCATGGTATGGAAGGGCATCGTACACATCACGGTTTCATCTCTTGGAGCTGTGATAACAGACGACGGGACGTATAGGGGCCAGCAGTATCACCATCGGAAGACCACCTCCTCTTGGAGAAGGCCCGGCCTCCCAGTTGCCAAGATCGACCAGTCGTCTAGGCCAGTTTAAACAGGAGGCCGGCTCCCGCGTTTTGTGCATTGGCAATGCTACACAACTAGCTCGCCGCCCGCAAAACCTAAAAGACCGGGGTTCTTGTGTTGGTTAGCCTATGGAGTATGAGTCTACACAGTACATCTATGTAGTGTGAGCGTTGCCGCACCTCTCCCTTTCTTTCACCTCCTCACAAACATTCAGCGGACCGCTTATACAGCCCAACCCAACGAACTGCACTTCATCTACCACTTGCGCAAGCGGTGGATGCAACCTCCAGCTGTTCCTCAGCCGCGCCTTCAACCGACAGGTTGACCGGAAACTCTCATTGGGGCCTTTGTCATACCGTCAATAACATTGTCCTGGCATCGTCCTGTGATGGCCTGGTCCTAAACAATAACCCCACGTTCCGACCGCCTCCGACTGTGAATGGAGTTGTGGCGACGAATTTGAGGATTATGCTTGGTGCGGGTTTGAGGCACGGCTTTGGGGATCAATAGGCATCCGGCACGCCGTCGACATCTCATCCAGCACTACCGATATCCCATTGTTTTTAGGTCTAAAAGGGTTTACAGTCAGCCCGCAGGTCCTTGTGTGGACGTTGTGGTACCGTCCGGGCTAAATCAGGAACAACTTCGACAACCCTCGGCCATGAGTTCCTCGCGAGATCCCACGGCGCGCCTCCGCGCCGGCCTCAACCCTCTCTTAACGGCATCACTGGGGGGATACCACGGCCATCACGCCAACACACCGCTCTCGGCCGTGTCGATGACTTCTCACGCCTTCTCATCGAACCAGACGCCTCTAAGCGCGATTCAGCCATATAATCCCCAGGAATGGGTTGCGTCTCCGGCCTTGGGACCTGGCTCTGACCGTATGCAGCAGTTCCCACCACCGCAGGGCCATCCTTATCTTGAGCCTCAAGGTAAGTCAACAGGAGTGTTGATCCAAAGGCTATGCTGACCATGTTAGCAACCCCGCCACCTCCACCCCCGTATTCACCTCCACGCAGCGCAAGGCCGATGAGTATGGTGCTAGAGCCGTCCCACGGGGCGAACATCTCCGCAGCCCGAGCTCCACCACCGCCGGCACCCCCAGCTCAACGGCCTCCCACAGAGCCGCCGGTTGCAACTGCATCGTTTCCACCACCTCCTGGCACGAGAGAGTCGTCACGAGAAAGGCGGTTTGGGTTTCCGTCATTGAGCAGGCGACGAGAACAACAGACAAGCACTCCGGTAGATGCTCATCCACCGGTCCGACATCAAGGGCTTATGTCTCGCGTTATGAATGGGAACGCGAACTCGCCGAGGCCTTTGACGTTGCAAATACCCCAGCCCGAGCAAACGGCAAACTTGGCCCCTGCGGCACGAAGAGCAGTATCAACGCCTGCGGTTGCTACACCGACATCGGCCAGGTCCCGATCGTCATCTCAGGTTAGATGGGATTCGGCAATGCCCGTTCCGCCTCCGCCACCGGGTCCTCCGCCGTCATCAGCACGATCACAAAGCACCCAAAGCGTTCAGAGATTTCCCTCTGGAAGCGACCCTATGGTCTCGCCTCCCACTCGCAGGCCCCCTCCCAGCGGAGTTACTACTTTGGGGCCTGTTCCGCCTACCCCAGCAAATTGGCAGGATACCGAGGTCATGTCGAACGCTCAAGCCCAAGCCCGAACACCATCTCCTGACAACAGGGTACCTGCTGCAACGGAAACTGCGAGTGTCGCAAGTTCGAGTGCACACCCCCAATCAGCAGTGTCTTCAGAAGCTTCGATGGGTTCGCTGGCTAGGAGTTACGCTCAGAGAACCGACAAGACAATCCGTGAGCGAAGGACGGAAAGCCGAACGAGAGGGAACGTTCGTAACTCCATGGATGGGTCGCAGGATCTTTCGGATATTGTCATTCCAGGCTCAGGTGGATTGCAGAGACGGTTGACAATCACCCGAGGGACACCGAGGTCCAGTCGAATGAGTGACGGTCCTAGAACGGGAGAGTCGATGGACAACAGCCACGAATCTAAGGGCACCACGCCTCGGGCCATGGGCTCGAATCAGGCTCATTCTGGACAGCTAACCCCAACAGGACTGTCATCGGAAACCCATCGGTATACCGAGGACCACCAGGCTCTTGCACCAAAGGCTCTTCCGACACCTCCCACCGGAAGCCGCGCTTCCTCGACCTCTCATGTGCCTGCTACTCACCTAACACGTCACTCGGTCATCAATCAAAGTAACGAGCAGTTCACACACGCAACCATCGAGCGCTTCACAGCTTTTGCACAGAAAGAAATGACGGCATCGAGTGATGCCGAGCGAGTCCGCCTGTTTGCCGAGTTCTTTGTCAGTGAATCCAGGATACGAAGGGAAAGATACGGGGCTGCCATAGGGGCTATGGGCTCCGAGATCCTCGACCTAACTCGTGACCTATTCCGACCGATGGATACTCACATCAGACGAGAGTCCTCGAACTCTGCTACAAGCGGGGTTATCGAACTGACCACACCGCAGTCTTCGGAGCCCAGGTCACATCGTGGCTCTATCGGCTCTGTCTTCAGTGGAAACCCCAATAGCCATGGACAAACGCCCATCACGCCTTCGAGTGCTAGCCAGCCGATGACGCCAGGAAGTAGTGGAAACACACCAAATGCGAACAACTGGCCGACTTCGAACTACATGCCCTCGTTGTCGCCCATCCTCAGTATGAGCGTGAGCGATGCGGTGGATGAGCAGGACTCTCGAGGACGTCCGGCAAGTCGATGGTGGGAAGCGGACTCTAGCGGTGCGCCGTCGACGAAGATGGAACGATCAAAGAGGGAATCCAAATACATGGGCGTCCCCAAGGAGGCCAGAGAAGCTCTCCAGTGGATCGACGACGCATCAGCCGGCCCGAGTAACAACCAGCGCTACTCCGACTCTGAATACCCCCCTGAGAAGGTGGGATGGCACGAGCAGCAAGACCAAACAACACCGGCACAACCGCAACAACAATCAGCCCGCAACTCGGTGTTATCCAACTACTCAACCCCAAGCACACCCAACCCAGCGCACCTAGACGTCTCTCGCCTGGTGACCCTTCCACCACCCTACCCACGCCACCACCCGGCCGTCAACAACAACCACCCGGAGCTCACCCAGACCCGCAGCTCGGTCCGCATCATCAGCGACATGACCGAGATCGACGCCATCAAAGAGAAATTCAAGCTCGCCAGCACCAAAGCGCGCCTCGACGCCGCCGAAGCCGCCAAACAGCGTCGCCAAGCCCTCCGCCAAAACCTCCAGTCCGAAATCGCCTCGGGCAGCATCGGCTACGCCGACGCGGCCGCCATCGAGACGGACGCCAACACATCCGAAAACAACCGAATCAACGACCTCGAAAAATCCGACTTTGACACCTTCCAAACCGCCGTCGTCGTGCCCGTCAACGAGATCCTGCAAACCCGCATCACCAAAGCCACCGAGCTCTTCGACTCCCTCCGCTCTCGCCTCTTCGACGAAACGCACGACTCCAACCCCAACCTCCCCCAAGAAGAAGGCGACGAGCAGCCGGAGCTGCTCGAAAAACTCACCTTACTCAAATGGATCTTCGAAGCCCGCGAAACCCTCCACCGCGCGCTCTACGATTTGTTGTCCGACCGCAACGACCGCTACCGCGAAGTCGTCCTGACGCCCTACCGCCTGCTTCAGGGACAACAAGACAAGATCGCCAGCGCCACGACCTTCTTCGCCGAAGACGCGGCCAAGCGCGCCTTGGCTTACCACGAGGAAGTCCTGCACCGGACCCAACAGTTCCGGGACGTGGTCGAGGAAACCGTCGTCCGCGGCGTCGAGGCGCAGTTGTCCGCCTTCTGGGACATCGCGCCCCCCCTAAAGAGATCTGTGCTGGATAACATCCCCGCTTCCATGGAGGGGTTCCAGATCCAGATCCCAGCGTCGGAGTACGAGGAGAATCCGAGCTATGTGGAACACCCGCTGCAGTACCTGTTTAGTCTGCTGCTGCATGCGGAGAAGAGCACGTATCAGTTTATCGAGAGTCAGACGAATTTGTTGTGTTTGTTGCACGAGGTGAAGGAGGCGTGCGTGAGCGCCAAGGCGAAGGTGATGGAGAGTGATGGACGGGATGCGAGCAGGGTGGATCAGATGAGGGTGGAGGAAGGGCAGAGATTGACGGAGGATTTGAAGGAGAAGGTGAGGGTGGTGCAGGATCAGTGGAATGAGGCGCTGGGGGAGACGATTGGGGGGGTTAAGGAGCGGGTTGGTGGGTGGTTGTTGGAGACTGGGGGGTGGGATGAGAGTTTGGAGGATGGGGGTGTTGGAGGTGTTTGAGGAAGATTGTGAAAAAAAAAAAGAGAAAGAGGAGGACTGCGGCTGAGCAGTAGGGAAGTCGCGATCGGGTAATGGGGCTTGTCTACTTTCTTTTGGACATCTTGCTTGAGGGACTTTGATGTACTTGAGCCGCTTCTTTGGATACATCGTTCGTTTTTTTGTTGATACCCCCCACAAGCATAAATATACAGACCAACGTAGATAAAAAGATTTTTATTTATCTAGTTCATCTTCGTGCAAACACGCCTCAAGTTCGTATGTTGTACTTCCACTCTGAGATGGAGCCACTATCTAGGTAGGTATTTACCAGAGCGTCCATTCAGTTCATACACCCCCCCACGAACTTCTCAAAAACAGTAAACTATCCCGACGCCAAACACCTCCACAAAACCCAAAATACAAAGCCACTTATTCCTTGTTCTCAGGCATAACGATATCCCTCACCTTGAACCTAGTAATGAAGTTATTCTGCTTCACAAACCAAGCATTCACAATCTCCCACTCCCTGCTCGGATCATCGAATTCGATCTGTTTTTCGCCACCACACTCGTTAGCAACTTTCTCCCCAACAACAGACTCAGATAGTGGGGGGGAAAAAAGGGAAAGGGGTAGTAAACTCACCTCAAACCTCCTCAACAAACTCGGCACCAACTTATAAATCTCCAACAAACTAATATTCTTCCCAATACACGTCCGACTCCCCATGCCAAACTGCAACATATGCCCATTCATCGTCTTGATCCTCTTCTCCTCCTGTTCCCTCTCGCTAGTATTCTCCTTCGAGATCGTCTCCTCATCAACCAACCACCTCTCCGGCCTAAACTCCTCCACCCCATACCTCCCTCCAAAAATATTCTCATCCCTATGCAAAACCCACGCCGAAACCCCGACCACCGTCCCGCCCCTGACCCACTCCCCCGGCACAATCTCCATCCCTTGGGCAGGAACAACCCGTTCCATCGGCAACCCCGGAGCAGGATGCAACCTAAAGGCCTCCTTCACACACGCATCCAGGTACGGCAGCGTCTGGGCTTCCTGCCACGTAACCAGTCCCGTCTCATAATCACTGAACCTCCCTGCGCGAGCCGCGCTGTCAATTTCCTCCCGCAAACGAGCCAGCGCGCGCGGGGTGCGGAGCAGGTAGTAGAACACGGCCGAAAGCGAAATGGCGGTGGTCTCGGACCCCGCGAAAGCCATGGACACGGCCATGGTCTGGACGAGGGTGTCGGTCATGAAGTTGGGGCGGGCGGAGCGGGCGGCGAGGAACTTGGAGAGGAGGTCGGGGGTTTGGACCTTGAGGGTGGCCTGTTTTTCCGAGGTGGGCAGGATGGTTTTGGAGGAGTCGGTTTGCTGCAGTTCGGGTAAGCGCTCGGCCATGCGGGCGCGGGCGAAGGCGGCGACGGGCATGGTGCCGTCTATCAGGCCCCATTGGGAGAGTTTGAGGTAGAGAGGGTTTTTGAGAAAGAGCCGGTCTAGGAGGGGGATTTGGCCGATCTAATTACATGATTATTGTAAGTTTTGGGATGCAAGAACGGAGGATAGGTAAAGGGAGTGAGTGGGACTCACTGGAGCGACATAGTTGAACAACTTGGTTAGGTACGAAACAATCCCGTCGATATCCTCGTTGTGTTCGATGAACCCGTGTCTCTTGCTGTATGTTATCTCACCAATGACGTCGAACGCATAGAACTGCAACCAGCGGGTGAAGTCGCACGCCTTTGCTCCGCCTTCGACGTACAGCTTCTCGGTCTGCTTCAGGAAGAGCTTGGTGGTGTTATCGACGAACGGCTCATACTGGACGAGGGCTGACATGGCGAAGGCGGAGTTGACGCAGCGGCGGAATTGCGCGTGGAAGTCGTTGTCGGTTGTGCTGAAGAGGGAGGGGAGGTTGTGGCCTTTGACGGTGGATTGTTGGACGACGTAGAAGTCGGACTGTTTGTTGAGAGTTAGTGGACAACTCAGATGTTCTTTTGAATCGAAGCCGCTTCGTGGTCAAGACTCACCTTCACAAACCCCTTGTTAAGACCGTATATGGTCTTGATGGCCTCTGGGTCCGAGAAGGACAAAGTGTTGGGTCCAAGACGCACGATAGAACCATGTTTCTTGTGAAGTGATATGTGTGTAACTTCTGGTCTCCGCTTATACACATCGATGAACCTCCACCAGTCTGTCAACGACGCCAGGAACGGACCCGGGTACTTGTTCAGACCATTGTGATATCTGTTCCTAACCAGCCATCCCACAAGCACTGAGAGAAATATTGCTGGCCAGTGCTGTGCCAGCACGCGTATTATCATGTCTGTGATCATGGTTGAATAGAATACGGAATTATGTTATCGTGAGGGGAAGGCGGAAGTAGTGGTGCCCTGAGGCGTCGACCTGTATCTTGCTTTCTCTATGGCCAAACACTGGTAATATGACCGTCTTGTGGTTGTTGAAACCAGATATCCGGAAAGTTGAGGATTAAGGAAACGGAAACAAAGAGGATATCAAGTAGGATAAACAAGTAACAAGAGAGAACTACAGCCAACCTGTGTCGGACGAGCTTATATGTGACTGCTAGTTGACCAAGAACCCAAGTGGAGGGGATAAGCGGCTCTTAAACGGGTCATGGGTTGAGAGACACAAGACGATCCCCACATCCTAGAAGAAGACAAACTGGGGTAGGTAGGTACCGTCATAGGATTCCGAGGCTGATCTCCCAACCATACCAATCTACCCCGACAGTTCCCCCCGTGCATCTCCCGACGCCCGGTAATCCTGGGATAGACTTGATGTGTCAACAAGCAAGGCGGAGAAGTCTAGGCTGACGGCTCGGTGGTCCTACTATTACATCATCATGTTGTGTAGGGACTTCCTACTTATCTCGCCTCCCAACAAGCGAGCCATCCCACACACAGCACGGGTAGATATGAACTTGAACAAACAACCGAACTGTGCAGACACAAACGAGCTGTTGTGAGGCGAGCCACTAGGTTCACAGTTTTGATAATAACTGGTATGACAAAAGCAAATACTCATTAGCTCTATGTGTAAAGAGTGTAAGAACTTTATTTGCCGTGTATACGATATATCGGGCTCTCCAAGGAAGAGTGTCAAGAGGGCCAGGTAGGAGTCCAGGGCGTATCAAGTTCACCCCTGAATTACACGGTATTGGTTAACCGGCTTCGTGGAGAGTGTATAGTCAAGTACTCACCCATGATTACAGACGTGATGGAGATGGAGGCCACAGGGCTGGTGGATGTATACAGCCTCCCCTTTTCCGCAGTTGGAAAGGAAGTGTGAGTATCCGTATCGTGCCATCCCCGTTTCCCATCACCCTCCAGTTTGGAGATGCGGTATGCCATGTAAGGTTGATCGTGGATTGCCACCCTCCATAGCCGATATGATATTGGGATATTGGGTGTTGAATAGTAGTCTGAGATGTGTCTCGTTGGTAAGGCCGAAGGTGTAAGACGTCCCTTTGCGATGCTTGCCTGGTATCCCGCGATGAGAGCAACACAATGAACAAACCCCTACGTTGTGGCCACTACCACCACAGGCACCACCAAACAGCACTGCCGTTGGTGGTGGTGGGGGGTTACGCCAACGCCTAGGGAGGGGGGAGGGGCACATGCGAGCCAACATTCATCGGCAGATGTCATATCCAATCGCCGACCGCGACAGTTTGCGAAGATTGGCAAGATCCTACCAAGATACGTGAGCCGGATGCACGCTTTCAGCCATCGTGTTCCCGGAACTGTCCTGTACAAAGACGTAAGCGGTTTTCGGTGGCTTAAAGGCAGTTAGCTGGCAGTGTTAAAGGTTGCCTCGGTAATAAGGGATCGTCTTAGCGGCGGTGAATCCGGAGCGCTCGGCAGACTCCATTTTGAACGTCCCTCATGATCTGCTTCCCATGCACTTGCCTTTAGCCGCTCAAGGAACGGCAACTGTTCCGTATAAGTCGGGAAGTGGAGGTGGGGTCTGATTGTGGTGACGGAAATAGATTCTCCAGGAATCAACCTCCTCGGAACGGCTTCTATTCTGCGCCGAGTGTCACATCTTCAAGTATCAATCTAGGAGCATACCTGTAGGTGGCGTCAGTGATTCAAAGTTGAAGATTCAATGAAGCAAAGAGAATGAGCTTTCCCGACATCCAGTTGATTTCTCACCATTTAGCAAGTCGGATGAACGATGGACCTCAAACTTACAGCTACGTCGCTTTAGTCCATCACCTCAGACAACAACACCCCGTCGCCACGTTCTCGGGATTCGGGAAGTGTTTCCATCCCGCCTTGCGAGCAGCTGCCAGGCTCAAGTTACCTTTTCCTTCATGCATTTTCCGGGTTCCCTTGTGATTCCTGTGGTGTGCTTGTAAGCGGCGAAAGAAGCTTGGTCAAGGGCCCTGTCAGAAGGACTCAGGTCGCCTTTCGGCAGATGTGTTTGTGTTTCCGGATCTGCAAAATCGATTCTTGGCTGGATGATAGACGTTCGGCAGTGGTGATTGTGAAAGCGATTGCTTCGAACGAGCAAGAGAATTAAGTAAAAGTAGACAAGGCGAAGCATGCCCTGGGGGATTGGCTTATTTGATTTCTTGTCAGGAAGAAGATACAGCACTTTGGAGCAAGGTTGGGCACGACTGCCACAGGAAGCAAGAGGAAGATCTTGGTGGGCTGAGGCGTACAGAAAATAACCAAGGCACGTTATTGCGCTATCAGATCCTGTCCAGTCCCCGCGTTTTCTGCGCTCCAATTGCTAAGCAACTAACCTGACACCTGCTTTCCATGGGAGTCTATGTAAATGAAACGCCATGATGGTGGTCCCTTCCCGGGCAAAACCATAAACTGACCCACCTCGTTACCATCCCGCAAAGCAAAGTAGACGACTTCAGTTTGAAAAATGATCCCCAAATTATTCCTCGAAGGAAGTCTCTCTATAAGGTACACATTCTAGAAGAAGGCGTCGTCAATGCCTGTTAACAGCGTATGATTTCAGAAAGCAATGCGCGAATAGTCAAAAGAACAAAGAAAAACTATAATTCATGGATATATTTCCATCGCATATTATGTTTCCAATTCATGCTCACCGTGATACCCTCTGTAGCCCAAAGACACATGTACTGACCCGACCGTATGAACGCTTTATCATGCAAAATCATGAAATCATTCTCACTACTCCGGTTCCTTGCAAAAGAAAAAGCGAATACCAAGTTGAAAACAAAAAGGAAACCTGCAAACAAATCCATAATCCCCGCTCCTTCAAAGCCTTTCGCTGTTCCTTCAGTTCCATATGTGATACACCCTTTCCTTCCATTCCATGTTCTAAACTTCATCATCATAAACACCAAATACCATACGTCCTTTCAAATTCATCAAACACCCCATCTCTGCGCAATAGCAGCCATGATCCCCACCCCAAAGAGCTCAACATTGACAGGTTCATCAGTGGCAGTTCCCTCGCGCAAAGCACCTCTAGACGTGGTGATAGGTCCATCGATAGGTCCATCATTATTTCCCTCGCTTAAAGCACCTCTAGGAGGTCTGGTAGGATCACTCTAATATTCCTCATCCTCCGAATCCGAATCAGCATCCGGCACCAAAGCCCTATACCGTCTACTCGCCAAATCCTCTTCCAACCCACCATCGCTCTCAGGATCAACATACCCCTCGCCTCCGACCAGCGACAGCGCCACAGGCAGGAAAACAAGCGCGTGCGTAGCAGCAAAGAGGACCAAAGCGACCCAGATTCTGAAATAATAAATCTCAAAGATCTTGCTGCGGGTAAAACCGAGCACAAAGACGCCGAGCAGCTTGGTGACCGTGATGCCTGAGAACACACTGCCGCCGACATTGCAGAGGGCAGTCCATGCACGAGCATCGCGGCCTCGGAAGCGGTTCTTGGCGCGCTCCATGAATGTGCGAGAGGGGAACATGAAGGCGCGGGCAATGTGGGCGCAGAACTCGACGGCGATGCCGACGCAGATGATGAGGTTGACGAGCGAGACGGCGTTGAGGGAGACGCCCATGACGGCCATGGCGCCAATGATGTCGACGATGGCCATGACGACGGTTAGGGTTACCACCGCTGCGGTGATCAGGGAACCAAGCAGGACGGAGGCGACGATGAAGATGATGCCGACGGCGGAGCCGAGGAGGGCGCCGGTGAGCGAGACGATGGTGGCGTACTGGTCGAAGAAGACATAGAAGACGCTGTAGGGGAAGACGTCCAGTCCTGTCTCGGCGCTGATCTCGTTGGCGATACGCCGGGCAGAGGCGTAAGCGTTGATAAAGTCCTCTTGGCTGCGGAGGGGGATGTGGCTTGTGCGGAAGTGACTGGCCGGAATGGTGTCCCTTTCCGAGTCGACCAAAACAGCAGAGCCATACGAAGCCTGTCCGCCCAAGGGACAATCTTCGCTTGTTGGCGCAGTAAGAAACTTCTTCAAGTAGTAGACGAACTCGTCACCCTCGGGCATGCCAGAAAGAGTGATATTCCACGCCGGGGTGCGGTTCGCAAAGCAGGGTCTCCGACGCTCCATGCAGCACCTCTCATTCTCAGGGTTGAGCCACTGGAAGAAATCGTCAATCCAGCTGGCAGTGGGCGTCGAGATGTAAGAGACCTCAGTCCGCTTCCTCTCCTGTTCCAGAATGTTCGGAAGCGACATCTGCTCACAGGTGGTATAACGGGCGCAGACCTTCTGTTGCTGCGTCCGATCAGTAGCGTTGAATTCCCTGGTGACGAAATAGATCGGCGGACCAGTATTGAGGTACTCGTAAAGGTCGTTGAAGTAAGGGATCAGGTACGAATCATCCGGAATGGCAACTCGCTGGTCCAGACCCAGTTTAACCTCGGGAATCAAAGCGACACCAGCAGCGAACACGCCCAGGAAGATCATGACAATGACAGCCTTCGTCTTCTTTCCCAACAGCCGAGGAGCGTAGGTCTTGCGAATGAACTGCTGAAGATAACTCTCCTCAGGAGCCTCGAGGTAGACCGGGGCCTGACCCGCACCATTGTTGGCCAGATGGACTCTAGCCGACTTGATTTGAATGCAAGGGAAGCAGTCCGCACGAGAATCTTCAACACGGATCTGGTTCAGCGTCAGAACCGAGACAAACATGGTCACCTGAAGAATTGCGTTGATAAAGACAGCTCCAGCGGCATAGATGGCGAAGTTCCTCACGGCCGGCATGCCGACAAAGGCACCGAGCGCAAAGGATGCCGTCTCGGTCAAGGCTGAGAAGAGAATCGAAGGACCCATCCGGCCCAAGGCCCTGGAAATCCGTGCCTCAACCATATCATCAGGGTGGCTAATGTTGACACGCTCAAACTCGTGAACGATCAGGAAGATGTTGTCCACGCCAACGGCAAGGACGATGAACGGGATGACATCGACGATGATCAAGGTAGCCCGCAGACCAGCCCAGGAGAAGAGACCAATCGAAGCAGTGATGGACATAAGAACGATGACGATGCCCACGACACCAAGTGTAAACTTGGATTCAACGAGCGAGACGGCCGGGTTGCGAAGCAAGTCCTTGAAGGACAAGGTAGTGGAACCAAGAGCGAGCGAAGCGTACAAGAACATGATGATGTAGCTGATGACAATGATCTTGGCATCGGTGTTGGTGGACTTGTTGAGTTCTTCCTCAAGACTGATTTCGGTGGAGAAGGAAAGGCGGAGACCGCGCTCTTTGGCCTCGTCTTGCAGCTCCAGTAGTCGGTTCTTCAGCGCCACCTCCCAGTCCATAGCACGGTCAACTTCGGGAGAGTCCTCAGGAGGGTTGATCAACACCCAGGTAACGGTCATAGCAGAAGCTTCCGCAACATCACCATCCTCAGGGTATCCGCCAAGAATCATGCTAGGATCAAGAGGCTGTCCATAAGCAGGGCGGCACTCGACCGGGGACGCGGCACAAGTCCTCAAAGTACTCTTCCAGCCCTCTGGGTCAACAGAGTCGGGATCATCTTGGAAGTAAGCAGCGACTGACTGAACGACGCAGGCATCTCCAGTAGGCTTAAGGCATAGGTCCTGGAAACTGCTTCCATAATTGGCACCCTTGAGCGCCGCAACGCTCTTCTCGACATCCATCCACCAGAGGAGAGTATCATGGCTCAAGACGGGTCCAGGGCCGGAGGGGTTGGTATCGTTTACCAGGAAAACCTTCTCAGCGCGGTAAAAAGCGCCAAAATGAGAGTCAAAGAAGGCTTTCTCCTCGGCCGCCGGCGAAGTTGGGCTTACCCACAAACGAGCCGGGTTCTTCTCAAGCTCGAAGTGGAACCAGCCAATACTGAGGATGCTAGCAATCAGAATGCTGGTAACAATGGTGATGGCCGGGAACGTAGCCGCAAGATATCCCAACTTGCTGAAAGCAGAATCACACCATGTGTTGATGATGTAGGTCTTTTGGGGGCGGTCAATCATGGCCCCATTCTGGGTCAAGTCTCCCTCGTCCTCATCGTCGCTGGGCGCCGCATCGGTGAGAAGTCGGAGCCGCTCACTCCTGCGCTTAGCGTGTCTCTTCCAGGCAATGTGGCCGACTACAGCAGCAATAGACGTGAACAAGATGACGCTGTAAGTCAAGATGGAAGCAAATGACAGGCACGGCAGGGCGCCCACATGGCAAGAACCAGCCTTTTCGACCTCCGGGAGCGTGGGGCAGATCTCGGGGCAGTCGACACAGGCACAACGGAAGTTCGGGTCCTCGTCGTTGCAGTTCTTGGGCTTCATGGGCAGCGGCTTCGTGTCGGGTTCAGAGTATTCGACGGGGAAGTTGATCTGGAAAGGCGAGCCGCCAAAGCGTTCCTGACCGAGGAACTTGAGCAACTGGGTGTAGTTCTTGGCACCTCCGCCTATCAGGTCCATGGCTCGCGAGTTTGTAGGGCCAAACTTGACGTCCTTGCAGCTGTTGTAGAAGCCGGTTCCATACTCGTCGGAAACCAACTGGTCCAACTCGGTCACTAGTGTCTTTCCCTTCTTTTCAATCGTCTTGGTGACATTGATGAACAGCGACTGGTCGGGAGAGCATGTAAATGTGCAAAACATGTTGAAGAAGTTGTCTTTGCATGCCGGGCAAGACGATATTATTTGGTTCGCCGTCGACAGGGAGGACTTTAGAGAGTCAACCTGTAGTAAGTGTCAGTATCGGCATCTTGCTTAGTTGATTCGAAAAGAGTGTTTACCTGTTCAGGCAGACAGCACACTGGCCCTGTATTCCATTTAGGGCCACAAAGATCAACCAGCTGTTGACGGAGATAGTCGTCTGGTTCTTCAGCCAAGCCATTGTCAACACAGGGCAACTGGCTTCCAAAGAGACTCTTGGATCCGCAGTGGCCTCTGATGGCGCATCGTCCAGCTTCGTGCTTTGGCGTATATATCTCGGCTGTGACACTTCCCAGACCCGATGATAGGAGCCAGCCGCTGGCCGCGACAAGCGTGGATAACTTTGTCATGATGGCGGATCGATCAAAGGCAGGACGTCTTCGGTGTTGTTGACGTTGCCGATGCCGCTCGGCGGCTTGGATGCGAATTGGAAGTTCCCGCTTCTTCCAAAGAGTGTGATGCAGTATGTATCAGGTTGCGTATGGTATGATACCAACAGTCGTCGTCAGATCGACAATATGTACGGTCCTCGGATTCACTGTTCAACTTGTTGTTGACCGTCGATTGTGAAAGGGTCACTGATGTCCAGTGGATAGAGGACTAGGTCCAGGCGATAATGGAATAGTGGACCAGAATCCGGAACGGCGATGAATTATTGATAATGGGAGCTGGAGATGGGAAACCGGAACTGGAAATGGAAACTGGAACTTGGTGAGACACTGGAAGCTCCCGCGCACGCGCTCTGATCCTTCCCTTCAGTTGATGCCTGCCAGTGCTGCTGTGCCCGTTGTTCGTGGCCTCCGTTTGGCTGTTGCATGCGTCATCAAGCAGCTAAGACAGCCCTGTTGATCTGATTGGCTGTTTCGGACTGGGGCAAGAGGCGGGAGGAGCACTGGCGAGACAAGACCTGGTCGAGGCCGCGACGCCGATGCTGTTCCTGAGGATCGATCACGCGGACAAGTTCACAGCTGTGAATCCCTGCCAAGATCTGGTCAACAGCTGGAAACGGCAGGTGCGAGCAGGTGGCAGAGGTTCTTTGGACCTTGAGACTTGAACCTCAGGGTTCGGGTTAACATAGTCCTGCCTAACCACCCTGCTACCATCACCATTACCACGGACAAGGCGTAGAGTTGTTGAGAAAGGAGTGTATGACAACAGCAATTGTGAAATATGCTTCAAAGCATACATCCGCTATCATCGCTACTTGATCATCAATACATCCTAGCGCATATTCGACAACCCGCCAAAGCACCAAGTAGCCAAAACAATACACGCTCCAACTCCGTAGCTCCTGATGTCGACCATCGACTGTCTAACACAGGGTATCCTTCGAGCAGACGTACTGTATGACCCAAAATGACCCATCAACAAGATATGCAAAACACTGTTCTTCGTTTCCATAGCACAACCAATCAGACCCTCCCGGTAACGTAGAACTGGCCGGTCAACGTCTCGACTTTCCAACCGTCGTTCTTCAAGGCAAGTCCAACGGCTTGTCGAAGACGCGAGACGCCACCGGAACTATGACGGCCAACACCCGTAACCACTGTGAATCCCTCCATCTTGGCCTTGAAATGGCGGTGCTCGCCCAGATTGTTCCACCACCGCCAAACTCGCTCCTTGGCGATCCGAACCCCGTCAAGGACGGTGACGCCGTGTAGATCGATACTGCAGTACGTGCTCTTCTGGTTGACTAGTTGCTCGGATGCCCACGATATCCTTTCGGCAGCGGCACGGGCCTCTTCCCGGGCGCGCTCCGTGTAAACGATGGCGCCTTGTCGGCCTAGTGGTCCCTTTCGAGCAAGGGCTGAAGCCTGGGCGTAGAGGTTGGAGACTCCGTACTCGGTGTCTGGGCTTGGTAAACCGGGAAGGTTGGACGCCCTATCATAGGAGGTGGTAACCGCCTGTGTACTTGACATGCCGCCGCGCTGTGTTGATGCCGAGGGTCGAATGGGGCCCTTAGCCCCTTCCAATTCCTCGTTGTCCACTGTCGGCAATACGACTGCGTAGTTCAGCGCAAGTTTGGCCTTTCCTTTGCTGCCTTGGTCCTTGGACTTATTCTTGCCTCTGCGGGTTGATGTACTGCCTTGGGGCTCGTAAAAGCCGTCCAGTCCCTTGGGCAGCTGGTCAGTCTCATGGAGGTGCTGCCGGGTTAGGAGTTCGTCAAAGGCCGTGTCAAGGTCGCCTCTGCTCTGTTTAAGGACAAACTTGAGGGTGTGCTCCTTGAAGTTGGGAAACACCAGACGAAGTCGCTCGATCTTATCGAGCTCGTTCAGGTCTGATGCGTCGCAAAATTTGAGGTCCTCGGACGAGGAGGAGTCGGTGGAGATGATAGAGTCGGATATTGTCGTGGCATTTTCCGTAGCCAAAGACTCGGACATGATGCTGTGATCGGGATCATCACCGTTCACTCCCTCGACGGTCATGCCCAGTCCGGAGGGGTCAAACGACGTCGAGGCCTCACATGAAGCAGTCTGCGCCAGTGTTTTAAGAATGTCCCTGATGTCGTCATAATCCGTTTGGATGTTTCGCTCCATAGTAATAGCGAGAATGAGTGACTGATCCAGATCTCGAAACTCCTCCTGCAGTTGGATAATCCACGGTTAAACACTTGACTCTGAGACTGACTCCGGGGTATCATGATGATATGAGGTGTGTTGTGGGCTCCAATCCAGCTTCAACCTACAAATAATTGTTCTTGAAGGACGGCCGGATCAACAGACTCGGTCCGAGCCTTTCCCTCCTGTGAGGTTGAGCCTGATGGCTTCACATGGCTTTTCTTTTTCCTTCCCCCCATCCCAGATGGAAGGCTATAGTTGTCGCTTAAAGGATGCACGTAGAATACAGCTGGCTTCGCTCTTTGTCATAAACATGAGGTGAATAAGAGAAACGAGACGGCTGGAATTCGCTGTTCATCGTATGTAGGTAGACCCGATGTCGAAGAGAGAGTTGTTGACTGGAGGTGCCCAAATTCAACCCGAGGATGAGCCAACGTCAAAATCGACCAAGGAAAGCGTTTGCTTCCTGCGCTTTCCCGAGTTTCGCTGGGCTGGGCTTGTCGCTTGCTGTGAATCAGTGGGGGCAGGGGCACCTTAGCTAGGGTGACCCAGCAACCGGCCCCGATAAGCCAGGGGAAGGGCCGGGGCAATGAGCAACCCGATGGCAGGTGAAGGGGGACCACAGTTCTGTTAAGGCGCTGTTAGCCAGCAGTAGAAGAACACGCTTCGATCCTATCTTGTACTAACAGCTTTGAGACCCCGCCTCGTGACTGCTGCGGGGTCATTTTCCGCTTTCCGTCTTGTGATGCTGAAGTGCTGAAGAACAGGGGCCTCTCGCAGACTCTGACTTCCCAACATTGATCCAGCATCGATTCGGTTCATGCTATTTGACTTGGGACGAGAGAATCGGCATTTGCAGAGTCGCGTACTACAAGCAGGACAGTCATTGCTGAAATTCGCTGGGCCATGGTTCATCCCATCGTCGGGCAAGCGAACGACACATTGAGTTTACAACGACGACGGTCTTCATCTTGATGGGCGCCTCAAGCACGCTGGTGGCCTAACCATCGACCGACCAACCTTGTCCATGGGCCGATCTACCATTGTAGCGAGGACTTGAATGGGGCTGTACTGTAGCTCTATCTATCAGAACCAGTCCTTGGGGCCATGTCCAGAGGTTAATTAGTCTCGAATAGTGGACGACAGGTTCTGAGGTCTCGAGTGTCGTTGACAGCGACATGAGTCTCAAATGACATCTGAGCAATAAGACGTGGATGGGCGGGTCGGCTCGCTTTGAATGATGCATGCATCACGGCTCAGCTGCCATCTGTCATTGATGATGCAAAACAACAACAGATACATACAAACTTCGGATGACACGATCAACGGTGTCGTTCGGGAACCCGAGTCAGGAACAAGAAGGCCGGCGAAAAGTCCGGAAGGGCACAGCCCACTAGCTTAATCCGACTTTGACCGCTCCCGGTCGTCATTCCACAGCATCATCCATTTTCACAAGGCGCCATCGCCACTTGTTAGCAACATCGCTTGCTTTGCGGATGATGATGGTGGCACCAATGACAGACCCTAGACATGTCAAATGCTTGAGTCAACATGGGGATCCTCAAAATGCCTGATACCAGATACCGAAAAATAGCGGATGTCATGGCAGATGTCAGTTTGCCATAAGCCTCGGGATGAAACATGCAGGGACGGTGAAAGATCAGGTTACCGGCGAGACTAACAAACTTACTTGAAAGAGAAACAAGATTTTAGGACTGATAACGGCCTTTATAAGAATCCCGTCCTGTTCGAGTCGCATTTGTTCACACGCACATTCTCTGCACACACACACACACAAGTACACAGCCTCACGCTTTGTCTCTTCTCAAACACCAAACGTGACTCGCGGTGTCTCTTGACTTGCCGCTGAACTCACCCACGCCCTACGTGTCCTTCGTTCTTTCTCTTCTGGTGCCAGTCACCAGTCACCACGCCGCTCGCTATCAGCACCAAACCGAAAGAACCAAAAGAACACCGTCGTTCTTACCCAAACGTTCACTTTTCATCAACAGCAAGGCATCTCGTTGCCTGAATTTGGAACATCTGAAAGGAAACACGGAACAGACCTTATCGTATCGACACCGAACCGCATGCACGGCAGCACGTAAACAAGGCATATCTTTGTATGCATACGCATTCTCTGCTGCAGTATTATCTTGCCTTGCAGCATCAAGCACTCACGACTTAAACTTTTCACCTTTTGCATGGTCCTTGCATCATCTCACAAACAATGGGTTCGGTGTCACAGTCCAAAAGACTGTTGAACTATCCAGACCCTTTGAGAGGGTAAGCTCAGCTTTTCAATGCTGCCATCTTCGCTTTCAGCGTCGCAGAAAAGTAGACAGACGTGCTAACTGGTATCGAATAGTCCGGATGTTCCATATGTTGTGGAGAGAAAGTCCAATCCGCCCATTCGCGGCTGGTTCATTTGCGCCGCTGCCTTGATGTGAGTTTTTCCAATGGAGAGGTTGTTTTGAATAATGAGCTAACACAGGTCACCAGTTTGGAATATCTTCGCTTTGTCAGGGAGATAATATGGCACAACGCTGGCTTCGGCGATCTACGCAAGATTCGCCCTTTTATCGAGGATTACGAACCATGGTTTGAGCCTCAAATCGTACCCTATCCGGATTCTGAGACTACCGACGAAGTTAAGGATGACATTCAGGATGACGAAATTCCGGAAACTGAGGCGGCCAAGCGAGACGACCTTCGGCACAAGTATCCCCAGGCAAACTACTACTCAGTGGAGGACTACCGGAAACTCTACCTCTCGGGCGCACTCACTCCCTTGGATGTCGCGCAAGCTCTGCTTCCTCTGATTCGCCGCGATGTCGAGAATCCTACCGAGTATTCTTCAGCATGGTTTGACAGCAAGGTTGAGAAAGTTCTGGCTGCGGCAAGGGCTTCGACGCAGCGGTACAAGGAAGGACGTTCTCTCGGTCCCCTCGATGGCGTTCCTACCGGTGTCAAGGACGAGTATGACATTGACGGCTACGAAACCAACCTTGGTTCGAAAAACATCTACACGGGCACCATCCACGAAGAAGATTCCATCACTACCTGGTGTGTACGCAAGCTGCAAGAGTCCGGCGCCATCATCCTTGGTAAGCTCTCCATGCACGAGTTTGGTCTCGACACCACCGGCAACAACCCGGTCCACGGCACTCCCAGAAACCCTCACAACCCCAACTACTACACAGGCGGCAGCTCTTCTGGTACCGGCTACGCCGTCAGCGCCGGTCTCATCCCCATCGGTCTCGGCAGCGACGGCGGCGGCAGCATTCGCATTCCCTCTAGTCTATGCGGCGTCTACGGTCTCAAGCCCACCCACGGCCGTCTCTCTTTCAAGCCCGGTCAAAACCACTGCCTGACATGCGCCTGTCTCGGTCCCATTGCCGCGGACATCAAGTCCCTCGCCACCGTCTTCCAAGTCATCTGCAAGCCTCACCCCTCTTCCCCTTTCCCACCTTTGAAGCGCCTCAGCTTAACCGCCCCTTCCAACAATGGTTCCCCCAAAGTCCTCGGCATTCCCTCCGCCTGGTTCGCCCGCGCCACGCCCGCCATCCAAACCCTCTGCAACACCATGATCAGACGCCTGTGCTCCGACCACGGCTATACCGCCGTGGAAATTGACATCCCCTTCCTTCCCGAAGGGCAAATTGCGCACGCCATCACCGTCCTCACCGACGCTGCCACCCTCCTCCCGGAAACCAGCAACCTGACGTACGGCAACCGCATCCTCATCGCCCTTGGCACCGTCACCCCGGCCTCCGATTACATGCTAGCCATGAAGCTGCGCCGCGTGCTGATGCAGCACCTCTCCTGGCTGTGGCAGCAGTACCCGGGGATGCTGATCGTCACTCCCACAACCAGCTGCGAGGGGTTACCGATCAAAAGCAAGAGCGAGCTGAAGTGGGGCGTGAATGATGGGGATAGAACGCTGCAGAGCATGGAGTATGTTTGGTTGGCGAATTTCTGTGGACTGCCGAGTATTTCGGTGCCCGCTGGGTTTGTCGGCCCGGAGTCTGGGTTGGTGAACGATATGGATGTTCAGGGACGGGGAGAGGTTCCGGTGGGATTGATGGCTATGGGCGAGTGGTGCGCGGAGGAGCAGTTGTTGCAGTTTGGTGCGGTTTGTGAGGAGGCGGGCGCTGATAGGAGGAGACGGCCGCCGATTTGGGTGGATGTGGTGAAGAAGGCGAAGGAGGAGGTTGCGCAGCGTGGGTAGAGGGAGAGATGGGGTTGTGTTGACTGGTCATGGGTTGAGGTTGAGGTTGGGGGTGATATCCGTTTTGGTGAGCAGAGTTACGGTTAGAGGGTGGGAGAGAGTCGCGGAATGTGGTGTAGTATCACCGAAATCCACAAGCAACGACGTGAAATAGCGAAGCTAGCAGATCATCCAATTTTATTCACAAAGGCACAACGCTCAAGTGTATCGGCTATCGATGTTGAGTTCTCTAAGCTCGACATCTTGTGCATGAGGTACCTGGTCACCGACTTCGCATCACCACTCATAAACATCCACCTCAAACCACTATGACCTAATTCACAGTTAAACTTCTTTGCGAAGCCTACGTCGCTCCTTCCCCAGACTGGCGGTTGGAGGGTATAAAACCAGAAGGAGCAATAGAGACCGGGAGCAATGGGAAAGAGCGAGCAGTAGGTAATCATTGTCACACCAAGTTGTCTCTCCACTCTACGCACGTCGAGAGTGTCACGAGCTGTATCCGTCTCGTTCATGTCGTCACACGTCGGGAAATTCTAGTCGAGTTCTGCAACACATAATATCTCCAAGCACCAAAGTTGGTTAATGTACAAAACTTCTTACATTTCGTACCGACCCGTCTGTGTTTGCCGACGACCGAGATGCGCCAGCTGCAAAGCGCTATCCTATTAAACCGAATTCTCACGCCGTACTACCTCTACGCAGCGAGAATAGAGAAGGCAGTAGAGTATATGGTGAGCTTCCCTCGAAAATAGCAAGTAAACACGCTAAAAACTGCATTGGGGGAGATCGTCTTCGCCTTGGCAACGGGGTGGCTTGTTTTGAGACGAAGCGCCGGCAAAGGATTCGTCCCCGGCCACCTACTCCATGGAAGTAAGGTGCTCACCTGCAACTAACCCATCAACCATCAGGCACTGCCCAACAAGATTGAAGATCGGGCTGCGGACGATGGAGGGCAATCTTTATGCGCTTGTGCCCTCTGGGCGGGTCGCCAGCGCGATGAAAATGGAGGAGATGCAGTCGAGGTTTAGTCTGTGGTGATACAGGTCGCTCAATCTGTCTTACCGCGAGGAGAGCTCAGCATCAGGAACTCTGGTAAGTTGAGTTGTAGTAAACGCCGTTTGATGCTTACAGATTCTCTTAGAAACTTCTCAAGTCTCACATGAAGAACCAGGTCAACAGTCGTAAATCACCCTCAACTACATCTACATACCCGACTTCCGATCCATGCCAGATGAATCCATCTCTACGAGCGTAAAAACTCCGTTCCTAGCGAGCAATCTCACCGTCCCGTTTGGCCAAGCCTAGACCAAGACCCTATCATCCGGGGTAACGTGTCTACCCACCCTATCACCATGTTTATTCACGTTAAGCTCACTGCTGACATCTCCACGGGTGCCACAACGCAACGCTGTAGCAAAGCAAAGCCCGTGGATTCTATTCCTAGTCACAAACCTGTAACTAGGCGGGAAGGGGATTAGATACAACCCATTCCCATTTTTGCGGGTTACTATGACACCGCCATGTATGTGAAACCGCCGCCGGTAAACAGCGGGCAAACATCACGGTTCGTTGGCCCGTTACGAGGTATTGCGGTCGAGGATTCGCGCAAATCTATATAAAATGGGGCATGTCCTTCCCACGGTCCTGGTCAAGATAGAGGGAAGTCTCTCTGACTCTTGTCGACCAGCCTTTCTCATTCTATCTCTTCCTTTCCTGGTTTTGTTTCTTTCTCATCTTTAGGTCAAGATGATCTTCAGCAAGGTAGCTCTGGCCGCGGCAGCCATGATGGCTTCCTCGACCGGTGTAGTTGCCAAAGGAACTCAACCGGGCAGCAGCAACAGATGCGGAACACCACACATGACGCCCGAGCAGGTGCACAACTACAACACGCTCGCCTCTCAGTCGATGAACAAACTCAATGCCTTAAAGGCAAATGCCCAGAAGACGGGAGGCAGTTCAATCCAGAAGGTTGAGATCGAGGATTTGCAGGAGAAGGAAATCAAAATCTATGTACACGTCCTGGCGAACGGTACTAAGGTGGAAGATGGATATCTCGAGGTTAGCCATCGGACCTACCTCTACACATCACTCACTCCACTCTCATCCGCTAACAAATACAAACACAAAAGGAATCCCAAATCCACGAACAAATCTCCGTCCTCAACGCCGATTTTAGCTCCGCCAAACTTTCCTTCCGCCTGCAAAACATTTCCTACACCATCAACTCCACCTGGGCCGTCGGCGACGACGAAGAGGGCTTCAAGTCCCATCTTCGCAAAGGCGAATACACCGACCTAAACCTCTACTTCCCCATCACCCTCCCCGACTCTCTTTTGGGGTATGCCTACTTCCCCGTCTTTCTGTCCCAAGACCAGGCCTTCAACAACCCAGACGGCACAGGACAGGACATGTTCACCCTCGACGGCGTCGTAATCCGCTCCGATACTTTGCCCTTCGGCACCTTTGCGCCATTCAACTTGGGCAGGACGGCGACGCATGAGATTGGGCATTGGTTTGGTCTTGATCATACTTTTGGGAGTGGCGGGTGTGAGGGGAAGGGGGATATGATTAGCGATACACCAGTGGAGGCGTCTCCGGCTTATGGATGTCAGGTTGGAAGGGATTCTTGTCCGAATCAGGAGGGACTGGATGCGGTGCATAATTTTATGGATTATTCTGATGAGTGAGTTTTACCCTTTCCTTTGGTTGTTTGGAGGGGAAAGGGGGATGGGGAGAGAATGATGATTGCTAACGGTGAAAACCAGTGATTGCCTGACGGAGTTTAGTCCGTTGCAAAAGGCTTATATGCATAGTGCGTATGAGACTTATCGGCAGAATGTTTATGGGGTTAAGAAGTGAGAAAGGGAGTTGGAGTTTGAAGATGGCTTGTAATGTGGGATTGAGACGTTACCCTTGGATATATGATGGGGGTATATTGGCCAGGACTGGAGTTGGTGTTCCTTTGGGGTTAAAAGCTTTGTAGATTATCTGTTTCCTGCTTTGGAAAGAAGATACCCCTTTTTTGTTTTGCTCATGGCGAGAACATTAAATCTGGCAGGTTCCCCTTCTTGAAAAAGGAATCGATGTACTGGAATTGAGAATCAGTGAATGTTTGAAACCAAGTTTGCAGTGGAGTTGAACAGTGATCATGGTTTTTTGATTCACTTATGGTGTTTCCCTAATTCCCCAGACATGTAGGTAGAGGTACGTAGCCATCGCCAAAGTTTAGTGATGATGATTCTCCGGAACTTGCTGCATCCCTTTCATGGTGCTGGTAACCCTAACCCTCAGCTGATGAAGCTTCCCCCCTGAACAGAGCCGAGCCGGTGATGACTTCTTTTCTGCGAACAGTGAATCTTCCAGAGGAGGCTGGAGTTAACTTTCGTCAACAGCCCTACAGATGCAACTGTTTGGGCGTTTTCTGCAGGATTTTTAACGTTGACAATGCATCTGACATGTGTACCTGCTTGTTCCTGGCGCCGGCAGATGACTCCTCTCTCAATCCCGTCGTGCGTGATGCAAAAACGGGGATGCAGTTTTGGTTCATTTTTAACAGGGTAGACAGTTGTTTACCTTGGCGGGGGCAGCCGGCACTCAAAGCCGGCCGGAGGGCACCGGATCACCGGGGCTTCTCTATGTTCAAGACACGGGACTCCTAGGATGAACGCGTCCGAGCTTTCGTTCCATGATCCGCATCCCGGCAGTCCAAGTTCCGGATGAACCGGTGCCAAACCGTCTTGGCTTGCGCGGCTTTTTCTCCGCCAGCTCCGAACGTGCTAGCGTTTAGCATTGGGATCAGTCATGTGTCGACAGGTTACACCCGAGTGCCTGGTACAACTTCGTCATGGGCATGGCTTCACCATGGCGCCCAGGGTTTAAATGGATGGGACTTCCCGGGGTCGGGTCCCAAGCAGTTGAGGGCCTTGAATCATGACATGGTGTTGCAACAACAGGGGAAAACAAGGCCGTTGTCACCGAGCTGTTATGAGTGTACAAGTTCATCGTGACGACGACTGCTTGTGACACTCTCTTCCTCATCTTATATCTGTTTGTTTGTTGAGGCTGGACAGCAAGCAACTCGAGTTATAAGTCGAGAGTGTTATTGACAATGAAGTTGCAGTCTCCACGAGGTGGCTCTCTTGATGGAGATGCCGGCATCGAATCATCTCGGTAGAGGATTATAATAGCATCGGGAACCAGGGGGGGGATAGCGCCCTCTCTACGGCCGAGGCGACAACAGCCCCAACAGTAAAGTGATACCTATGATATGGTTGAATCGGCGATACTCGAACTGCTTGGTTTGTTTGATTGTCGAGATGGGTGGATGTTGAGGCGGCGCAATGTCATTCTAGAACACAGGGAGACAGGTTCTTTGAGATTTTATGGCCACTTGATGCTCGGGCTGCGGCCGCCAATCTGCCGTATAGCGTGGACCTGGATGATCGGGTCCTGCTTGGTTCGCCCTGGTCAACTAGAGGTAACAGAGCCCATGACAGGCTGAGAGAAGAACCTCAGGCGGGTCCTGGTCACGCGCGACCCGAGGATAGGCGTCATCAGGGTGTTTAGAAGAGGAAGATGCGAAACCGAAGACAGGAACAACGGATTCCCAGTCTGTTGTATTGTCTCTGATATCTGACCCAAAGAAGACAACTGGGAAGGGAACAGGTGGTGAACTCTTTGTGCCAGTCCGAACTGGGCCGCCCAAGACTGTTCACGGCCTGCTTTCCCCGGCCGCCACGTGACAAAGGGGGGAAAACTTGGGGGGTTCGTGTCAGATTCAAGGGTGGTTTTAGCCATACCATATGGAGGTTAGCGCTCCAGCCACCTGATATTGCCTGATTTCTAGGCATATCTGGGTTACCCCAGCACCCCCTATACCTTCTAAGCGAGTTAGTTACACACACTCTTTAATTAACTAATTCTGCACTGTTACATTTAATAATTAATAATTTAATTTGCATATTCACGTTTAACGCTATAATTATCGATTATAAACAATATCCCTACGAAACTAATAACGTTAAGTATATCCTTAATACTCCTACTAATTAACCCAATTAGTATAAAACTTTTAAGAGATTCGCTAGTAGGAACTAGGATTTTAATAATTAATTATTTAAGGGAAGACCTATAATTTAAAGGGTTCTACCCCCAAAGCTGGAAGATTTCTTCTTTACTAAGCAAATAAAGGATTGCCTTTTAACGGTAAAGAAGGGGTTCGTTAAATTTAATAGAAGAATCAGGGTTAAAAAGGCCATAATTATAATTGTAATAACTATTATTACTATAGCTATTAATACGAATAGTATTATTATTAAAATTATTATTATTACCTAATTTTAAAAAGAAGCCGCTGCCGGCGCTAACAAAAATAATGAAAAAGGAAGTTTGGGAGAAGATGATAAAGAAGAGGAAGAGGAGGATAATAAATACTATACTAAGTAGGATATTAGGGAGGATATAATTAGTAATCCCTCTACTGACCTAATAATTACTTGGAAAATAGCGTACGATTAAATTAATAATATATATAACGTTCGTTATAAATACTAAAAAGACTTCGACGATGTTAATATCCAAATTTATAATTAAATAAATACTTATATCGCTGCTTATTATACCGATATTTTATTTAAATAGGATAAATCTACCCGCAATTAATTTAAAGAAGTTAAAAATTACATTAATTATCAACCTATCGACCAAATTGCTAAAGCTCGTCGAAATTATTAAACCTTTATTAAACAAACTATAAAGAAGCAACCTAAGGACTTCGAAAAGTAGCTATCCAATTAAGAAATCCTTATTGTAAATGGAAAGAGATTCGGAATTAATAAAGTAATTTCCCCCACTTTATAATTTATTGATTTTATCGATATAATTTATAAATATAAACCTATTTAAGCTAACAACTCCTAAAAGTTTAATAATAAATTCGAAGAAATATCTTTAAAATATAAAGATATATCCGCTAATTTTAAAAGGGTTAATATACTAGAACGTACCATACTATTAGCTAACTCTAAGAAGGCTATAATTCGTAGCGTTTAAAGTATTAGCCACTCTAATTTATAAGAGTTCGCGCCTAATAAGGAGGATATTCCTAATTTTAATTATAAAAAGAAGCGGAAGGTAAATGAAAGGAAGAAACGTAACGTAAATAAAAATATAAAAAAATCTTTACAGCCAAAAAAGAGAGGAGGAACTACGCTACTTTATAAAATTTCCGAGTGAAGTCTTCACTCAATAATATACTATTAATATTTAATACTTAAAATTAAGGATGATCTCAAGTAAAAGCTAAGCCGCCCTACTTAGAAACTTATTAATAAAAATTTTAAAAAGTATCCCGAAATTAATAAAGAGGTTAAAAAGGCTAGGAATTAAATACGGGACCGCTTTATTACCTTTACGCAAACTATTACTCTAAAAAATTAAAGGAAATAAGAAATTAATACTTACGATTTAATATTTTTCATTAAATAAAGTACTTTTAATGTAAATAGTAATAAAGGTAATATTTACCCACTTAAGAACTCTATAATCTTCAATGCCGGGGCTTCTATTTATATTCTTAACGAAATCAATTGTTTCTCTTTATTTCGAGTAATATCCTTAAAGGACTATATTTAAGCTAGTAAATTTTAAATACCTATTAAGCGTTTTAGGACTATTAATATAAAAATATAGAAAGAGAGGGGAATTTTAAGGCTACGGCTAAAAGAAGTAGCCTTCTACCTTAATTTTATTATAAATTTTATATTACTACGCCTATTTCGAAATTGAATTTTTTATTAGGATTATAAACCCTTTAATAATTACCTCCGTCAGTTAGACGGCTTACTCTTTTATTTACTTCAAAAAATCTATTACTAAATAATCTTCAAATATTTACCCCTTTTTTTTAACTGTACCGCTTTCTTTATTCATCGAAATCGCTTTAACTCCTTTATTAGCTATCGTACATAGAAAATACCCACCAAACTCTAGTATAAACGATTCGATTATTATAATCTTTAAATCTTTAAATACTTTTATAACGTTGAAAGTACTAAATTTAAAGGGCCCGCTACTTATTAATATAACGCGTACAATATTTTAAAAATTAAATAATAAATTAAACGAAAATTACGAAATAAGGGATTTAGCTTAGAAAAACGTTTTGCTATTAATTTCTTCGAATATAAGATAGGGAAAAGTAATTTCAAATACATTATACTTATTACTTATCGATAGATTAGATTTATTTAAAATATTTATATAGCGAACCGAATAATTGAGGCTATCACTAAAAAATTCTTTTCGGTTATTAATATAATTAATTACCGGTATAACGTTAAAATTAAATATATTAAATACAATAACGAATTTAATAATCAACACGTTAGGGATAAATTAATTATACGTTTTATTATTTTTAAACCCTTAATATTGAATATATAAATTTAAAATAACGGTACTAAACGTTTAAAAGGTATAATTAAAAAAAAGGCGTATATAATAATAAATAGCGCTAAATTCCCTTATAACTTCTAGCTTCAAAATTGTTTTAACCTTAATCTATTTTACTAACCGATTACCTAAATATCTCTATAATTAGAAATCACTATATAAATAGTTTCATACCTTCGTAACCTATTATAACGGGGTATAAACCGAACCCTATAAGCCTAATTTTAATTATTTACGTATTTATAGTTATAAAATATCTATAATAATAGGTCCTATATAGAAAAAAGAGTAATAGTATAAAAAGCTTCAACTAAAGGCCTAGATTGGATTCTTTATTAATTATATTACCTCCTCTATCTACTAAATTTAGAACCCGTCAATTAATTGTATCGTTTATATTTATAATATACTCTTTAATAAAAATTTAATTTATTTAAAGAACTTTAATAATTTTAAACAAGGATTAAGGCTAATTAACGACAAAATTACTAATTTATTTAACTGAATTAATTACCTTCTTTAACTATTTATATAATATTTTAAGCCCTTCAACGTAACTTAAAATATAGAAGATAACAATCTTACCCCTCTCCTACCGTTACTCCTTAATAACGAACTTTAAAAAGATAATAACGAGACCGT